GTCCCGGAGTTCCAGAACATATGGCACTATGGGGGTCCCTTCCTGCTCCGTCTCCCCCTCCCAGTGGCCTCTAATGAGATCTAGGGGTCCGCGGACCCTTCTCCCATACAGCAGCTCAAAGGGGGAGAACCCAGTAGATTCCTGGGGCACCTCTCTATAAGAAAATAATAGATGAGGCAGGAATCTCTCCCAGTCTCTGCAAGTGTCTGTAAAGGTCCTCAGCATCTGTTTGAGGGTACCGTTAAAGCGCTCGCAGAGACCGTTAGTCTGTGGGTGGTAGGGTGAGCTAAGTAACGGCTTAATGCCGCACACCTTCCACAGTTGCTGGGTGAGCACAGCGGTGAATTGGGTTCCCTGGTCGGAGAGGATCTCCTTAGGGAACCCGACCCTAGTAAAAATTCTAACCAGGGCATCAGCAACCGTCTCTGCCTCTATGTTAGACAGCGCTACTGCCTCTGGATAGCGGGTGGCATAGTCCACCACGGTAAGAACATACTTCTTACCGGATGGACTAGCCCTGGCCAGTGGACCCACAATGTCAACGGCTATGCGGGCAAAGGGCTCCCCTATAATAGGCATCGATAATAGCCTAGCCTTAGGGTGGTCCCCCCGCTTTCCTACCCGTTGACATGTGTCACACGTGCTGCAGTACATCCGCACAGCCTGGTTAAAGTTTGGCCAAAAGAAGTTCTGTGAAATCCTATAGGCTGTGCGGCGGGACCCTAGATGTCCAGCTAAAGGAACATCATGCCCTATCCGCAGAATCTCCTGCCGGTACTTTGCAGGTACCACTAACTGGCGATTCGGCGGAGAGGCAACACTCTTCTGGGAAGGTTTAGGGATCCTATATAACCTGTCCCCCACCCACTCATACCGTTCCCCATCTATTCCTTCCTCCCCAGCCTCTGCCCTGTCCTTGTATCTTTGGAGGGTCGGATCCGCCCGGGTTTCCCTCCCAAACTCCTCTGGGGAATCCCAGCTTAAGGGGACCTGATCTGGGGTATCAGTCGGGGAAGGAGATCTTACCTGGGTCTCGTCAGCAAGTGGGCTGGTTCCGGCAGCACGGGTCTGGGCACGGGTGGTCACTGGGTTCACGTCTGCAGGGCCCATCGGAGCATAGGCTGAAACCAAAGGGGCCAAATCGTTTCCCAAAAGAACATCTGCGGGCAAGTCCTTCATCACCCCCACATCCACATGTCTAGCGCCCACTCCCCAATCCAAATGTACTCGGGCAACAGGTAAGCGAAACACGGCACCCCCTGCTACCCTTACTGCCACAGTGTCTCCAGTGTGTTGATGCTCTGAGACCAAGTTCTTTTGGAGCAGTGTCATCGTGGCTCCTGTGTCTCTCAGCCCATTCACCACTCTGCCATTTAGCTTCACAGTTTGCCGATGTTGCTGGCGATTATCCTGGTGAGCCGCTTGCACTGGGTCTGCCTCGTGCAGAATGCCCCAAAATTCCTCCTGCTCTAGGCAGTGAGCAGCAGGCTGAGGTGGGCGCTGGTTTCCGTTAACTGGTCTCCTCCAGGACTGAGCCTGGTTGGCACTGTTCAGGGGGCACTCAGGACGCTTGTGCCCCAACTGCTTGCACCCATAGCACCGGATGGGTTGGGAGTACTCCCGGGCATTAAATCGGGCTGGTTGCATATAATTGTTAGCTGGTGGTGCAGCTGGGGTACGGTGTACTGGGGGTTGGTAGACTGCAGGAGCGGGTGTTACTGCTGGTCGATATTCCAGTCTGGCAGGGGCTTTAGCAGCTGTACCATCCAACTTGCGGGCATCCGTGTATTCGTCTGCCAGACGGGCAGCCTCGGGTAGGGTAGAGGGTTTTCTGTCTCTGACCCATTCCCGGACCCCAGCAGGTAGTCTATCAAAGCAGTGCTCCAGCAGGAACACTTGTAACACCTCCTCCCCAGTTACCGCTTGGCATCCAGCCATCCAGTGGGCTGCGGTACGATGGACTCTGCAGGCCCATTCCACATAAGAGTCCCCAACCAGCTTGTTGGTTTCTCTAAACCTCCGCCTGTACGCCTCTGGGGTTACTGCATACCTGGCTAGGAGCGCCTCTTTCACAGCCCGATAGCTGGTGATCTCCTCCTCTGGGATGGCCCGAAAAGCTTCACTAGCCCGGCCAGATAATTTCCCAGAGAGGATGGTGACCCATTCATCTGCAGGTACCTGATGTAGCGCACACTGCCTCTCAAAGTCTGCCAAAAATCCATCAATCTCTCCCTCTGTTTCCACAAAATTTTTAAACGCAGCAAAAGGTACCTTTTTTCTAGCAACCACATTATTGTCATACGGTACCTCTGCTGCTGCAGCTCCTCTTTCCCGGGCTGCCTGTTGTGTTGCAACTGCTGCCTGCACACGAACCACGATGTCAGCTGAGGGGTTGGGGCCAAAATGTGCCAGCCTTATTTGTACTGCCCGGTTGAATTGTATTTCCTCGGGTGTTAAATCCAAGGTACTGGGCACGTTGACTCTTTCCATTCCCGTTGCTGCATCCATCTCCATTAGTAAAGCAATAATCTCCCGTTTCTTTAAATTGCTTGCTGACCTTCCTCGGCGTTCCAATATGTCCTTAAGTGTAGCACGCCTTAATTCCTCGTACTGCATGTCTTGTAGCTGACCTCCAGTGCTGTAGGATTCATCCCGTCGCTTGCCACCAATTGTTAAGACACCTCCCGTGTCTTTAAGCCAAACCGCCGTTTAGTAAACCTTCCCCGGCTGCAGTACAGTCTCTGTTCGCTTACTCTGTAACCCACGAACCAAATGCAGGGGAAGCGGCAATCTCCCGATCGAAATCCACGAACGGCTCCAAACTCCCGAACGGCAATATACGAACTGCTAGGAACCGTCGAACAATAATATCCCCAAAGCGGCTTTCGTTCCATCCAGCAGTCTCTAAACGTGAAGAAGAAATCCCCCCAATAACGAGACAGAAGCTCCGCATTGAGGGTCAAAATAAGATCTGGGTTTACTGTGGGCTACCTGCCCGTATTTATGCAGGTCTCCCACCTGGTGGACACTCCCCTAGGGGACCAAATGGAAGACTTAAAGTACAGACAGATAGCAGGACATTTCTGACACACAGTCACATATTTTACCCACAGTACATTCTGATTCCCTCCCCTCTGTCCTGGAGTTAATTACCAAGTAACTCAATTAACTCCAGGACAAGGACAGTCGCCATCTTAAACATGAAATAATAAAAGACACAAAAATGCATAACTACATGAAAACTGAACATTTCCCATTCGTATTACATGTCCCCAGATAGCCTGGATCTGAGTGCATATTATTGGCGAATAGCGCTCAGATCCCACACACATAGTTCAATCGCCATGGAGTCAAAGTTCTTACAGTCCTTCGGTACACGAATGACTCCATGGGTGGGCTATCTGGGTTAAGTCTTTTGTGTGTTCTCAATCTCCCGAACGGCCGATGTTCGCATGCTTTCGTGGAGGCAGCCAGGCGTTCCCTTGTTTCAGCGGTGTTCGACAGAAAAAGTGTCCGTTTTCCGTTCCATAGAAATAGAGCCAAACACCGCTGAGCGTTCGCATGATTTAAAATGGCCGCTGCCTCGTGGTCGACATACGAACGACGACCACCCTGAGTTCGGTTTAATTGAGAAGTGTCTGCGGTTAACCACAACGTTATAATGGTGATCACTTCGTTAACCTGCAGCACACTCCTCACTTGGGTGGCCGTTCGTTCGGCGGTTTTGTTCGGGAAAAAGAGTCATTCGAATGGCTGGGCTATAGAAACCAGCCATTCATACGAACGGGGACAAACAGACGAACGGGCAAAAATCCAGCAGACAGATGGTTCTGTCACACTTACTAATAACAATATATACAGCTAAAATGTAATTTATCACAAGAACAGCCTGTTATACGCCCAGACACATTACTGGGAGTATTATTGCTGTGGAGCTCTGTTATATGCTCAGACACATTACTGGGAGTATTATTGCTGTGGAGCTCTGTTATACACTCAGACACATTACTGGGAGTATTATTGCTGTGGAGCCCTGTTATACACTCAGACACATTACTTGGAGTATCATTGCTGTGGAGCTCTGTTATACACTCAGACACATTACTGGAAGTATTATTGTTTGGAGCTCTGTTATACACTCAGACACATTACTGGGAGTATTATTGCTGTGGAGCTCTGTTATACTCAGACACATTACTGGGAGTATTATTGCTGTGGAGCTCTGTTATACACTCAGACACATTACTGGGAGTATTATTGCTGTGGAGCTCTGTTATACACTCAGACACATTACTGGGAGTATTATTGCTGTGGAGCTCTGTTATACACTCAGACACATTACTGGAAGTATTATTGTTTGGAGCTCTGTTATACACTCAGACACATTACTGGGAGTATTATTGCTGTGGAGCTCTGTTATACACTCAGACACTTTACTGGGAGTATTATTGCTGTGGAGCTCTGTTATACACTTAGACACATTACTGGGAGTATTATTGCTGTGGAGCTCTGTTATACACTCAGACACATTACTGGGAGTATTATTGCTGTGGAGCTCTGTTATACACTCAGACACATTACTGGGAGTATTATTGCTGTGGAGCTCTGTTATACATTCAGACACTTTACTGGGAGTATTATTGCTGTGGAGCTCTGTTATACACTTAGACACATTACTGGGAGTATTATTGCTGTGGAGCTCTGTTATACACTCAGACACATTACTGGGAGTATTATTGCTGTGGAGCTCTGTTATACACTCAGACACATTACTGGGAGTATTATTGCTGTGGAGCTCTGTTATACACTCAGACACATTAATGGGAGTATTATTGAGTATAACACTGTTAACTGTTGCATCTGAAACCAACACATTGAATATGACTAATTCTTTTTACTGTTATAGATGCACCAGAAAATGTTATTTGCTATGAAATATTATTATTCAGACATGCATAATTACATAGCATTTGATAAGCATCGTCTTTGTGTCTCTGCAGATGAGTAAGATTTACGGACCTGTGTACGCACTTTCTCTCGCCGGTCAATATTCAGTGGTTTTTACAGGGTACGACACAGTGAAAGAGGCTCTTGTGGATCACAGTGATGCATTTAGTGACAGGGGAAACCTGGGCCTGATTGAATTGTTGTTCAAAAATTATGGTAAGAATATATATTAAACGTGTGAGATACATTCACAAACATGAATACATTACTCCCTTGTATTGCTGCCTCTGCCCTTCAAATATGCCACGGTACACTAAGCGACACTGTGCATTATAATGGTGTCAATTCTGATGCCACACTGTCTCTGCTTCTTGTTATGATCAATCATCCCTGCGTCATATTTTGGAGCACCAATGATTGGCAGCATTTCTGTGAGGCAGTTTGTGCATGTTCTCATTTGAACTTTGACACAGACCAATGAAAACTGACTATATGATATTTAAAATGACTCCTCTGTTTGCCCATTGAACTGTTGGATACCTGGCAGTGCGTTTATTATTATAAGTCATAACTTGTGTTTTCGAAATCCGTTGTATAGAAGTTGCGCCATAGTTAGCCAATACACTGCCTGGTTCAGATTAAAGAGGAGTTAAAGATGGATGCTCCAGAAGAGCAAATTATGTTAGAAGAAACACTGAATTTATGTTTTAACTTACAAAGAGTGCATTCAAAATCCAATAATACACATGGTTATTACATATTGTTTTCAATAATAATTTTAAAAAAAATGTTAGTTTTCCTTATTGTTAAACGGTGTGTGGAGCAAAGAAGGTTTAGCAAAGTCAAAATTGCTGAAGAGATGATATAATTTCTGTTTCTTTTGTGATGTTTTAAGGGATCGCAGTGAGCAACGGGGAGCGATGGAGGGTGATACGACGATTCTCGCTTTCAACTATGAGAAATTTTGGAATGGGGAGGAGAAGCATTGAGGAGAGAATTCAGGAGGAAGCTCGTTCTCTCACAGAAGAATTCAGAAAATACAATGGTTGGTAAAGGCTTTAAGCATTCATATTTTAGATTAAAAAATAAAACAACTTAGCATATTACTTAGTGGAAAATAAAACAATTCACAAACATTTAAGCATAACGGAGAGTGACCATTTGCAATTTACATATTTTAATTTCTTTGTTTTTCCCAATGTAACTCATATTATCCCAGGAATCCATTCACTATAAAAATAATCTGCTTAATATATTTTCTAATACTCCTTATAGACACCCCATTTGATCCATTGCGCCTCCTTGGACAGGCCGTCTCCAATATCATCTGCTCCATTGTATTTGGTGAGAGGTTTGACTATGAAGACAAAGATTTCAAGAACCTTCTACAATGTTTCAGAGACCTCTTCACACAGATGAATTCAACCTCCGGACAGGTCAATAAATGTACCATTGATAATTTAAGGGGAGAGAGTGAATATGTCCAGTTTAATTGGTGAAATCGTTCTTTCAGAAACTTTAATACCATGGTGAGAATAATGTTTCATTTATAATATAATAAAATTATTATATTTAAGATGTATTACATTTTCACAGTTTCTTCAAGTGTTTCCAAATATTCTCAAACATATCCCTGGGCCTCACCAGAATATCTTCAACAATTTCAACAAATTAAAACAGTTTGTTATGGATAAAGCAAAATCCCACCATCAGACTTTGGATCCAAACTGCCCGAGGGACTTCATAGACAGCTTCCTGATAAAGATGGAGGAGGTAGGGAATTGTTGAGTTGCTTCCCAGAACAAAATCTATATTAAGTTATATGCTGCAGTTTGAAAGGGGGTTAATAATTTCCATAAAACAAACTATTTAAAATTTTCCCCAGGAAAAAAACAATCCAAACACTGAATTTCACAATGAAAATTTATGGGGAACAATGTTGGACTTGTTTGTTGCTGGAACAGAGACTACAAGTACGACACTGAGATACGGATTCCTGATTCTTCTCAAGTATCCAGAGATACAAGGTAAAGTTTCAATAAAATTTCTTGAAGTACAATTTTGCAGCAATTACTACAAGCTTCTGGGCATGAAGTCCATAGGCCCATGGTGGAAAACAACATCACTCCCTATGGGAGCATTAAGGCACTTTGTTGCAGGTAAAATACAATTAGTATATGACAATGGTTATTTTTACCCATTTCTTTAGCCATGCAATGATGAAAGGCTGAGTAAATCTTTGAGGGGTTACATGCAGTGTGCTAAAGCCTATACGTTAGCCCTTTTGGCTCTCATAGAATATTGCTCTGTAAATGTAAACATATCACTAAGAATATATATTTTTATTCAAAGCATTCTGTATGTTTTCTTCAGAGAAAGTGCAGAAGGAGATTGACAGTGTAATTGGCCAAGAACGCAGCCCGTCAGTGGAGGACCGGACTAAGATGCCATACACAGATGCAGTGGTTCATGAAATCCAGAGATTTGCTGATATTGTCCCCACAGGATTGGTCCATGCATCTAGTAAAGACACAACTTTCAGAGGTTATCACATTCCCAAGGTGAGCACAGTTTAACAATGAGCGAATATTGCATTCTAATCAGTTTATTGCAACTAATCAGTTAATATTGCAATCTAACCGGTAGATACCTACTCTGAGAGCAGATGATTCTACGAACTTCTGATTATCAGCAAATACTGTTAGTAGCTTAGCTAGATCTTGCAGGAGACTCCTGTATGTAATTGTAGATTATGCTAACGCAGAGTACCTATAATCTTAATTTTATTAAGGACAGGAGGCTTTGTATTTTGCATAATCTCTCTTTACTAAAACTCCAGCAGCACAGATTTAACAATAAGGTTCAGTGAAAAAAACATTGCAACAGGGTATAAAAAGCCCCTCCGCCTGTATCACTTCCTCTTTCTTTGATGCGATATAATCATAAAAACATCCTGTAGCTCCAATAAACAACTATAACAATGAAGATTCAGACTGCAAACGATCCGAATCCCAAATGGATGATTGTCGTAGAGTGTGAAGAAGATCCCATGTATCGATCCACGAAGAAGAATCAAACTGAAAAGAAACAAAAGACGTGAAAGGGACTTGGAAACTGTCCCCACTTCACAAAAAGAGGGGAATTTACCAAATGAGACAATAAAATTTTTGTAACAGGAATAATAGGTATTTGAGGATAAATACATCAATATATATTGTCAAATTGTACGGAATAAGTAATCATAACAGATAATAATCGCAATCTCAAGTCTTCAGAAGAAGACTTCAAAAGAATTCAAATCTTTATTGAAGTACAAACCAATGAATCACATAAACAGGGAGGGGAAAGAAGGGTGGGAAAATACTCACCTCCTGTCCTTCATAAAATTAATATTATAGGTACACTGCTTTAGCATAATCTACAATTTTATAACATGACAGGAGGATTCGTATTTTGTATTTTTAAAGCTGTGGATGAAGAGCAAAAGAAGCATGAGAAACCTGACGGAATGAACAAACACAGAATGTACTCTCTAGTCCAGTCCGTGGATCGCAATATGTCGGTAGATGAAGCACACGCCGGAAAGACCTTCAATGTGGTTGTGCCCTGAACCGAGTGAGCGCCAAAACAAGAGTCTACACCCATTAGGAATATCCGCCAGCAAAAGAGAAAATAAGAGGTCCCGACTAGCGTGTCCATAGAGGAGTGATCACCAATCTGGAGGACAGAGGAAGAGCATAGGCTCCTTGGAACGTCCAATTCTGAAGTAAAGCGTCCACTGCCTTGTACTCTGGTTCTGGAAGCCAGCTGAAACCATTCTGCAATTGCCTGTTGGACCGGGATGCAAAATTTTCAACTGGAGCAGACCCCACAGAGTCCACAGTGTGCAGAATATTGAGACGTTCAGTCTCCATCCTTTGATGTCCCTCCAGAGTTGAGAAACCCAGCCCGCCCAAGGCAGCCAAAATCTGTAAATGTCCGTTGTCACCTCTGTGAGATCCCAGGATCATGCTCTGCCCAAGTGGTTTATGTATCGAACCACCGATATGTAGCTATTCCACATCTACATGTGAAGTAATCACCAACGGATTTAGGCCCTTCCTCCGGCCTTACTGGTATGCAATGGCCGTAAGCATGACCCGTTCACAGATAATGGGCTTACAGTCAGTGCATAGTTTTATTGTGTAGTAGATCTGGAAAATCACTTGGATGCATGAGGACAGGAGTCCCACCACACGAGCCCAGATTCAGAAAGGCATGGAGTCCTTGCCCAGAGTATGCCCGATTTCTCAGTGAATGGCTTTGATTTTGTTGTGTTAGGTAAAGAACACATTAGGTCAACTGGATCTCGAATTTCGGGAATTGTATCACCTGAGGTGGTGTTAGAGTTGATGACCCTTTGCTTAAGATGACTCCACATGATTCCAGAAGGTAAATTACCAATTAAGTCTTTGAGAGCATTCTGGAGATGGAATCGCAGATTGAATACTGTTGCCCCAATAGAGAGGGCTTATATCCATGAAGTTGAACACTAGTGAGTGTAGGAGAGAGCTGAATACTTTTATCCAGCGCCTATAATCCACAATCATGGAATAAACACATCCTGTACGTTTATTTATGCCTCCATTGTGCACTCACCCCCAGGGAACAGTGATGTTTACATATATAAGAAAACCTGCAGAGAAAAGCTATGCCAGTTTGTGGGAATCACGAACTGGCAAAACCACGATGGCCAACGTGAATCTCGCGATACCGCAAGATTCAAGATGGCTGCTGTTCGCTCCCCCTCACTCCCCCCACCTCCAGTACCCTTGCCTTGAAGCCCAGAACCCTGTCAGTAGAGACAACGCGATCGCAGTAAAAAGCCGCAAACCGCGCGAGGATAGTGACAGGGGAAACACAGGGCCAGCAGAAAACAAAGATAAAGCAATATTAAACTAACATAAGGGGAGAAGGGAACAGGGGATAAATAACAATACACAAATGTTCAAATAAAGTGCAAATAGCTATTACAATAAATGAACAGTGTGGAGCAAATTAGTCTGACCTGTGCCTTGGCTGGAGCAGCAAAGAAAGAAGAAGTGATACAGGGGGAGAGGCCTTTTATACCCTGTTGCAATGTTTTTTTCACTAAACTTTATTGTTAAATCTGTGCTGCTAGAGTTTTAGTAAAGAGAGATTATGCAAAATACAAAGCCTCCTGTCATGTTATAAAATTAAAGTTACATTGACGGAGCATGTTACATCTAATTGAAAGTGAAACCATTTTGTTCCCATGCAGGGTGTGTGAGTCACAGCCAGAGTAGGTGTGGTTAGGGCTACATAAACAGAAACAAAAGTCATTTAACTCATAAATGGCAGAGAATTGAGCAGTGAGACTGTTGGAGTATGATCTAAAACACCAAAACTGCTTCATTAAGCTAAAGTTGTTTTGGGGACTATAATATTCCTTTAAATATGTCCCTGGCACTAGTCGATCTTCATCCTATGAGGAACAAACCATGAAATGTATGCATTTAACTAATCATGTTTTTTAGGGAGCCTTACTATTCCCGGTACTAACCTCAGTGTTAAAGGACTCCAAATATTTTAAAAACCCTCATGAATTTGACCCTGGTCACTTTCTGGATGAGAACGGATGTTTTAGAAAGAATGAAGCCTTCATGCCATTCTCTGCAGGTAATAGTATGGTATCAATTATAGATATTTAATAAGGTCTGTGAACATTTCCATGTTCTTACCTTCTATATTATCTTCTTCTCCAGGTAAACGTGCGTGTGTGGGGGAAGCTCTTGCTCGCATGGAGCTCTTTCTCTTCCTCACCACCATCTTGCAGATGTTCACACTAAAGCCAACATTAGACAAGAAAGATTTTGAGATCACACCTGAGCCAAAAAGCAATGGTGCAAAACCTCGGACCTACATGATGTACGCTGTGCCTCGCTGAAAGTCCTTAATAATGTTCCATACACCAGAAACCCTTTTGCAGACATCAATGTATTCCTCTGATTTTGTAAGCAATTACTATGAATTAAAGAAACATGTTAGAGACACAAACTGTCTCTTGCCATTGAACATTTGTGTGTGCATTTGTTTTTGTTTGTTGTGTTTGTGTTTCTATGGCACGATCTAGCTCCTAAACTAAAACTAAGAAGAACCCTAGAACACGCCGAGGTCTCTGTAGGTATCTGAACCTTGAATGGTAGCGTTCAGCATTATAATGTTTTATATTTTGAACTCCACTAATGGAGCTAAAACTGCACAGAGGATGCTGGTGAGCGGAGAGCACAAGGCATGCATGGGAAGGAGAGATTTGTATTGCCCAGTGATAGAGAAATGGTTATTAATAGGAGGGGTGCAGAGTGAATGGGAGGTGGAGCATTTTGTATGGAAAATGGAGCAGGCTGTAAGCCAGAGTGTATGGGAGGGGGTTCAGACTGTATGGGAAGTGGAGCATTCTATATGGGAAGTGGAGTGGGCTGTGTGGGAGGGGGTGCAGGCTGAATGGGAGGGAGTTCAGATTGTATGGGAAGGGGTGCAGAGTGTATGGGAGGGGTGCAGAGTGTATGGGAGGGGGTTCAGACTGTATGGGAAGTGGAGCATTCTATATGGGAAGTGGAGTGGGCTGTGTGGGAGGGAGTGCAGGCTGAATGGGAGAGGGTTCAGACTGTATGGGAAGTGGAGCATTCTGTATGGGAAGTTGAGTGGGATGTGTGGGAGGGGGTGCAGGCTGAATGGGAGGGGATTCAGATTGTATGGGAAGGGGTGCAGAGTGTATGGGAAGGGGTGCAGGCTGTATGGCAGAAGTATGGAAGGGAGGGAGCAGACTGATTGAGAGGAGGAGAGACTGTATGACTGGGGAAGTAGACTGTATGGAAGGAGTAATATTTTCTATCTAATGCATTAAGACTAAGGAATGATTATTTGACAATGCTTTCCATTAAAGTAACAGTCGTGGTTTGGTCCTGTATTGAATGGGACAAAACCATTTGGTTGCATAAAGGGCCGTTTTGAAGGCAAAATCTGGACATGATTTACACTATTTAACAAAACATGCTCTGAATAAGTCTGAGTCGGACCTGGATTTCTTCCTGACTGAGCTGAATCTGGATCAAAAAATTAAAATATGGGCTCGGAACTGTTTGCTGCATATAGATAAAACAAGGGTGGGCCAGTGATGCGAACCGGGGATGGACAAGTCCAGAAAGCTACCGAAAGAATTGGAAGGTCAGCTTGGCGTGGGTGCATGTTAGTCTGCCTGCCAATCATGAAGGCTGGCCAACTAAGGGCGTACCATGCAGACGGCACCATCAGCTTGTTGCAAGTGAGCCCTGAGCTTGGTATGCCGTCTGAGACAGAAAAAGGTGGATGTAGCAAGTGTAGAAGAAAGGGGACAGAGTGTTAGAGAGACCGAAACAGCATGAGTGTTAGAGAGACTGAAACAGCAAGAGTGCTAGAGATACTGAAACAGCACGAGGGGCCACTGTGATAGAGAGACCAAAACCTCAAGAATATTAGAGAGCATGAAACAACACGAGGGGCCACAGTGTTAGAGAGACCGAAATAGCAAAAGCAATTACCTTAACCTTAACTAATCTCATTGCTAGACAGTCCACACACGTTTTGTTCCCCTACATCTCATTTAAGGACCCATATCTCATTCTCTCTGCACAAGGCAAGAGCATGCAAAGAAGATTAATAAATATATATACACAGTGTGCAGCCGTCAGCTGCTCAGCATTTATATTCCAGCAGTGCGAGGATTAAAAAAAGCTAGCAAGTGGGCTGCTATAGCTAAAAGTAACGAAAGCGAATACCATCACCTGTAACCTGTAGGTGGGCTATCTAAAGTAATATGTTGGAGAGACCTGGCTGTGTCTCCCAAAACCCCCACTTATGGAAAAAGTCACTCCTTTTATTATTAGTAGGAAAAATAAATATTGTTTTACTTATTTCCTTAGAATTAACTGGTTTCTGAAAAATTCTCCCTTTTTTCAGTGATGCTTCAATTACTTCATTGTTACAGCCCAGAGAATCTCCTTCTTCCATATATGTTTACATTTTTTTGTTCCTGAATGTGACCAGCATTATCTGTAATCCAGCCTATACCATTCTAGCATGTAACAAGCAATACTAGTTACTGTGTAGCTACAAACACACCCAGTGTGTTCACACGGATCTCACTCTACCCTATATAATAATGCTGCTCCTTTAACTGAGCGATCGTCCCGAGGGTTAATGTCACAATGGAGCTGGGACTCACAGGGATATTACTTCTGGTCACCTGTGTCACCCTCCTGATTTACCTAATCACATGGAGGGGCAAAAAGAAACCAGAAAATGCACTCCCAGGGCCCAAACCATTCCCCCTCCTGGGCAACATTCTGGACCTCAACATGACGGAATTACCCCGGGACCTGGTTAAGGTGAGAGATATCACTGAATTAATTGTTTGGGAGGATTATTTTTATAAATCAAATATTCAGGAGTTCATAACTCAATTCACAAGACCTGGTCCTGTTATCTATTAAAGATATAGCTTTAATTTGTCCAACGTCTGTATTTACTCAATGTAAATGATGTCAAGATGTTTTCGAGGGTGCCTACTGCCTGGTTGGTGAAGAGTTAAAGTGGAAGTGAAGCTGCTGTGCGTGACTGGCTCTGTGTATCTGTTGCTGTTGTTTACGCTCTGAGATTAGTCATGGCTGTTGGAGAAATACTTACAATGGGAATGAGACTGTAAACTCTAATGGATTATAAGCAATGATTTTGCATGTGTATTGCTGTTCAATGGTTTTTAAAACATGAAAAATAATTACAAAAAATTTAAAGAATTGCATTTGTGTTTGTTTATTTAAACCACACTTCCTGTAAAGAGAGCCCTATTTAGGCTTTCTTTATTGCAAGTTCTGTTTAATTAAGATTTTCTTATCCCCTGATATGTTAATAGCTTGCTAGACCCTGCAAGAGCCTCCTGTATGTGATTAAAGTTCAATTTAGAGATTGAGATACAATTATTTAAGGTAAATTACATCTGTTTGAAAGTGAAACCAGTTTTTTTTTCATGCAGGCTCTGTCAATCATAGCCAGGGGAGGTGTGGCTAGGGCTGCATAAACAGAAACAAAGTGATTTAACTCCTAAATGACAGTGAATTGAGCAGTGAAATTGCAGGGGAATGATCTATACACTAAAACTGCTTTATTTAGCTAAAGTAATTTAGGTGACTATAGTGTTCCTTTAAGACTATTCCTCTTTATAGTATTGTAACATTGTTTATTTTACTTTATAAGCAATGGAAAATGAAACCATGTCTATACATTATTGGTAATGAAAGTGTTAAGAATCTACATCACACAACAACTTGTGATTACAAAGGTCATGTGAAGGTTCTAATACAGAACGACATTTTAGAAATACTGACTATACCCAACGCGAGCAACACGTAACATGTACAGTAACTGGATGTTTATAGTATAATCACACACAGGAAAGGCGCTGCTGTCTGGTGAAACACAGATCAGCAGGAAAAAAAGGAGAATTCAGGGCCGTAAATAAAGTGAATGAACATCTGTATAACCGAAAAAATGGAAGGACATCGTTTTAAAAGAGTTTAATGTTTGCATGACAAAATTGATTACACTAATAATTTACAATATAAAATATTAAAATAAAATATGCTATTGATGGTGGAGCATTATTAGTGCACAAGGCGTTAATTTAAAATACATTTATAAATAGAATTGTTAAAAAAAAAAAGCAAAACAAATAAACAAAACAAACTGTTTAAGGTTATAATAAATAATGTTCACGGTTTTCCCTCTATTAACAGGAACTTAAAGTGATTTTATTTTTATATTTTTTTATTAATTTTTCTTTTGGCCGAAATAGCTGAATTGACAATGGAGTAATTATTAACACCAATAATGATACATTCTAACAATCAGAATATTCGATGTAGAAGCCTTATTGGAATCTGAATTCTAATTGTAAGTTTGTGGGATTTACAGGTTATTTACTATAGTGAATTTCAAATTTTAGGCCAAGGTAGCTGTTCTGGAAGGATAGCTGACTTCGAGAATTTTTCCAGTTCCGCTGTTTTGGCCTATGTGACTATGACACTATAGTCACCAAAACAACTTTTGTGTAATAAAACAGTTTTGGTGTATAGATCATGCCTCTGCAGTGTCACTGCCATTTAGGAGTTAAATCACTCTGTGTATGAACCCTAGTCACACCTCCCTGCATGTGACTTGCACAGCCTTCCTAAACACTTCCTGTAAAGAATCATCTAAAGTTTATCCTTCCTTTATTGCAAGTTCTGTTTAATTTAGATTTTCTTATCCCCTGCTATGTTAATAGCTTGCTAGAACATGCAAGAGCGTCATGTATGTGAATAAATTTCAATTTACAGAGAAAGTGATACGTTTGTTTAAGGTAAATTACATCAGATTGAAAGTGAAACCAGTTTTTTTTTCATGCAGACCGTGTCAATCAGAGCCAGGGAATGTGTGGCAATGTCTGCATAAACAGAAACAAATTGATTTAACTCCTAAATAGCAGTGAATTGAGCAGTGAAACCTGAGAGGCATGATCTATACACTAAAACTGCTTCTTTAAGCTAAAGTTGTTTAGGTGACTATAGTGTCCTTTAAATATGAAGTTCACTTTGAATTCTCACTTTAGTTAACAACCCTGATTGTGTGGGGAATTGCAGTCACAAAGACCTACAGAGGTAGAGCTCACTAAGTAACTTGTTTTTGTAGCCATAGGTTTGTAGCTGTAGTGATTCTTGGAAATTGTTGCTGCTGTAACCAACATTTTGATTATTATTATAATTTTGTTTTTTACTACTATTAATGCATCAGAAATTGTTTAATCTGCAACGAGATATTATTATTCAGACATGTATAATTACATAGCATTTGATAAGCATCGTCTTTGTGTCTCTGCAGATGAGTAAGATTTACGGACCTGTGTACACACTTTCTCTCGCCGGTCAATATTCAGTGGTTTTTACAGGGTACGACGCAGTGAAAGAGGCTCTTGTGGATCACAGTGATGTATTTAGCGACAGGGGAAACATGGGTCTCATTGAATTGTTGTTCAAAAATTATGGTAAGTGGCCTCTCACCTTGGAACAGAGCGTATAGGGCTTTAGTCTCCTGGACTCGTCAGCAAATAGTTTTCTGACCACTACTACCTATGGCCTCTTTGTATGATGCCAATATTAAAGGAACACTATAGTCACCTAAATTACTTTAGCTAAATAAAGCAGTTTTAGTGTATAGATCATTCCTCTGCAATTTCACTGCTTAATTCACTGTCATTTAGGAGTTAAATCCCTTTGTTTCTGTTTATGCAGCCCTAGCCACACCTCCCCTGGCTATGATTGACAGATCCTGCATGAAAAAAAAAAACTGGTTTCACTTTCAAACAGATGTAATTTACCTTAAACAATTGTATCTCAATCTCTAAATTGAACTTTAATCACATACAGGAGGCTCTTGTAGGGTCTAGCAAGCTATTAACATAGCAGGGGATAAGAAAATCTTAATTAAACAGAACTTGCAATAAAGAAAGCCTTAAAGGACCACTCTAGGCACCCAGACCACTTCAGCTTAATGAAGTGGTCTGGGTGCCAGGTCCAGCTAGGATTTACCCATTTTTTATATAAACATAGCAGTTTCAGAGAAACTGCTATGTTTATGAATGGGTTAAGCCTTCCCCAAAAGCCTCTAGCGGCTGTCTCATTGACAGCCGCTAGAGGCGCTTGCGTGATTCTCACTGTGAAAATCACAGTGAGAGCACGCAAGCGTTCATAGGAAAGCATTGATAATTCTTTTCCTATGCGACCGGCTGAATGCGCGCGCAGCTCTTGCCGCGCGTGCGCATTCAGCCGACGGGGAGGAACAGAGGAGGATCGGAGGCAGAGAGCTCCCCACCCAGCGCTTGAAAAAGGTAAGTTTTACCCCTTTTCCCCCTTCCAGAGCTGGGCGGGAGGGGGTCCCTGAGGGTGGGGGCACCCTCAGGGCACTATAGTGCCAGGATAACGAGTATGTTTTCCTGGCACTATAGTGGTCCTTTAATAGGGCTCTCTTTACAGGAAGTGTTTATGGAAGGCTGTGCAAGTCACATGCAGGGAGGTGTGACTAGGGTTCATAAACAAAGGGATTTAACTCCTAAATGGCAGAGGGTTGAGCAGTGGGGCCACAGGGGCATGTTCTATACACCAAAACTGCTTCATTAAGCTAATGTTGTTCAGATGACTATAGTGTCCCTTTAATCATACCTATAAACTGAGTGGAGTAGAGTAGGTACACAAGTAGCAAACAATGAATAACAAACTCTCCAAGTGTCCAATGGTCTGTTATTTAGTAGTAAAAAGGAGAAAACTAGCAGGCACAATCTGATAAATTCATGGGCAGATTTTTTGGATATATCAATATATATATATGTGTGTAACAAAATACACTGAGAATTACATTCTATATATATATCTATCTATATATAAATTACAAATAACCGCAAATATATAAATACACATAAATATATATAATTACATAAATAACTACATACATGTACACGTAGACTTTAAATACATATATATGTATATATATTAAAACTCTACATGTATATTTAAGTAATATTTTAGCATAATTATGTGATTTAATTAATTAAAATTTGACTGACATGCCTGATAACCCAGGCAGAAAGTGCAGAGAATTTGAATTGCAAACACTCTATTTAACCCTGTAACTTTCAAAGACACCATAAAACCTGTACATGGGGGGTACTGTTTTACTCAGGAGACTTCGCTGAACACAAACATTAGTGTTTCAAAATGGTAACTTGTATTACAACAATTATATTTTTAGTAAAAGTGAAGTTTTTTTGCATTTTTCACACACGAACAGCACTTTTACTGACGATATTATTGTTGTAATATGTTTTACTGTTTTAAAACACTTATTTTTGTGTTCAGTGAAGTATCACAAGTATAACAGTACCCCCATGTACAGGTTTTATGGTGTTTTGGAAAGTTAGAGAGTCAAATATAAGGCTTGCATTTCATTTTTTTTCACGTTGAAATTTGCCAGATTAGTTATGTTGCCTTTTGAGACCGTATGGTAGCCCAGGAATAAGAATTACCCCCATGATGGCATACCATTTGCAAAAGTAGACAACCCAAGGTATTGCTCTTTTTGCAGTAAAAGCTTACAGTATTATGACATTTACAGATAATATGTGAGGCGGAACTACACATTTTTTTTTTTTTTAATTTCTCACAGTTTTTTTGATTTTATTCATAATAAATTACGTTTCATATATGAATAGTTCATGTGAAATTAAAGCCCTGTTTCTCCTGAACAAAATTATATATAATAAGTGTGGGTGCACTTAATATGAAAGAGGTGAATTACGGTTGAACAGACATATAGCGCAAATTCCAGTTTTTGTTTACATTTAGTTTTGATCAGAACGTGTACTATTGACTCCGCCCAGAAGGGGTTAATAAATGTTTGTGCTGGGGAAAAGGAGGAAAGTTGCAGACACTATAAATGCAATCACCACTTAGCCGCCCAATGAGAATACAGTTAGCTGAGAGCTAGTGTTTTCTCCCAAAACCTTGCTTTTGCATCTCAAAAGCATGCTCTTGGACAAGTTAACCTATTCAATTAGCGTGTGGCGGTAGAAAATAATTGTTAACCAAGAACAAAGATGATTTAAAGATGTTCGCTCAAACATAACACATTCCTAAAAATAAGCTATAACATCTTTGTCAAAAAAATTAAAAATTAAAATTCACTTTTGGCTCTTGATAACAGAGGAAAATCCGTTCACGTTATTTACAATGGTCATTAAAGTGAAATTAAGAAATTAATTTAGAGTGCATTACAAAACAATATACAACACAAATATTTATTGTATGCAATTTTCTGTAATAATAGAAACTGACAAAGGAATAATATTCTCTATTTTGTTTGTGGTGCAGAAGATTTTACAAAGTCAAAGATGCTAATCAGGCCATATCAGTTACGCTTCTTTTATGATGTTTTAAGGGATCGTAGTGAGCAATGGGGAGAGATGGAAGACATTGCGTAGATTCTCGCTCACGACTTTGAGAAATTTTGGAATGGGGAAGAGAGGCATTGAGGAGAGAATTCAGGAGGAAGCTCGTTCTCTCGCAGAAGAATTCAGAAAAAACAATGGTCGGTGAAGACAGTATGCATTTGAATTTTAGATTAAATACTACAAAAACTCTCTATATTACCTCGGAGGCCAAAAAGTAATTCACACATGTTTTATTACATTTAAAACACTCCTTCTATATTAAAACATTAAAGAGAAAAAAGTACACTCAACAAAATAGATCAAAGAACACTACTTCATAATAGTATACAAAGTTTAAAGTGATACTTTGCACTGGAGGTGACCCATTCTTTTTTGTTTAATGGTCAATATAACTAACACATTAAAATAGATATATACAGGAGCAATAAAGCAAAAATATTAAAAATAGTAGGGATACTCAATTACAATTATTTATATAGCCCCAACATATTTCACTATGAGGTACAATAGGTAAATAAGACAAATATTTAATTCTAACAAAACGTGTGTGACATCCGGGAAAAGTAGGTGAAGCCCAAAGAAGCTTACAATTTTACTCATATTTGTAATCTCTGCTTTTGTTGATAATCCGAAAGCATTTAGGTTCCACCAAATGAGATAGTGACTTAGCCTATCACAAGCTTGCTTTACATTTTAGACCACTACAAATTAAACTTTTGCATCCAGTTTCAAACAAATTGGTTAATTAGTGGGTCATTCAAGAATCACGACACAAAGGAAACGGACAAGGGATGGGTAGTTTCATTTGTGATTCGGAGTTCTAGCTATAGCACCAAAAATATAGGAAATTAATGGTTTGGAGACAGACACTAAATGTTGATTAAATGATTTTATTCACAGGTCCAGTAACCAGTGGAGGGAAACAGCAGGAGCTGTTTATTATATATATTTCTATTGATTCTATTGAAATATATATATATATATATATATATATATATATATACATGTGTGTGTGTGTCCTGATGAAAGCACCGATTGGGAGCTGAAACGTTGACTACTTTGGATGTACCTACAATAAATTGGATGAATCAAACCCAAGAGTGCCGGTAATTTTCTGATATTTTTATGTTATTGGGACTTGGCACCTGGTATTAAATACTTTTGAGTAGGAGTGCAAGAGGTTCAAATTTTTCTTATATTTATATATATTTCTATTGGTTATTTTTTAATAGATTTTATTACTCCTTTTTTGCCTCTATTGCTCACTTGATCTGTGAATAAAATCAACATTTAGTGATTGCACCGTAGCCATCAATCATCTCTTTTTCTGGTGCCACAGGCAGAAGATTAAATCAAACAAGCTTGACCATTGCGCCAGTTGCTTGTTTCATTATTAGTTTACTTGGTGGTGGTTTGGAAAATTCATATGATAACCCAGTCAGCCTAAATGTGGACACTTCTCAATGAAATTAATCTCCAAGTCTAACAGTTTTTGATAAGAAGGCTCAGAGTCTGCCACCAGAAAAGACATAGCATTATGTGAATATATTAAAGTGTGTATATTAAAATGTAACTCTTTTTATTATCACAGGAATCATTTCTATATAAGAAGGGTATGCTTAATATATTTTCCAATACTCCTAACAGACACCCCATTTGATGCAGCACTCCTTGTGGGACAGGCCGTCTCCAATATCATCTGCTCCATTGTATTTGGTGAGAGGTTTGACTATGAAGACAAGGATTTTAAGAACCTTCTACAAAGTTTCAGAGACCTCTTTGCACACATCAATTCAACCTCCGGACAGGTCAATAAATGTCCTACGGAAAAATTGAAGGAATTGAATTGAAAGAATATTATTTAAACGTTTCTTTCAGAAACCTAGCAACAGAGGTGAGAATGACACATACTGTAATATTTACAATTTATTACAGGTTCTTCAAGTGTTCCCAAATGTTCTTCAACATATTCCTGGTCCTCATCAGAAAGTTTTCAGAACCTTTGGCAAATTAAAGCAGTTTGTAATGGATAAAGCAAAATCACACCAACAGACTTTAGATTTAAACTGCCCGAGGGATTTCATAGACAGCTTCCTAATAAAGATGGAGGAGGTAGGGAATTGTTGAATTACTAATTATTTCTCTATACAAGCTCTATATCCAGCTACATGTTGCATATTGGAAGGAGGTGATGGTTTATAAAACAAAATATTACATATGTTTCTCCAGGAAAAAAATTATCCAAACACTGAATTTCACAATGAAAATTTATGGGGAACAATGTTGGACTTGTTTTTTGCTGGAACAGCGACCACAAGTACAACACTGAGATACGGATTCCTGATTTTTCTCAAATATCCAGAGATACAAGGTAACGTTCTTCAATGATATTTCTTTAAAGAACATTTTTTTGTTAGTTACTACAAAGTTCTGATAATGGAGTCCATGTGTCCATAGTAAGCACCCACATTCAAGTAATCATTGCATGGGACTTGGTCACATTGCGAGTAGCTAATAATTGATGACGAAATATAGTTATCTGGAGGTGTAGTAACAGTGAAAGCTCACAACTCCAGCAGTGATTGAAGGTGTAAACCTGCATGAGATTCTTGTGACCTGTGACCAATACAGACTTTGGGTCTAGTTAAAGAAAATGTCTGAGTAGTGAAAAATATATATTCTTTTGTTAAAGTACCTGTTCATTCCTATAATTAATGAATGAGAGTTTGGGATATAATTTAAAAACCTTGCATTTCGGATCAGAAACATGAGACACACAAACAAAATAGTAGAAATGTGATGCCAAGCGTATATATGTTGGAGGCAAAATTCACACCAAGTTGCAAGTGTCGAAAGTAGCCAAAGGAAATACAAATATTTTGTTTTTGAAGGAGCTCACAAAATGGGTCAAGATTGGTATTTTTGAAAAATAGAAAATATTATGTCTGGGAGAAAAATCTATTCATCAAAATTAGGGTAAGAGTAAATTTATTAAAGGAAACTTTATATTCAATTTATCCCAGAAGTATTTGGTGGTAGTTTGAGCCAGCAATGTACAAAGTATTAGCAGTCAGGCTTGTTTTAGGAGCCAGATATAGAAATAGGGGAGATCATTCCAAAAGTTTGATGCTCCAGGTCCACGCATCTCTTCACTCCTCTAACGGAGCTCCCTGTACCACTGGCTGGGTACCTCCTCCAACGACCGCTTACTAACTGGAACATGGGACAAACCACAGCACTTCTGTCGATAGTCGCCATGGCTTGACTGGGGCCCTGGAACCGCTCCGTCCTGGAGCCGAATGGGGTATAAGCTCTAGACACCCCCAGGCACTGGGCGACACTCCTGGGAGCTTTAGTCCTTACAAGGACTTTCCAGGTTGAATCTCCTCCAAGCTGGAACAGCAGACACAGGAGTAAATCTTCTTTACTTCCAATACAGGATGACACACAGTTTTGGAGTGTAAGCTGGAATAGATTCTAATGATGCCACACTTGTCCTTATATGACAATCCCCATGCAAGGGGTACACCCACATGGACCTTGTTGGGGACAGGGACACAAACTTACAAACCAATAATAACACATTTACAATGTAAGGCACTCCCACACACAACACAAAATCCCTCCCTTCAGATTGGGAGATAATTGGATCAGAAACTCTACTAATTCTGATCCAATTATCTCCAAGCACAGAAAAAAAACATACTTTCTATAAAGCCCCCAAAGTACCCCAAAACACATGATATCCCCACAAATGTCACACCCCTGATAGCCCTGACCTGGGTGACCAACATATCCAAAAATCACCCAGATCAGTACGAAGGTTAAAAAATTCTATGGAATTCATAATTTTGACCGACCTTGCACATGGTCCTATGCCCAAAACAGTGAATTTTCATGAAATCAGTGCTAACGGTCGGTCAACTTCGGTAGTCTTTTACAGGTTTCCCTACAGGGCCCATAGTCTGTGGGCAGGAGGCTGGCAAGCAAGCTCCTCCAGGAACTCGTAGCAAACTCACTTGGACAGGGGAGTATGTCACATATGGTTTATTATCAGGAATTCTCTTTGTTTTGCAGGTAATAGAATGCCGATGGGACAGTATGTATATGTTAATATCGACATCTAAATATCTACACTCCAGGAGTTAGTTACACATATCCAGGGTTATTTTACTAAGTGAGAATTATTGGGAATTCATGGAGATATTTAAAATTTAAGGTCAGAGTACACGTGGGAAGGGAAGTTTGTCACAGCTCCCATGTGCAGGTGTTGGATTTGAGCTAATCTGGCTGCTTGGTAGTAATGTTAAAAATGGGGCAGACCAAGACCACCCAATCCACCAGGAATGTTCAAACTCGTGTTTTATTCTTGGATCATCTGAACTCTACAGAGTATACATTGTTTAAATCTGGAATGTCCAAAGGAGTGTCTGAAAGAAACAAAGGAAGCATGGGAATGCATTCATCTTTTTAGAAACAATTCTGCCAAGTAACAAAATTCCAAAATCTTGCCAAGAGGCCAGGAAATAATTATGAATTAAGGGATTAGAATTCAGAATATAAGCATTGTTAAAATCTGCTGGCAGATTTTTCCATAGGTGCAAATTGTGACAGGAATTAAAACTGAAAGTGGTACATTGTCAATAACAAGGTGAGAAGGGTGTCATCTAAGTTTAAGGGAAGGATGTCAGTTTTATGCAGGTTTAGTTTTTTTTCCTAAGACCTTGGTGTAGAAGGAGAGAACTTCCAAGAGTATAGGAAGAAATAAGATAGTGTTAGGTAAAGGAGCACGCCAGGAAAACAAACTCGTTTTTCTGGCACTTTAGGGTCATTAGGTCCCCCCCATCCTCAGGGCCTCCCTATCGCTGGGCTGAAGGGGTTAAGACAGCCACTAGAGGCTGGATTAACCCTCAGTGAAACATTGCAGTTTCTCTGAAACTGCTATGTTTTCAACTGCAGGGTTAAAACTAAAGGGACCTGGCACCCAGACCACTTCATTGAGCTAAAGTGGTCTGGGTGCCTATAGTGGTCCTTTAAGGACAATAACAAAGCATCTTCATAAGCAGCAACTTTATCATTTTGGGATTTCGCTGTCAGGCCTGGGATAAGAGGATTGCAACAGATCATTTGTAGAAAATGGTTCCATAGAAAGTGCAAATAATATCAGGGAGATGGGGCATCCTTATCATGTACCATTTCAAACTGTAAACCCAGGTGTAATTGAGTACTTTTTTTTTTTCATTTTGGTGATGAAAGACTAAGTAAATCTTCTCGTGGTTGTATATGTGTGTTTAATTCTTTTTATTAAATGTTTTCATGAAAGTATTAATAGACATAACAACACCTAGGGGAGGGAACCTTACAGAAAAAAAATAAGGATTCCTATCCCCATTAGACATACATAAATATAATGTTCTATTTCAAATTTCATCAATAAGCTGTCTAGAACACAATATAATAACAATAATATCCCATAGAATGGATATCGTGGTCCAAAAACGGCCTAAAAAAGCCTTATAAATAAAATAGACAAAAACAAAGACAAAGACAAAACTGATCATATGTATTGCAGATCCGATACCACACTTAGATAGAACAATATAAGGCCAAGGAAGCCAGTAATAGAACCCGTTGTGAAAACATCAGACTAACCATAAGGAGGTCGTATGAAGTATCTCACCACTTCAGACTCATTAAAGCCTATTAATTTTTTGGGCAAGACTAGAATAGAACGTCAGAGCATTAAAATTAGGATATTCTCTCATAGACAATAATCCCTTTTCCATCTCGACTTGGAATAGGAGTTGGGCTTTAACTTGATCTCTCGTAGGAATGTCAGTACTTTTCCAAAATCTAGCAATTAATATTTTAGTAGCCAATAAACAGTGTATAATCACAATATCAAGATTATCCTTAATTTCTGAGCCCAAAAGATGGAGTAGAGCGATTTCCGGTTTGAATTCCAAATAAGTACCTCCAATTCTATTTATAAATTCATATGTAATCGTCCAAAGAGATTTGATTCGATGGCAGGACCACCATATATGAACCATAGAGCCATCTGGATGTAGACACCGCCAACAGTTAGACGGGTTAGTAATAGAAATTTTAGCGAGTCTAATCGGTACCAAGTACCATCTGAATAATATTTTAATAAAAGTCTCTAGGATATTCAAACAGTGAATAATTTTTTTAGTCCTTACAAAGGATTTACACCAACTATTAAATGGAATAGAAATTGCTAGATCAGTTTCCCATTTAGTTAAGGCTTTGGGGATGAGAGGGGTCCCTTTCGTTTTTATTAATTCAACTGCAATAGAGAAGATCCTTTTGACATAATACCCCGAAAATTTTTTCCTAAACAATATTCCAAAACGGCCTTCTAAAACCAATATATTATCTTTCAAATAGCTCTTAATACGAAGAAAGTTAAATAATTCTCTAGAGGGTAAATCTAACCAATTTTTCAGAACATCAAAGCTTTTCAATTGGTGGTCATTATAAAGATCTTTTATCTTATGATTAGAGTCTTTATACCAATTCGTCAAATTTATCTCTAGCATAAAACATTTTAACGACCTTAGACTCAGGTTCTCATATATTTTTCTGTTAATATTCAACTTCTTCTTTATAATAGTCCATTCTTTTAATGTCTGTGATAGAGACAAAGGACAATGAGAACCAATCTCACACAGATGCCTATTCTGGCTTGCCTCTCTCCATCAGAGGAATTCGAGGTTATCTAAACCAAGTCTGGCTGCTTCAATTTTATACCAGGCTTAGTCTGTAGAGTCGCTTAATTGTAATTTACTGGCATGAACTAGTATATTTGCCTGGTAGATTTGATTAACAAGGGGGTAACCCCAACCCCCCCTGATGGGCCTTCCTTGATAGATTGTATGTACTAATTCTTGGTCTCTTCCCATTCCTTGTATATGTGACCTTCCGGTTACGCACACAGTGCTAAAGAAAATGCATTAACTCATTGCTGTATCATGCAATCATGGTCTGTAAATCAAAACAAAAAAAAAAAATTTAGTTTTTAGGTCAAATGTTTTTCTGTTTCTTCTTCAGAGAAAGTGCAGAATGAGATTGATTGTATAATTGGAAAAGATCGCAGTCCATCAGTGGAGGACCGGAGTAAGATGCCATACACAGATGCAGTGATTCATGAAATCCAGAGAGTGGCTGATATTATCCCAACAGGACTGATCCATGCAGCCAGCAAAGACACAACTTTCAGAGGATTTCACATTCCCAAGGTGAGTAGAGTTTAACATTTGGACAATTCTATAAATGTATATTTACATGGGATCAATATTCTGATAATCAATAATTGATAAATGCCTAAATTCAAACAAATCCATGTTTTAGGGAGCCTTACTATTTCTAGTACTATCCTCGGTGTTAAAGGACTCCAAGTACTTTAAAAACCCCCAGGAGTTTAACCCTGGTCACTTTCTGGATGATAACGGATGTTTTAAAAAGAATGAAGCCTTCATGCCATTCTCTGTAGGTAATACTATTGTATCAATAATATATATTTAATATAGTCTGTGGATCCTCCAGTGAAAGTTTCACGTTCTTATCTTCTATATCATCTTGTCCAGGTAAACGTGTGTGTGCAGGGGAGGGTCTAGCTCGCATGGAGCTCTTTCTCTTCCTCACCACCATCTTGCAAATGTTCACACTAAAGCCGACAGTAGATAAGAAAGATATTGATATCACACCTGAGCCAAAAACCAATGGTGGAAAACCTCGAACCTACATGATGTATGCTGTGCCTCGCTGAAATTCCTTAATACTGTGCCCAACCCTTGGAACCAACCCTTTAGCGTTTTCTGTTTGTTTAATAATTACTGTGAATTAAATAATGTTAGAGGAACAAAATGTCTCTTTGTCATTGAACATTTGTGTGTGTGTATGTGCCTCTCTTTTTTGTGTGTCTGTATGTGTTTTTTATCCAGTATTGAGATGCATGTATTCCTGTATATGTGGCTGGGTTCCACTCCGCAGCTGACCAATGATAATACGAAATCTAGAAAATGCCAAGTTAGATATCTCAGCAGGTGTTTGCACCATGGATGGCAGTTTTCTAGGGAGCATGTCTAGCTGACCTTATCACTGATATTATGAGATCTTGTACATTATTCACTACTGGATCTGTACCCACATACATCATGTTATGTGCTCTGCCGTCACATTCTATGTTTCTATGTTTCTATGGTTTTGATCCTGCCAGTATACCAAATCTACAGTCTTCCCATTGCTATGTGTTCACATTGAGTTCATTGTCCGAGAAGCACATTTTCCTAAAAATTATACACACGTACACACACACACACACACTGAATTTCTGGCAATTCGGGCAATTCAAAACTCTCTGATTGGTTACTTTCAATCCACCAATCAGAGTGTTGTTATGAGTCAAATTACGCAGGTTGGAAAAATTACAAAGAACTTTCCCACGCTGTGTAAAATGACACAGAGCACTCTGATTGGCTGGATTTCAAGCTAACCAATCAGAGTGCTGTGACAGGTAAATGTAGAGACTTACCTGTCAGTCTCTTCATTTACCTGTCAGAGCACTCTGATTGGATGGCTTAAAGCAACCAACTAGAGTGCTCTGAGCCTAATTGCCTAAAAGCCTTCCCCCGCTCTGCCGAGCTCATTCTGCGCAGTGTACTCCATGGGTGATCATGGATTATTTTTTTTTGTGCTCTGGTTTTTTTCAAAGTGCGTCGGTTATTATGGATCTTTATTTGACCATTTTTAGGGCTGAAAAAATAAGATTTTAGAAGAATGAGGACATCAAATGGTAAGTTTTTATTTGCTTTTTTTACAGGTATCTAGTTAATGGTCCCCCCTTATTATTTTTAGGGTGAGCGGGGTCAGTGGGTGTTATTTTTTTGGGGGAGGGGGTGACTACTGGTTTGGGGACCCCTAGTCACCCGGGGGGTTAAATTTTTATTTAGGGCCACAACCCGCTGCTCAGGGGTGGGGGCCAGAGGGGAGGACAATAGGTCTCCCCCCTTATTCTAATTTAGGGGCCCCATCCACCGCTCAGGGCTGGGGCCGGAGGGGAGGACAATAGGTCCCCCCCTTATTCTAACTTAGGGCCCCAACCCGCCACTTAGGGGTGGGGGTGGAGGAGGGCATTAGGTCCCCACCTTATTCTAATTTAGGGCACCCACCCGCCACTCATGGGTCTCAATTTAGGTCTTTCAGCCTTTTGGTAGATAACTCCCTAATACCACGGGAATTAGGTAGTTATCTACTAAGTGGCTGCAAGAGAAGTCCCGAAATTCCAAAATGCCGTACAGAACTGAAGTGCCGAAGTCCCGAAGTTCCAAATTGCTGAATTCCCGAATATCGGAATGCCTAACCGATCAAAACTTTTCCTCATGCACATCCCTACACCCCAACACACACTGCACCCCCTCACACACACTGCATCCCACACACACATACACTGCACCCCTACACACACTGCATTTTCACACACACACACTACACCCCAATACACGTACAGTGCAACCTACAAACAGAAACACACTACACACTTTACACATACACTGCACCCTTCACACAGACACACTGCACCCCTCACACACTGAAAGTGGAGTCTCTAACACATTGGGGAGACCTGTATGTGTCCCCTAGATCCCCACTCATGGAATTCATTCTGTTGTCATTGTTTACTATGCTTATCATGCTGAGTCTGGACTCAACATTTATAACAAGAATTAGCATAGAATTTGTATTTGTAAATAAGGGAGATTTCCTCCTGATGCTACTCGCTGTGCTGCCTGTGGCTGCTCACTGTTGTTAAAAATAAATAAATAAAAGACCTCCCCCCACCTCTGAATCCAATAAAGTGCCTCATGGTGGGGCACCTTTTAAAATAATTAACCCAAGCACAACCCCGCAAGTAAATATTGAGTCCTTGCAGGTAATGCTCAAGATTTACCTGCTAGACCACTTTGATTGGTTGTTTTTTTAGGGCTGAAAAAAATAATATTTTAGAAAAAAGACATTTAATGGTAAATATGATTTTTTTAATATTTTTCAGGTATTTAGTATATTCCTCCCCCCTTACTATAATTAGGGTGAGGGGGTAGGTACGTTTTTATTTTATTGGAGAGGGTGCTTAGGGACCCCTTGTCACTAGGGGGGTGACTATGGTATATTATCACTTAAGGCCCCCCTGCCGCCACTCGTGTGGAGGCAGGGGGGAGGCAGTACGCCCCCCTCTCTTTGTCACTTAGGCCCACCACCCACTGCTCGGGTGGGGGGGCCAAGGGAGGACACTATGCCCCCCCAGTTAATTATTTTAATAGATGCCCCACCATGGGGGCATGGGGTGCCTGTACTGGATCTCCCTTTATTGAATTCAAGGTGGGGTCCCTTTTTTACACTACTGAGCAGCCACTGGCTGCTCACTGTTTAGCAGACATGCCCCAACTCCCAGCATAGAGAGTAGGGGCATTAGGGAGATTTTTTTTATCTCCTTTGTGCTAATATGCTCCCCGCCGCTTTTATTTTTACATATTACAGGGAGGGAGCCATGAGCCGATAGCACTCTCCTCGTAATAAACTAAATGAATGAACAAAGACCAAAATTCAGAATTTCGGACAATAGCGAACGCCCAAGTATTAAACTGGGTATGGGCAGGAATTTCAGAGTACTAGCTAGTGTGAGCAGATGATGTGTCCCACAGGGCGGCAGAAATCCTTGCACCTGTCCTGTTATTAATACATATAATAAAGACAACAGAGGACATCCTGTCAGGTCCCATTGTTAAGTTCAGTCTGTATATTTTGACCTACCGTCTTCGCAGAGGGACATGAATATAAGGATTTAATAGAGCTGAACATAAACCCATCCATACCAAAACATCTTAAAGACTAAAACAGAAACTCCCAATCTACACAATCAAATGCTTTTTCAGCGTCTATTTAGATTGTTATGAGGTTGTTTATCTCCGTTAGCTCTTTCTAGCAGATTAATTATTCTTCTAATATTACTATATGGTCTTCTTCCTGATATAAAACCGATTTGATCTTTGTGTACTATATCAGGGAGTATCTGTTTCAGTCTCTTAGCCAAAATAGCCACCATCAATTTTGCATCTGAATTAATTAGCTATATTGGTCTATAATTCACAACTTTTTCCGGGTCTTTCTTTGATTTAAGAATAGGAATAATATTGTCCCTAAGGAACTCTTCTGGAGTGTGCCCCCTGTCGTCCATCTCATTAAATGCCTCTGCCAGATAGCCACTAATATTTTCTTTCATAATTTTATAGAACATTCCACTACACCCGTCAGGGCCAGGTGATTTTTGTTTTTTCTTATTTTCAATAGCCCATTCTACCTCTTCCTCACTAATAGGGTTATTTAATTCTTTATTTTGTATGTTAGAAATTTTTTGTATCTTTTGATAATCCAAATATTTATTTATTTTATCCGGGACTGTTTTTGTAGAACCGTTATATAGTTTACTGTAGTATTTATTGAAAACTGTACCTATTTCTTTTGGTGACATGTGGGTACAGCCTTCTTCATTCGTAATTTATATATGCGATTATTTGCCTGTTTTTTTTTTTTTTTAATTGATTGGATAATATTTTATCTGCTTTATTATTTGTATGGTACCACGTCTGTTTTAATTTTTCTAATTTCCAACTCATCCTTTTAATTTTGAGTTCTTTAATCTGTCTCTGAAAGCTCATCATTTAATTGGATCTGTTTACAGTAGGGGTTATCTCATTCTCTTTTTGTAAACTGTAGAGTTGGATATATAATATGTTAGCATCATTCCCTCTTTGTTTTTTTCACTATTGCACCCATTTTTATCAGATAGCTTCTACATACACTTTTTGTAGGCACACCATAAAGCTTAAAGGACCACTCTAGGCACCCAGACCACTTCAGCTTAATGAAGTGGTCTGGGTGCCAGGTCCAGCTAGGGTTAACCCATTTTTCATAAACATAGCAGTTTCAGAGAAACTGCTATGTTTATGAATGGGTTAAGCCTTCCCCCTAATCCTCTAGTGGCTGTCTCATTGACAGCCACTAGAAGCGCTTGCGTGCTTCTCACTGTGATTTTCACAGTGAGAGCACGCCAGCGTCCATAGGAAAGCATTATGAATGCTTTCCTATGTGACCGACTGAATGCGCGCGCAGCTCTTGCCGCGCGTGCGCATTCAGCCGACGGGGAGGAGAAGAGGAGGATCGGAGGAGGAGAGCTCTCCGCCCAGCGCTGGAAAAAGGTAAGTTTTAACCCCTTTCCCCCTTCCAGAGCCGGGCGGGAGGGGGACCCTGAGGGTGGGGGCACCCTCAGGGCCCTATAGTGCCAGGAAAACGAGTATGTTTTCCTGGCACTATAGTGGTCCTTTAAAATAATGTGTATATTAGGCTAAAAACAATATAGTGATAGAGTGCTTCAAAAACCTTTGTGGGTCACTCCACCACACACAGATAAGTGAAATAAAATGGTAAGAATAGTGAGAGCACACAAAAAAAATAAATAAGCTGCTTTATGTTTAACTGAATTTACATTTTCATTAAAATATGTCGGCCATTTTTTTTAAATGCATTAAATTTTAGTTAGAAGTTTCTCATTTAATCTTCATTATCTATGTGCATTGTATATATTATCATCTTTAATCACCCAAACTATTGCATTATGGTCTGACCACATCATTTCTTTGATGAAACTCTTATTTATTCTATTAACCAGCGTGTGGTCAGTCCACACCATATCTATTCTGGCGTAAGAACAATGTACAAAAGAGAAATGTGTATAATCTCTTGCCTGTGGATTTATAATACTCCATATATCATATAATTTGAATTTTTTATCAAGCAGTCCCAGGCGTGTGCTGACTTTTTAATTTTATTACAGGAAAATAGAAACTGGTCTGCTTAATGCAAACACAGAGGGGTGAGGGAGTCTGACTTAAAGTAAATAGCTCGAAACTGAACAAAGACAGGAATACACCCAAAACCTGTCTGGAAATATAGAAAACAGGGATACCTTCAAAGGTGATGTGTTCAGGAGCAAATTCACTTTATATGTGACTTCGTTGGTATGGTAAAATAAAGTATCTAAAATGCTGGGTGGTAACTGTGCCAGAATGTATGGTGTGTATACCTTTAAATCTGCTACAGGCAGAATCTGTTTGGTACACACCGAATGATCTGCTTAATACAAGGTTGTTGCTAAATACAAAATAACCATATGAGACCTGGTTACCTGTTATGTATAAAATTAACACACTGTTTAAAATAGTGTGTATATTGCTTTAAGTAATCCGTTGGAAAACTAGACAGTGCACAGAACAGTATTATATTTCAATAAGGAGATATAAAAAACTCCATAATAACTGTATTAGTTATAATCACTTGAGAATTAAGCAAAAACTACAAGTGAAAGTAAAAAACCACTATTAACAAAATGTATTTAAAAAAGATAATGTAGAAATTTATTCATCATATAAAAAACATAAAAGAATAGTCCAAATTTGGAATAAAAATACAAATACAAAAAATGAGAGCCAGGAACGATTAGCAAGTCTTTAGCCACTGCAGATTTCGCACAAATAGCTTCATCCACACTGTAACTGTTAAGGATTACAGTGGATACTATTGTATCAAAATTGGAGAGAAATTACTTGCCGGCTGCTGGGGAGGTTGGCGTGCGTGCCAAACCTCACTCTGATTCTCAGATGCTCGGCAGTCCGTCTGTCCCCAGGTCGTAAGTGCCGTATGTGGGAAGAAGAGAAGTGCTGCTGCTGGCGTCTGGCTGCTCCGTCGTATCCTGCTCACTATCACTGCTGGTCTAACGCGTTTCGTGGGTGTCAGCCCCACTTCTTCAGAGACATGCTGCAGCTGGATTGGAATGTGTGTCTTATATACAGAGCTGATGGGCTGCATGTATTATTTATTAACTAGACATGTAAATCTCATTTTATATACATAGAATGGTTGTAAAAACAAGTTGTGAACTAAGAACAAATTATAAATAAAATACAATAAAATAAAATACAGTGGTTTGATACTTATTGAAATGATACATACACAAATAAAGTATTGAATGTGTAAATTAAAATTACTATATCATAATCAGTTTTTAAAAATTGAAAGTTAGTAGGCTTATAAGCAATTATAGAATTGATTATAATAAAAGATAAATCAGAAAGGGAAATGGATATGCACTTAGAAAACGATCTGTGGAAAAATTGGATATATTATAAAAAGGTCATAGAGAATTTGAAGTAGAGGCTGTGCCCCAAGTTACATTACGAACCCACATGGTATCATAAGTGATTAATATAATGTGAGAGGATCATAAAAGCATTAGAATAAAGGCTGTGCACGGAGTCATATTACAAATGTAAATGGTATCAGTAGTGATTAGTGCATACTAGGAAGAGTATATTCAAAATAGAAGCTGTGCCTGAACTTATAATGCCAATGCAAGTAGTATCAGTATCCCAATGGAATAACCAGATTGGGATTTTACAGTATCATTATCATGATGAAATATCTAATTAAAATTGTAAAGAGAATATGTGAAAAGAGAGAAAAATGTGAATGCAGTAATATTATACTACATATATAGTGTCTCTACTGAGGTAGATAATAGTTGGATAAAATATCCTAAAATGTGAATTACGACTATATACTGAGTAGGAGAACTTAGTGCAAGGAATTGGAAAGTGATGGATGATATTACTCAATATAAAGTGCGCAGTGTCAAAATGTGCATGTGTATGTGTAAAAAACTGGGTTGTATGAAAAAAAAAAGGGAAGGTAAACTTTATAAGAATGCATTAAGTTCAAAATCTAAATTAAGACCCTTAGGGGCCAAAGTCTCTAGGTGGAATATCCACCTAGCTTCTGTTTGGTCCAGATTCTTATCTATATCGCCCCCTCTCCAATTTACATCTACCTTTTCAATCGGTAGGAATCTTAGTCCTGTGGGGTCTCCTCCGTGAAAGTCTTGGAAATGTCTTGACAAATTGTGGGTTTGGAGACCCCTTCTAATGTTCCTTATATGTTCCGCCATCCTCGTCTTCAATGCCCTTTTTGTACGTCCTACATACTGTTTAGAACATGGACATGTGATGAGATAGATAACTCCTTTTGAATCACAATTCATGTTGGTCTTAATATCATATTCCTTCGTGCCATCCATAGATGTGAATTTAGTGATTTCAAGATCCAGAGAAGGATTATTTGTACACGCAACACATTTTTTACACCGCTTGAAACTTTTTGTAGCCATCGTGTCTTGTTGGATCTTACATTGCTTGAGAGTTGGAGCCAAGAGTGATTGTAGATTGGGTGCTTTAGTGAAGATGATACGTGGTTGGTTCTCCAAAATACCTATCAGGGAAGGGTCGCTCATGAGGATATTCCAATGTTTCTTTAGGATTTTCTCTATAGTGCGAGATTGGTGGTTAAATTGGGTTATGAAAGCTGGTATGGGTTGATTCATCTCAATGGTTCCAACTTTATTTTTGAGGGTATCTTGTCTTGGAATGGTTAAAGCTCTAGTTTTGGCCTCAGTAAGTAATGTTATGGGATAGCCTTTGTTGATAAATCTTTGCTGCATCTCCTCCATTTGTTCACCGCATGCTTGTGTGTTTGAGCAGTTCCTTCTAATCCGCCTAAATTGGCTCAAAAACATCCCATATAGCCAATTTGACCTTTTTATAATATATCCAATTTTTCCACAGATCGTTTTCTAAGTGCATATCCATTTCCCTTTTTGATTTATCTTTTATTATAATCAATTCTATAATTGCTTATAAGCCTACTAACTTTCAATTTTTAAAAACTGATTATGATATAGTAATTTTAATTTACACATTCAATACTGTATTTGTGTATGTATCATTTCAATAAGTATCAAACCACTGTATTTTATTTTATTGTATTTTATTTATAATTTGTTCTTAGTTCACAACTTGTTTTTACAACCATTCTATGTATATAAAATGAGATTTACATGTCTAGTTAATAAATAATACATGCAGCCCATCAGCTCTGTATATAAGACACACATTCCAATCCAGCTGCAGCATGTCTCTGAAGAAGTGGGGCTGACACCCACGAAACGCGTTAGACCAGCAGTGATAGTGAGCAGGATACGACGGAGCAGCCAGACGCCAGCAGCAGCACTTCTCTTCTTCCCACATACGGCACTTACGACCTGGGGACAGACGGACTGCCGAGCATCTGAGAATCAGAGTGAGGTTTGGCACGCACGCCAACCTCCCCAGCAGCCGGCAAGTAATTTCTCTCCAATTTTGATACAATAGTATCCACTGTAATCCTTAACAGTTACAGTGTGGATGAAGCTATTTGTGCGAAATCTGCAGTGGCTAAAGACTTGCTAATCGTTCCTGGCTCTCATTTTTTGTATTTGTATTTTTATTCCAAATTTGGACTATTCTTTTATGTTTTTTATATGATGAATAAATTTCTACATTATCTTTTTTAAATACATTTTGTTAATAGTGGTTTTTTACTTTCACTTGTAGTTTTTGCTTAATTCTCAAGTGATTATAACTAATACAGTTATTATGGAGTTTTTTATATCTCCTTATTGAAATATAATACTGTTCTGTGCACTGTCTAGTTTTCCAACGGATTACTTAAAGCAATATACACACTATTTTAAACAGTGTGTTAATTTTATACATAACAGGTAACCAGGTCTCATATGGTTATTTTGTATTTAGCAACAACCTTGTATTAAGCAGATCATTCGGTGTGTACCAAACAGATTCTGCCTGTAGCAGATTTAAAGGTATACACACCATACATTCTGGCACAGTTACCACCCAGCATTTTAGATACTTTATTTTACCATACCAACGAAGTCACATATAAAGTGAATTTGCTCCTGAACACATCACCTTTGAAGGTATCCCTGTTTTTTAATTTTTTTGTTTATTGTTTTATCTTGGGATATCCTTTTACCTAACTCGCTATCCATAATAGAATTAAAACTGATTTTTTCATTTTTTTTCTAACATTTTTTTTTAATAAAACAGACCGGATTTATATTTGGTGCATATATATTTATCAAAGAATATAATTTCATCTCTATCCTACATATCAGTATTATATGTCAGGCCTCTGGATCACACTCTTGATATATTACATCTGGATTTAATTTGTTTGAGATTAAAATAGCTACACCTTTATTTTATTTTCTTTAGAGGAGGCAACTACTACCCTAGAAAAGTGACTATCTGGCAGTGGCAGGAAACATATAACTACTTTTTCTTTTTAAAACATTTTGATCAGAGAAGATCTTTTATATGGTGAATTTAAACCTTGGGCATTAATTGACATGAACCTAATCATGAGAGATATATTTCTGACCTCCATTTCTCATGCATTCGTCCCTGAGCAAGAAGTTCACAAATAACATACATAAAACCACATGTTTGATGAACATAATTAGCTCTTCTATAATCTCTAACATCTTTGGCCGCCTAAGTTCCCCTCCCGTAACGGCCCTAGATGTTAGAGATAGATTATTGTCAAAGCAATAAATCAGGTTCTGTACTATTTGCTTTTACTGCAATAAAATACACATATTTGTATTCAGCGATGTCTCACGTGTAAAACAGTACCCCCTATGTACAGGTTTACTGGTGTTTTGGGAAGTTACAGGGTTAGATATAGCATGATACATTTTTTATTTTTTTTACAATTGAAATTCGCCAGATTGGTTATGTGTGGATCACACACAACCACAAAGACACATCCCACAATCCTCCCCCTCCCAGAGGTCCCAGCATTGGAAGGGACTCCATTCCCTTTGTCCCAAAAGCCTGCCACCAAATCCCCGGGGCTCCGTACACCAACTGCCAGGAGTCTTTGTCCCTCGGAAGCCCGCCCGCGAAAAAATAGCTGGTCTCTTTTGGGTCACGAGAGCCCGCCAAAACTCGCCAGTGCCGCAGAAGTGCATACACCAATTTCAGGGATTATCGCCTCGGTCCCTTGATCAACCAGTCTCTGTTTGTGAGGTCCTAGTGTGAATCCCAGACAAGGGAAGCATCTTCTGTACAAATGGCGACTACCCAGGTTTCACACCTATGTTGCGGGTGCAAGCGTTCTGAATAATTGGTGTAAATCTTCTAATAGGGCACTGGGAAGGCCCTCTTTCTGGACATGAACAAGTCAGGATACAATCCACGAATGCTCCCCCTGGTGGCGTTTGACTGTATGAATGACGACCACCCAGGGAAGCACTCATTAATTGTTTTCCCTTGCAGTTTGTGGTTTTGACATTTATGTTGCGAGGTGATTGGGAGGTGTGCACATTCTATACTAACATTCGGGAGGTGAATGAATGCACTTCGTGGAAGCGCTCCCGAATGGGGAGCGGGCATAACAAATGAAAATACAGGGAAAATACACGTGAAAGAGAGGGGAAATACACGTACAGGCAGTGGTTTTGCCACAATATGCAAGGCTCGATACAAGTGACATTGCTATCAAAAACCTGCTCAAATCTATACTTTCCTGTGGTCACCTCTAAAGAGGCATCTCAAGCTGGAAGACTGGGCAGGTTGCTCAACCCAAAAAGAATCTGGTCTGCAAACTTACATAAAAAAAGACAAAAAGGAATTGGGGGCACAATCCGAACATTTCTCGGCATTTCTCAGCAATGCTGCTGCCGTAGAGACCAACATTTATACAATATTCATCTTAAGGAACAGCACACGCATAAATAAACAGTTTTTCATTTTACAAGGCTATTTTAAATCACCTATCTCAGCAAATAAATATGGGGATTCAGTTCTACCATATGGCCATATTGTGTTAAAAGAAAAAACGATTATAAATAGGATGGCGCAAATGAGAGAAGGATCTTAGTACATGCAGCAACCAACAAAAACAAATCCTGGTAAAATGATTTGAACATAAAATAACTCACAGTAGTGATGGTGCGCAACAACGAAAAATCGTATTCACTATGGACCTCTTATAGAGAGTGAAAGTAACCCTGTGTACATGAAATGAGGTGTTTACAGAGTGGAAATATTATAAATAATTAAAAACCAAACAGTGGTTGTGGTAAATTCACTTATAAATATATAAAATAAAGCAAACAGAGGTGCCCTTTAGGTGTTACACTCACAAGATTGGAGTGGTAAAAGCACCACTCGTTGCTATAGCACTCAGGGAGGATCAGCCCCTAGAGTGCGTGGGATCCGTGGAAAGGAAGCTTGCAATCCGGATCTCAGGTAAGTATACTTTATTATTACAATTGAAAAACAGCAAAACTTGTTGTGGAGTTAGTTAGTCCGCTCACCAGCCTCAGGAAACTGCAAAGAAAGTTCCATATGCTCATGTAATGTAAAAAAATCTTCCGGCTGTTGCCGACTGTCTCCAAATCACTTCCTGGTTCCGGGTCCATATTGTGTTAAACCCACCACTACTCCACAGTACTCCAATATCGGTGGGTCCTACACTAATTCCAACGTGTCAGACATATTATATAGTGCTAGCGCAAAATAAACTAAACTGTATTTAAATAATCTGTTTTACAGCAATTGTGAATTAATATATAATGCTAAATTAATATGATAAACACCAAAAAAGCAGTGTCAAAACGAATCATTTTGATTTGATGTAGATACTCAAAATGCATTTCATATATCTGCTCTATACCAAATCTAACATATAATTAAAGTGACATTGATTTGCTCTGTCGCTTAATCTGTGTTTTGAATTGATTCCAGAAGAGTACAAATCAGCATTATAACCCCGTGTGACCTCTTGTATTTCCAGCTGCCTGCGATTACTCCTTCAACTTTAATACCGCAGTGCATGATGAGCTAAGGTGTATGCTTGGAGTGTATTGGAAGGGGGAGAAAGGGAGGGGAAAGAGGGGTGTATGAGTAAAGAGAACTAAGTGGAGGACGGTAGTATGAGAAGAATGGAACAAGTGGAGGAAAGGAAGGATAAAGGGAGATAACCACAGATGAGGAATGAAGTAAAGAAACAATTCTGAGGGAAAGATAAATTAATAGAGGGCAACCAACGGAGGGAAATAAAAGGGGTAGATGGGGATTGAAAACTTACAAACACAAACTCCCATCCTCACCTCTACTTACGTACACTATCAGTCATCCATTAACCTCGTAACATATCCTCAACTCACCTGCAGATCACTTGTACTTAACCTTCCTGTCACATAGCTCCCTCACCTACCCATTTACACACACCGTCCTGACACATTCACACACTACTTACCTGCTTCCATCCATTCACACATCGCAAAGTCTCATTCAGTCACATACTCTGAGCTAGTCATATTATCCTATCCACCTCCACCTCCCCTTTCAGTAATACCAACTCTGTCACATTCAAACACAGCCACCTACCGCCACCCACCTGGTCATCTATTCCCATACAACCACAAAACTCTTTATATTCATACATCCAATCACATAAGCAGAATGTTGCATATATATATATATATATATATATATATATATATATATAAATATATGTAAAGGGCAAGAGTGCATTTAGGAATCTGGTCTTGGGACAACAGAGTGTAAATCAGGCCCTGTTTGTGAGGTATAACAAATTTGATTGGTCTCATTTAAGATGCAGGCAAGCAGCCCAGACGTGCCCAGCAAGAGCTCCCACGTCTGGGGACAAAAAAAGGGGTACAGCGCCTGAACACTGTCACCCACAGACCACAGAACACGATACACCTAACCAGGAAAGGCTACTGAATAGAATAGTACCTCTCACAAGCTCCTGCACAGCCACCCTGGCACAACGAGGCCTGCGGCCTACACGGGACCGAGCCACGGAGAGACGGCCGCTCTCCGGGTGCATCCAAAGTAACAGGGACCATGGCGAAGTACTCACCCCCCCTGGACCAGCGGGGGTTATCCCGGTCATCATAAAACAGCTCTACTCACCCAATTCTCACCACTGGTCAGCTAATGCTGCGCACACAGTCAAACCACAAAGACCAAGATGGTGGCAACTGACCACTAGACGGAGACAGACGAGCAGCACAAATGCTTGAACAGCGCATAGACGACTTGTTCAAAAGATTCTGGTGAAAGTTCCTACACAATGCAGAATGCAGGGGCTGCCATTACAACCACGTATGCTCTGCCGAAGAGACCACAAGGCCCCTGGAGGATGGACAAACCTGGCCAGCCACGGAGACTGACATACTCCCTGAGGGTGCGGATAGCTTACTATGGACGAGCACGGCACAAGCGGCGCATATACACCCATGGAGAAGGAAGAACAAGGCACCCAAGAGGCATAAAGCACCAAGGCCATCCACGACCTAACCTAAACCACTTACCCACTACAGGGACAGTATCGCAAAAGCTCTTTACTTACAGGCAATCATCCTCACATTTTCCCCGCATGCTGCACCCCTGGGACACCGGGAAGCAGTTCCCACCAGCACCATAGACGGCTCCGCTGGAATTGGCCTCACACAGGGGCATTGGCTAAACAGACTCACATGGACTATCATTACAGCCCCAAGCAGGGGAACGGGCTGATGCTGGACTATCCGACTGAGGCCACCTTTCTCCCACCAATGCAATGCCTACTATCATAACTCAATGTATTAATGCTTTAGTGTCCTCCTTTTCAAGACATCTTTCTTTTGCTTTCCATGGGACAATATGTATAATGCAGCTATGCAGAAGACACTACAGACCTTGTTTAACCTGTTGGACTCCTGCTATAACTCTGCCCTCATGTACCCATGCTTATGATCTTCTTTTCTTTCAATTTGTCCCATACACATCTCTACCTATGCTCAATACCACAAAGCGCTATGAGATAACGATCTTGCCTCCTACCAGAAGCCTAGCCTAATAGGCTGCCTAGCACCATTCCCAAGCAATAATTTTATAGTTGATACACTTATACTTATACTGCACCTAGCGCAGCATACCACCCAGTACAATACACTAGCAAGCACTAGGGCGCATTTACTCGCTTCAGACACCCAGGCATGTATCTCTTTTTAAGCTTAATGTCAGTTTGCACTAACAAACCGAGGTACATTTTCACAGTGCACTAAGCCCCTCGCAGTCGTACCCAAGGTCAGAACAAGCAATGGGTCACCCTATAAGGGCCGCTCATCCACTCGTGGTCACATGTTGCCTAACCTACTTAAAGTGCAACACCACCTTAATCCATATTTTACTTTAACTTGAGTTTAACCACTGCTGCATGCTTCAGCCTATTGTTCTTATACGAAATCTGCAAATGCTCATACTAATGTCTAATCTACACATTATAAAACAGTCTGCAATCGTCTGTTTCTCATGATAATATACCATAAAATTGTGTTAATCAATCGCATGCCATATCAATTTAATGTTCAAGATACGCCTGCAGTTGCTGTTGTGGTGCTGCAAGACCAAATGTTTGTTTTTCGTATGCACAAGAAAAATAAAGAATTAAAAAAAAAAATTGATTAAATGCATGAATCAAACCACTGTATTTTGATACATCCTGTAACTGGGGGCTTCCATCTTAGCCCCCTGTCAGTTTTTGTTGCAGTGAGCATAGAGAGAGAAGGAGAAACAGAAGCAATGCCTGAATTGGATAGTGATGCCAACTGCTAAGCCCATGGAACATCATACGATTAAAATGTTAACACAAGTGTGAAGAATCCCCCTCCATTCATTTGGTACTTTCCCTCCCTGCTACTTTATCCATGGATTTATTACTGTGACGAAGTGCCCTTCGCCACTTGTGCCTGGAGAGGACTTCTTGCCCGCCTCTTGCCCTGTGACTATGGACCCTGGGAGATTTGTCCCGTTCAAATCAGTATGATAGGAGTTATGTATTTTACTGGAAACATGTGCTCAATGGAGCCTCTATCCCTGGATAATTGGATTATTTTCCCCATTGTCTCCAGGATAGAGGGCTCTGTAAAACCAGTTTGGGCCAGATAGCCATGCTGCCAGCCAGGCCCCAAAATATACTTTACTAACTTCTGAACCCCTGGTCTGATACATGCCATTTTTTGATATGTTGTTTCCCTGAATGGATTGATTGTGAATATATAATTTTTATGTGAATGTGATGTATATTTTAGAAGTTATGAATATGCTGTTTTCCTACCTGTGATAATTGATCTTCTATTGTATAAGATAATTGAATCACAGGCAGAGGGGAGGATTTTGTGTGGGCTGTAACCTCTGTTTTATTGGCTACTGTAGATAACGTGTGTGTCCCTCCCCTGCATGGCAGCAGGGCATAAAAGAAACTGTAGCTTGAATACGTGTTGTTGTTACTTCCAGTAAAGTCTTGTTCCAGCATTAAGCCTTGGCTCATGTTTGGGGGATTGGAAAACTACACTCTGGGGATTGCTATAATCACTTACTCCCCAGAGTAAACTCTTGCAATAGCTTGATTTGTTCCTGCTACGCTCTCTGGATTTAGGAGAGGTTCACCCACTGGGAGCTGGATCCTGGTCGTGGATCCAGGGTGGGTGGAGACGGCGAGACCCCGGCGCAGCTGTATCGCTGGAAGTGGGGTCTGCAGTGTCACTGGTGTCGGTTGGAGTGCTTGGAGTCCTCAGCGAGCACTAGGCGCATCGATTGGCGGAGGTACTCAGTGATTGTGAACTTTTGTATTTAATAGTAACATTTCTAAAGAAATTGAAGTTCCCATTTAAAGGAAAAATCCATAAAGAGACAGAAGTAGATATTTATATGATCCCTACAAACAAATTAGCCCTAAAGAGGGCACGTCTGTATGTGGTCGCTGCGATGTAATGAAGCCGTGTACTATAAAAGCAAATATATAAAATCACACACATATGCCCTGCATTAAATCTCACACTATCCTTGGTAGTTTGTGGCTCGCTGACTGTAGAGTCATTCTGTCAGAGGTTCCAGGCTGAGAGAATTCCTCCACATTGAAAGAATTTTCCAATCCACAGATTTCATTCTGACTTCAATGCAACGTATCATCCTGCGCTCTCGGCAGATTAGGACGTACAGTATCTCATTACAACATACAAAGCTTTATTTACACAATGCTCCAGCAAATCCAGACACGCCCTGCATGTGCTCTTACAGGTCATAGTCCATGCATGCTTTTACTTCGAATATTTATTTTTTATTTTTCTGGCAATACTCTGCAAGACATAGAAAGGGGACAGAGTCTCCTGGACTGCTGCTAGTGTCACCATGGACCTGGGGCTGACATTTCTCCTGGTCTCCTGTGTCAGCCTCTTAATTTACCTGTTGGCATGGAGGAGCAGATATAACCTGAAAAACCTGCCCCCAGGACCCACACCACTGCCCCTGCTGGGGAATATTATGCAGATTGGCACAACAGAAGTACCCCGGTCCATAATGGAGGTAAGAATTGTCCGCTTTTCAATTTTCATTTATTTGAATCCAGACAATAAAATGAATGTGTTGCAAATGGTGGCATATGAGAAAGCAGCACAGTAAGTGTGACTTGTGCATCTCTTATTCGTTTGATACTTTTTTCCTTGTTAAAGGACCACTATAGTGCCAGGAAAACAAACTCACTTTCCGGGCACTATAGTTTTAATAGGTCCCCCCCACCAGCCTCCCGCTGGGCTGAAGGGGGAGGAAGGGGTTAAACACTTACCTTTCTACAGCATCGCGCTTGGCGCTGGGGACTCTCTTCCCTCTTCTGCTGAATGCGCATTTCTCAATGCTTTCCTATGGATGCTGGCATCTTCTCACTGTGAGACAGACACTAGAGGCTGGATTAACCCTAATGTAAACATAACAGTTTCTCTGAAACTGCTATATTTACAGAAGGCAGGGTTAATCCTAGAGGGACCTGGCACCCAGACCACTTCATTAAGCTGAAGTGGTCTGGGTGTCCATAGTCGTCCTTCAATCATTTAACTTTTAGCACAAAATTAGACAAATGCAGTCACCATCTGTTGCAGATTTAAAACTCCCATAATGCTTTGTCAGCCTTGACGTTCCTCAGCAGTTGGAGAGTACATTTCTGACTGTTTGTGTTGGCACAAAAATTCCTCACTGCGTATCTTGCAGAATTTGATTTTCCTATGCATTTTGATTATTTTGGGGGGGGTTCATAAATGTGTCGCACCAATGTCTAAAAAAGGAGTTGTTACATTGTAGCTTTTTTTCTGTCAGAGTGTTTGATAAATATATAATATGGAAATAAAAATGTGTTTTTTTTACTGCTCCTCCTGTTTTCACTCTGTTTTCTACCTTTGCTGACTTGATTTGCAATCCAAATGGCAGGAAAATGGCAGTGTATATTTCTGGTTCCCTTTTGGTTCATTTGATTTATTGTCCCGAATATAGTTTTTCATTAACAAAATTTGGACAAAGTGAAACAACATAACAAAATAGTGAAATATTTTTGGAAGTGGCTCAGCCCAAAAAATGTTTTTGACTCGTAGAAGTCTAATGCGAATCAGAAAAGGATAAATAAATATACTTACAAAGCATGATCTGGGATATAACGAATAAGGTAATGAACTGGAACTACATGTGGAATCACCACAAGTATCTCTTCTGTGTCTGTCCACAGCTTAGTAAGGAATATGGACCAGTGTACACAATTTACATGGGCAGCCAGCGTGCGGTCATGCTCATTGGGTGCAACGCGGTGAAAGAAGCCCTGGTGGATTACAGTGATGTGTTTAGTGGCCGAGGGACCATGGGTGTAATTGACATATTATTAAAAGATTATGGTAAGTCACAAAAAATATTAATAAAGACACTATTTCACATGATGTACTCTATTCTGCTAAACTAAAAATAGAAAGAAATAAGAAGGGCACCCAAGAATTTTTTTTTGTCTAGTATGACCAGATTTTCTAGTCCTTGCCACCCCTTAGATGTGGTTTTCCTCCTTACCTGGGTCCCCAGTGTACTCCGAGTCTCCCTGGTGGTCAAGCCACAGAAGCCACTTCGGTCTCCATCCATTGGCTGAGAGCATCGGCTGCCCACTCTTAGCCAGTGACTGCAATTGTGTGCAATGCACAGAATTGATATTAGCCAGCCCAGAATAGAGTTCTGGGTTGGTTCATTAAATCCCATTGACACTGCCAGAGGTGAAGTTATACCTTTTGAACATTGAGAAGTTAAAATCCTTATGTAGAGGGTTAGATAGTAAAATTCTGTGAATAGAGACTCCAAGCACCATGGCCTCTTCAAATCACTGAAGCAATCAGGGTACTGGGAGTAATCCATTAAACTTATTGCTTTCTCTGATGCAAGACCTCAAACTAATTATACATTAATCATTGTGATATTGGACCAGAAAACTAAAATTGTGTTGTTTTTATTTTTTAATATGTGTACAAAATCTACAAAATAATTAGACATTTCAAGAAATATCATCAGCTCATAGTAACTTTCAATGTGAGTAGATTCAGCTTGGTCTCATTTTCTTTACATTATGCCCCTAGGAGTCATCCTGAGCAACGGGGAGAGATGGAAGACAATGCGTAGATTCTCTCTCATGACTTTGAGAAATTTTGGAATGGGGAAGAGAAGCATTGAGGAAAGAATCCAAGAGGAAGCTCAGTGTCTTGTGACGGTGTTTAGAGAGAACAAAGGTTAGCATAAACAAAATTTATCTGAATAATCTGTAACATTAAAGTTACATTTACAATTTACAGGAACATTAGAGTCCCAGAAATGCAAACTTAATCTTGACACTATAATTTTGAAAATCCCTGTTTCATGCCAATTGACATTTTTGGAATTTTTTCAGAGGGGAGTGGGGGCATAATTGTAATTACATCCATGCATGTTGCAACAGTTTACCAAGAGTTGGAGCCCAGTTGCAGGAGATGGCACAGGGAGGAGGCAAAAACCAAAAGCGCAGTACAGATTAAGGGGAAATCCAAAGGCAGGGTCAGACGAGAGTCAGGGCTGGCAGCGGAGTATCGTAGTCGGTAAATCAGTCAGCAGAGTAGCAAAGATCCTGCAGGGAAAGAAAAACAAACAAACAAAATGACCAGATACTAGGTCTCAGGCAGAGCTGGCTTTTACAGCCTGCTGATTAGGAGCAGCTGACCCTAATTGGTAAGGGGCTGCAGGTGGATCAGCACTGCTCCATTCAGGCAAGGAGTCAGGAAGCAACCAGATACTGAAGACTCCTGGTGGACAGCATGGTAGAGAACCTGACTAGGAGGCTGGAGCTGTGAATTCAAACCCAGCCAGGTCTCTTAAAGGAGCCTAGTTGTCTGCAGGGTTCAGGGTGCACCGTGACGCTCCTTTTTGTGACCACTGGGGATACAAAGCAACCCTGGAAACAAAATGTATGCCAGCCCCATAAGTCATTGTGTGTGTGTATATAAACAAGTCCAAACCTTTGCACTCCAATTCTAATGTTATTACCCGGTGCCCAGTCACATTATTTATACATTCCAAACAATACTCTGGGAAAACCAGGTACTCGTTTCAGCTCCACATTGAAGCTTTTATCAGGACAACTAAACACACAGCCATTAATGTATAAACCATTGGCAACAAAAGTGAGTACTCCCCGAAGTGGAAATGTCAAAATTTGGCCCAATTAGTGATTTTCCCTCCCCGGTGTCATGTGACTCGCTAGTGTTACAAGGTCTCAGGTGTGAATGGGGAGCAGGTGTGTTAAATTTGGTGTTATCGTTCTCCCACTTTCGCATACTGGTCACTGGAAATTCAACTTGGCACCTCATGGCAAAGAACTCTTTGAGGATCTGAAAAAAAAACTGTTGCTCTACATAAAGATGGCCTTAGCTATAAGAAGATTGCCAAGACCCTGAAACTGAGCTACAGAACAGTGGGTTTCACAGGACAGGTTCCACTCAGAACAGGCCTCACCGTGGTTGACCAAAGAAGATGAGTGCACGTGCTCAGTATCATATCCAAAGGTTGTCTTTGGGAAACAGATGTATGAGTGCTGCTAGCATTGTTACAGAGATTGAAGGGGTGGGGGGCCAGCCTGTCAGTGCTCAGACCATACGCCGCACACTGCATCAAATTGGTATGCTTGGGTGTTGTCCCAGAAGGAAACATCTTCTAAAGATGATGCACAAAAAAGCGTGCAAACAGTGTGCTGAAGACAAGAAGACCAAGAATAGCTAAACTTATTTTTGTTCAGATGGTGTCAAGCGTGTGGCAGTAACCAGTTGAGGAGTACAAAGTGTCTCTTGCCTACAGTCAAGCATGGTGGTGGGAGTGTCATGGTCTGGGCCTGCATGAGTGCTGCCGGCACTGGGGAGCTACGTGTACTGTGACATACTGAGGCAGAGCATGATCCCCTCCCTTCGGAGACTGGGCAGTATTCAAACATGATAACGACCCCAAACACACCTCCAGGATGACCACTACTTTGCTAAAGAAACTGAAGGTAAAGGTGATGTACTGGCCAAGCATCTAAACCATATTGATCATCTGTGGGCCATCCTCAAATGGAAGGTGGGGGAGTGCAAGGTGTCGTCATGGAGGAATGGAAGAGGACTCCAGTGGCAACTTGTGAAGCTCTGGGGAACTCCATGCCCATGAGGGTTAAGGCAGTGCTGGAAAATAATGGTGGCCACACAAAATATTGACACTTTGGGCCCAATTTGGACATTTCCACTTAGAGGTGTACTGACTTTTGATGCCAACGGTTTAGACATTAATGGCTGTGTGTTGAGTTATTTTGAGGGAACGGCAATTTCACACTGTTATACAGGCTGTACACTTACTACATTACATTGTAGCAGAGTGTCATTTCTTCAGTGTTGTCACATGAAAAGATATAATAAAATATTTACAAATAAAAAACCTTTTGTGCGATACTGTATGTATGTATGTGAGTCATCTTTTTGATCCTGAGGAAAGTCCCTAAAGGACTGAAACGTTGATCATTGATGTTTTAACTTGCTTTCAATAAATTTTGATTTTTAACTACCGTGAGTGCCGCTACCTATTGGATGTATATATGGACGGCCACGATTTGCTGGCACCCGGGCACTAAGGGCAACTTGAGCGTGAGTGCAGGAGCAACTGGTACTTTATATATATATATATATATATATATATATATATATATATATATATATCATTGGCATGTTTCTTTTTCTAATTTAAAATATTGGTTCTGTCAGTGTAAAAAAGGTAATTATACAGTAAACATACTCACATGAAGACAGACAATCTCACTGACACAAGCACACAATCTAATTGATACACAGGCTCACAGACAGACAATATCATTGATATACATACGCTCATTGATATAAAAACACAATCTCACTGATACACACAAATAGGCTCACTGACAGACAACCACACTGACACACAGACAAGCTTACTGGCACACACACACAAACTTAGTGCAGACTCTGACACTCACCCAAGGTTACTACAGACAAACTCACTGTTATACAAACACAAACTTACCACAGACAAGCTTACTGTCACACACACACAAGTTCACTACAGACAAGCTCACTGACACGCACATGCTCACTACAGAGAAGTTTACTGTCACAAACATGCTCCTTACAGACAAGCTCACTGTCACACACACAAGCTCACTAACACACATACACATGCTCACTACAGACAAGATCACTGACACACATATGATCACTACAAACTCACTGACACACACACATGCTCACTACAGAAAAGCTCACCGACACACATGCTCACTACAGACAAACTCACTGACACACACACACAAGTTTACTACAGATAGGCTCATTGTCACGCACACATGCTCACTACAGACAAGCTCACTTACACACACAATTGCTCACTACAGAAAAGCTAACCAACGCACACAAGCTCACTTACAGACAAGCTCACTGACACATATACACATGCTCACTACAGACACACACACTGAAACACACATGCTCACTATAGACAAGCTTACTGACACACAAATGCTCACTACAAATTCACTAACACATACACACACAAGTTCACTACATTCAAGCTCACTGACACACACACATGCTCACTACAGACAAGCTCACTGACATTCACATGCTCACTACAAGCTCACTGAAACACACACACATGCTCACTACAGACAAGCTGACACACATGTTGACTACAGACAAGTTCAGACACACACATAGTCACTATAAACTCACTGACAAACACACACATCCTCACTTATAGACAAGCTCACTGACACACACACATACATGCTCACTTACTAGCAGGCACACACACATGCACACATCACTGTCATCGGCTGAAGCCTACCTGACACAGAAGGCTGTGGGAGACTGGGAGGTCATCTCCATTTTCTGTCCTCCTCCTCTTCCTTCCAGCGAGGTCAACAGCGTGAGTGTGGGGGTGGAGCTTGTAAAGGGGCGGATCTTTGAGGGGCGGTGTTTGCATGCGGGAGGCAGGGCCTGAATGAGGGGGCAGAGCATAGAGGCACCAAATTGCTGGGGATTCGGAAGGGAGCCTCACAGTGCTTTCTCCAGCCCCCTGGCAGCCTTAATGCAGCCCCCAGCACCTCCCTCCAGCCTCCAGCACTTCCCTCCTTCTTTTTCTTGCACTGAGCTGTCACAGTCCAAGGGAAAATTGCATGTGGGGAGGGGGCATGTTAAAAAATCCAGGGTGGGGCAAGTGCCCTCATTTGCCCCACACTGTTTTGTCTCCGGCCTCCCTCTCCTTTGTATAAAAAGGTGGATAACTCACCTTATTTGTTTTCAAGCTTTGCTTGGGTTTCCTTGCGATGGACATGGCTTCAATCCACTTCTATGTTTGAAATCATCAAATTTCATGATCTCAGTCAAGCCAATGCTTTCCTGTGGCTATAGCGCATGCATGGCAAAACGCTGTGCTGAACTAGTCAGCATCTCACTGTAGATATGCAGGAATGTTCAACATCAGTTCTGCACACTGTGAAACACTGACCCAGGAAACACTTCTAATGGCCCTCTGAGTGACTGCACCTAGAGGTATTACTAGTGGCTAATGTAAACACTAAAAAACAAAGAAAAACGTTACTTGCATACTATCCCAAATCCCTAGAGTGCAAGTATATTTTTTTCAAATGTCCCAGTGAGGAAATGTCACTTCCAAGTGATGATTCAACTTTGCCTTAGAGCTCCCTATGAGATGTGTCATAAACTCCACTCTCTTATGGAGGTTGACAATATTTTCCAGACTCGGGTGTGTTTGTTGGGCCCACCCTCATCCATGAAACACAACGAATCCTACACAACTACTAAGCAGCTGCCTTTATAGCAACCACTGCTGCAGGGTTTCAATGTCTGAAAAACAAATTCAAATATCAAACTCTATCCAAAAGTCATCTAGTGTACCCTTGGCTGCAGGAAGACTGGTCTAGGACACTGGGTTGTACTGATATTCAAAAACTTGAGTATGGCTGTATGCATCATCTATTCCATAGTTTTGAAAATATTTTATTTTAATTTGCTGTGCTTTTATGTAAATGTGTTTATATATTTCTAGTATGTAATTTGTGTAAAGTAATTGGAGTTAAATATTTCTTTGTTTTGTAGATATTTTATCAAAATTAAATACAATTATTTCATATTTTCAATATTTTATATTTAATATAAATGTCTCAATATTGCATTATCTTGACTTATTAAACATTCCAAGTTTCTTCGCAGACACTCCATTTGACCCAGCACGTCTGTTAGGACAGGCTGTATCTAATGTCATTTGCTCCATTGTATTTGGAGAGAGATTTGACTATGAAGACAAGGACTTCAAGAACCTTTTGATGTACATGAGAGACCTCTCCATGCAACTGTCTTCAGCCTCGGGGCAGGTAACAAATACCAAATTGGAATATAGTGAGTGAATTAATAATACATTTAATTTAATGTGATTCAAACAACATCCTAGAGGGGGTAAGAATGACTCCTAAAGGAGCACTCCACTTCCCACATTGTAAAATATATTTTTTAAATCACCGTTTAGTAGATATACCTCCAGTGAATATATGCATAATTTTTTCATGTATGCATTCATTGGGGGTTTATCTTCTTATGAAATGCAGCCTTAGCAAGCTCTCCCCTTTTTTCCTGGAAGAGACCTTCAGATGCTGTTGCGTACACCCGCATGCACATCTTGCCTGAGGTTTGGAGCTTAGGACAGTGGCGGATCCAGGGGGGGGCATCGGACTCCCCCTCACCCCCCGCCCCAAGAAAGCTAAGGCTGTCCCTTGCTCTCCCCTGCAGGGTCAAAGCTATCCAAGCACCTGCCCTGCTATGTGCTTTCAGGGACTGAAGAGGAGACCAGAGATCTTCCTCACCAGTGCACAGGCACCTTGCTGGGCAGCCGGCTGGGGAGGTAGTGAGGACTTAGGTGCTCAGCCTGCAGCTCCTCTGGGTCGTCCTCTTACAACATTTCAAATCTCACGAGGGTGAACTCTAGCTGTGGGACTCACCACTGGGACCATCAGGGCTTTTCCACCGAAACACCGGTGATTGAGAAATGTTCCACCTCCCTGAGCAAAAATAAGAAGGGAGGCGGGACATAAAATATATGATTTAAATAAAAAATAAAAAACAGATATATTTGCTTTAGACTACATACACTTTAGCTGAAGTGCTTTTGGGGTGTGGATTGGTCCTTTAAAGAGTTTACTATAGTTTGCCCTCTTACCTGATCCTGACGGCTGCCAAGGGTCCTCTGAAGTAGGGTTTATGACATATATATATATATATATATATAGATATATATATATATGTATTCTGCAAAGCTGCAAAAGGATGCCAATCCTGCAACTCATTCAGCCAATAAATACTGTGCATCCACATTTATACAGAACTGACATTAGCCGCCCTAGCATTTGGCTGGCTAATTGCACCCCACTGATGTTGCAGTAGCTGTAGTTACACTTCCAACAGCAATGTGATTAAACTCAAAATGCTAAGTGTTTCAAAGTAAAATGCTGAACATACAGACTCCAGACACCATGGCCACTTAAAATCCACTGACGTGGTCATGGTGTCTAGAGTAAACCTTTAATAGAAGTAAACTATTTTTACAGCTTCTTCAGTTGTTCCCATATGTACTCCAGTGGGTCCCTGGCCCTCACCAGAATATCTTCAAAAACATTTCAAGATTGAAAAGCTATCTAATGAACCAGGCAAAATCTCACCAAGGAACGTTGGATACAAACTGCCCACGAGACTTCATAGACAGCTTTTTGATTAAGATGGAAGAGGTATTTATGTAGAACAGAAACTAATTTACAGTATAAACTCCACATTTAGTTAATTTTGACTGGTTAGAAGGTAATTTCCAAAAAACAAATCATTCAAAATATTTCCCAGGAAAAAAACAAGGGCAGCACAGAATTTCACGACGACAACTTATGGAGAACAGTATTTGATTTGTTCTTTGCCGGGACAGAGACTACAAGCACAATGATGAGATATGGCTTCTTGATTCTCCTCAAACATCCAGAGATACAAGGTATAAATGCTCTTCATTAATTTGTTTATTTAACAGTTCTTCAAGTTCTTTTTCCAGAGTGTTTTGCAAGGTATAACAATTGCTGGCAGACTTGGTCATAGACAGGGGAAACAAACTGGAGTAGAACCCTATTTTTGTGACACTTTATTTTAGTTATACATTAGTCAGGAACGTATTCAGTCCTTGGGTTCGTAATGTCAGTTGTTGAATCAGTGTTTAATTGTAACGTGTGATAGCTCATGGAATGATTCTGGTTTGAGATAAAGGGGTTGGATGGGTGAGATGTGGTAATGTGGAGAAGGGACGGGATGGTTCCTATTCTAGATGCAAGTTTGACCTGATATCATCAGTATGCAAGATGCCTCCCAGCATGTTTTTGTTTGGAAGTATATGTAATGGAAATTGTGTATTTCTATATAGTTGTCATACACACATTTATTTTCTGTTTATTTAATTTAGAGAGGATCCAAAAAGAGATTGATGATGTAATTGGCCAAAATCGATGTCCATCAATTGAGGACCGGAGTAAGATGCCATTTACTGATGCCGTCATCCATGAAATCCTGAGATTTGCTGATATTGTCCCCACAGGGCTTATCCATGAAACTAGCAAAGACACAACTTTCAGGGGATATCACATTCCCAAGGTTAGTAAACTATGGAGCAATATGTGGGACATGATATACTCTCTGTCACTCTTTCTTGCAGCCAACATGGCACTGTCATTAGTACGCGTGGGCTTCTGGAGGAACTGCGCTCTTGTTAATTTTTTCATTTCAGGGTACGTTGGTTTTGCCAATATTGACATCTGTTCTGAAGGACCCCAAATACTTTAAAAACCCTGAAGATTTTGACCCAAATCACTTTCTAGATGAGAATGGGTGTTTTAAAAAGAATGATGCCTTTCTGCCATTCTCTATAGGTAATGACATTGCATTAGTGGTCATTATTTTATATGTTTATAAGAGTAGTAAAAAGAATTCCATGAGCGACAGACTAACATTCTTATCTTTCATACCTTCCTCTCCAGGTAAGCGTGCGTGTGTGGGAGAGGGCCTGGCTCGCATGGAGATCTTCCTCTTTGTCACGACTGTCTTGCAAAATTTTACTCTGAAACCAACAGTGGAAGAGAAAGATATTGAGATCACGCCAGAGCCCAAATCTAATGCTTCAAGACCTCGGGGCTACCAGATGTATACTGTGCCTCGCTTAATGTCCTGAATGATGAAATTAGACCTTTGACATCCTATGTGAACAACTCACTTTTTTATGACTTTGATGTTAGTGATTGCTGGGCTGCATACAAAGTCAGACCACACTGATTTGGGCTCTAAGAGAGTTTGTTTATTGATGGGTACGCTATAATTAGTAGTGGAGGATATGCTGGAAGTCACACATTCCCACACTCAATATATATACTGGTTACAAAATTACAATTAATATGAATACTAAAGCTTTCTAGACATACAAACAATACATGATTAATTGTACTCTAGCAGATAATAATAAAATCTTACTGTTTATCTAACTTTCCGCAGGACTCAAACAAGGACAAGACAAATGGGTAGAAAAACAAGTGGAAAAAAAATAAAGAAATGTAGAAGTTATGTTTGTCTGCAAAAATTCCAAGAAATAGAAAAAAAGATCTGGGCACACAGGTTAATATCCAATGCAGACTTTTAATGGAGACAACAAGGCAACGTTCTGACTCTGCTGAGTTGAAATGTTGCCTTTTTGTACCCAATAAAGGTCTGCATTTGATGTAAGCTTGTGTTGCCGGACCTCTTTTTCTATTTAATGAACCAAAGGGTTGTGTCATCCTTATCCTCATGGCTGCAGCTGAAGATCCGGTTTATAGACTTGTGCTGTCCTTGGCTTTTTGTTTTCTGCTAAAATTTCTGGACCTGCAAAGAAGCAGGCAGTTCTGAACAAAATGGCAGCTATGAATACAGCTTCATGCTATTTACTCTGGGTTATTGGGATCAACAGCAGAAACAGGTGTGAAAAATGCTGAACTTGATGGATGCATGTCTCTTTTTGGCTATGTAACTATGTAAAACTTTCTTCTAATAACTATAAGACCTCCACTTCCTCACACAACAAATGAAATATAGACAAACGTGCTGTAAAGCAAGAGAAAAAATTAATGCATTTTTGATCGTATCACCTTTTATAGTTATCTTTTATTTTGCAAGATACCTAAGGGATAGGATGTAAAACTTGGAATATAAAAATAGTTAATTTAAAAAAGAGAAGTTACTACATTAGAAAAACAAATTTTTTTGTATTTAAAAAAACAAAACAAAAATAAAGAGAGAAATGTTGAATTTCCATTTAAGGGAAGGTAATCGGTTTGTACAAAAATCCCAGTTGAGTCAAAAGCCAATGCGTGGTCAGGTTTGCTCAACTTATTGATCCAGAACAGTCAGCAATTCTGTCAGATGATTTATTAGAATATCAACATGAAAGAGAGATAAACACCATGACCTTTCTCCTAGAGTTATAATTTATAAATAATCTTCCTATGAATACATGCAAGCCTTGTCAACCTTGAGATGCAATTCAGAATACATTATAAGTACGTAAAGTAAAAATTGGGGAGAAACGATAAAATTATTTGCAGATTTAGAGCAAACAAATTGCCAAACTGGAGCAATTCTCTAATTTACCTGTTTTTCTTTTATTCTCCAACTTATTTTTATTTCCCTTTCTCCACAGTCCCTGGTTTGTAATTAACCCTGAGACGTTGATTCATTTAACACCATATTGTATTTAGTGCATTAAAAACCGAATTGCAAAGTTAAGCTTACGTGGCCAAGCTGTGACAAGCGAATTAAAGATTTTACTTTGCATTTATTTTTTGTCCTCTATTTTTGCCTACATTTTTTCAATTATTTTTTTCAATTATTTTAAAATCACAGAAATTCTGTATTTTGTAAATAAAACGGCAACGTGTTTTTTATTTACACAATTTGTACGGAATGTATGAAGATACTACAAAGTCAATGACTCAAGAAATTTAAATAAAATGGGAGGTAGCAACCTTAGAAACATATTTGAAAGAAAAAAATCACCCCATTCCATGGAGGAATGGGTAGAAATGCTAGAGATGTTTTCATTCACCGCTATGGAAAAAATCATTAAAAGGAGAAAATCAACTTTGGAAAAATTAGACTGTGAAATACATAAACAACAAAATTACTTAATAAACCATACCTCAGCAGAAGAGTATGAAGACACTACTAATAACATTCAATCACAGTTAGATAAAATTGAGAGAGACACAGTAAAAAATTAAAATATAAAAGAGATAACTATGACTACGGACACAATCAGGTCAGATCTTACTTCAAAAATAAAGCCCATATACAAAATACATATAGACCCTCACGAAAGAAAATACGGTGAGGGAGAATGAAATCCCGTTTATCTGTAACTTTGACAAATTAAAAGAATGGTATCAAGATACTGGCCAATGTTGAAGAAGGATCCTCTATTATATAATATTATATAATATGTTACCAAGTCAACCGAATATTCTATTTAGAGGAGCAACAAATTTAAAACAGACCTTGGTAAAAAATCATATAAGGAAAGACAAACAAAATCCTTTTTTCCAAAAAATAGGTTTCTATGGATGTGGACTATGTCAACCCTGTAGAAATACCAGGAGTGAAAAAAGACACATAGAAACATTCGAAGATCCACACAATAAAAAAAATATATATAAAATTAACGAAATGACCACCTGTTTTTCGAAAAATATAATATACTTACTTAAATGCACATGCAATTTATGGTAAGTGGGAAGGACTAAACGTTCCTTACATGTAAGATTAAATGAACACATTAGGAATATTAAAAATGGATATGAAAAACACAGCGTCTCAAGACATTTTAAGGAAAAACATAACTGTGACCCACAATTTTTAAAGTTTTTAGCAATACAGAAAGTAAAACCAAATTGGAGGGGAGATGACATCATTCAGTGTTTAGGAAAATGTGAAATGAGATGGATTTTTAACCTAAACACCCTTAGCCCCATTGGTTTAACAAAGATTTTCAATTGTGCTATTTCCTGTGATATTTTTACTATGCTTTTAGGGAATTTTTTATGAATGTTATGTAACACACACTGTCACTTTAAACGCATGTCACTTTAAATGCATGCTATTATGTGCACACCATTTTTTTCATCTAAAAAGTTTGACTGTCTGGATTCTAGATATAGATTTATATTTTATATTTATTTATAAAAAGAGACTAAAGAAATCATGCCTTTATTGAATACACTGATACTCTATTCCATTTAAAATATGTAACAAACTTGCAAGCTGATCTGAATAGGAGGTGAGAGATCATTATACAGGCGAAGAGCAACATGGGTAATGTAGTTACAATGAACTACAACGGAGGTGACGTAACGGACTAAGAATCCAACGTCACTTCCGGTTCAACGAACAATCAGGAAGTACATCTCTTCAAATGGATGATATAGGCTGCAATTAAAAGGAAGCACCACCAGATTGGCTATTAGCCGAAAAAGGGGAGGAGCCCAATGAAGATTTAAAACCATAACCGGGAACTCAGCAATATACACGCCAATTGAGAAAGCCATTACTGGCGAAACGCGTCTTGAACGAGAGGAAGGACCACAAAAAGGACGTATCTTTGCTTATTTTGCACTGTCAAATTTTGTTTTTATTATCTGTTTTATTAATAAATTTACATTTTATTTTACAAGTCCCCCTCTCTTAAATCTACATCCTGATCTTTCGGTTCCCATAGGGTAGTGTCACCCTACAAACTGACACTAAATGAACATTTTGGAACCAGTTCTCTAACGGGCTCCAGAAAAGGTAAGCAGGCAATTTTTTATACATTTTGTTACAAACTGTTTTATTTGGCTACACATGGATTTGTATCCTATCTCTCTGCTTACATCTCCATATTCACTACTGAGAATAAACATAGAAGAAGGTCCCCTGGTGCCACCTTAAAGGTCCAGATCTGCTTTTTGTTTAGAGTCAATTACGAAAAAGGCTCTAAAAAATGTGAGTTTATCTACATACTCACTTTAAAAAAATTCATATCTCTTAAATTTATTACACTATTGTAATTTTATTCTGTATTTCTTGAATGTGGATATTCCCCTATATATTGAGGGGTAAGTGTGAATTCAATCTTAAGCGCTGCATTGTTTTACTGGAAAGTGAGGTGGGTCACCCAAACACTGAGTTTTACTTGTTATTTACATCTGTGTGTGTAGTGGATTTTTTGGGATATCCACTTATTGGTGCAATAGCTGCTGATACCACAATTTGAAACTACTAGAATTATTAAAAAGCGCCTTATATACACTGTTCTATTTTTGTGTTTTTTATTTACCTGGGATCAATTTTTCTTTTCATAAGTCGGGTCTATAAAAACGCTAAATGCTTGTAATTACAATTTACTTCTTCAATCAAAGTTATCATGTTAGCATTTGGTTTTGTATCTGTTCTTTCTAAACTTGTAACTTCTACCCCAGAAAACGATATTATCATTTGTGTCTGAGTATTACTAAGCATGTTCTGAGATAAGGATTGTATTGCAGAACTTCATGTAACCATTTACACGCCCCATCAATAAACTCAGATGCACCTGGCAAACCTTTTTCACTGCCATTAGTTGACGCTGGAATGCTGCCCATATAAGTACATAGGTTGTTTGGACTTAGAAAGCCATTTCAAGGGAAACATTCTCCTGTTATTGTCATCATGTCCCTGGGACTCGCAGCTACATTTCTTCTGGTCTCCTTTGTCACCCTCCTGCTGTACCTAATAACATGGAAAGGAGGGAAAAAGCTGGAAAACCTGCCCCCAGGACCCACGCCTCTGCCCCTGCTGGGGAATATTATGCAGATTAGCACCACAGAATTGCCCCAATCCCTGGTTAAGGTGAGAAAAATAATTGTTCTTTAATAATTTGTGTTTGGTCACCTCACCATTTCAATGTTTTAATACAATCCACAGTACTACATACAATATATTCTGCAAACATGGTATCTTACGTTAGTACTCTAGAAAATGCAGAACCATTATTAATTACAATAATTAACGCAAAATCAGTTTATGAAAGCTGGATGAAATTGACTATTATGCTGTATGTGAAAATGTTTTCTGTAAAACCTCTTTTTACAGGTTGAAAGGGTATTTATCCATTTGAAGAGATTTGGCCAGAGTCTGTAGAATAGAGTAAGCGGCCTCATGATATAGATTATTTAATACAAATAGATATTATTTCTTCTTACTGTCCAATTTGGAAACAAATCTGTACTGATCTCAAATTTGGATTTTTATTTCTATTTTATATTTATTTCTATCCTATATTCATTTGACATGGTGTATTGTGCTGATAGATTGAAAGGCTAAATAGTATCATTACAGAAGCAACAGAGTCATTACAAAACAGTGTTATTACAAAATGAAAAAAATAGAATATTCAAGGATGTAATTGATATGTATGTGAACAGGTTATTCATCCAAGGAGAAATCTGATTGCCATTATGGAGTAAAAAATTATTTTTGTGCCATAATTGGAAATAGTTAACTGTGACTTTATAAGTTTAGACCTAATGAGACGATAAGATTATCCTCATTCATTCCATGAACTTATAACTGCAACAAAATATAAAAATATCATGGATCAAAATGACTCCCGTTTTCGATATACTTTTGAAGTGAATTCCTATTTTGAAAAACGTATCTTCATATTTTTATATTTTTTACATATTGATATATATTTTTTAATATATGATAGATTTTCTTGATATTTTATCATTTGAAAAAAACAATACCTTTTTTTTTGTTTGTAAAAAAGAAAAATACTATGAAAAAAATAAAAAATAAATAATTTATAAAAAAAAAAAACTTTATCTAAAAATATTCAATCGTTTGATAAGGTTATTTCAAAATATTAACTCAAGGCAAAGTTTTTTTTTTTGCATCTTAATAGACAGAATTATAGTGGATCACATTCACACTATATTCCGAATGCTAAAAAGTTGCATGTCATTTGTTGATTATGAAATGACCCCAAAAAACTAGAAGAGTAACATCATGGGTGAGCAGTGCAAACAAACATTTGGCAACGTTATAAGGTTAACCGTGGTGGATCTAGTATTAAAGTTTCTACTTGAATTAGCATTTGGTGTAAATGTATTTTGGGTGTGAAGTATAGTGTAATAGGTTGGATTGGCCAAGCCACAATCATATCTAGAGGTTTCAATTGTCAAATGCCCAGTTTGTATTACTCCTTACACACATTATATGAATAAACTAAATTATATTAATCAGCATGCACTTTGATATAGTTAAGGTGCTGATGAAGCCCTAGAGAATCACGGAAAGGATACTATGTGTAAATTAACCATTGATTTTCCTGTGTGCCTGTCCACAGCTAAGCAAGCAATATGGACCAGTGTACACAGTTTATTTGGGCAGCCAGCGTGCCGTCATGCTTATTGGGTGTGACACGGTGAAAGAAGCTCTGGTGGATCACAGTGATGTGTTTAGCGACAGTGGAAACTTACGTCTGAGTGATTTATTGTTCAAAGATTATGGTAATAAACAAAAATTAAAGCTCACTTTTTAAAAATGTAATTTTTTTACAATTAAACTTAGTATATTGAATTTTTTATTACATCTCTATGCCTCTGCTGTTCTGGCCTAGGTTAATTGTATTTTAAAAAAAGATAGCATAAGATAATTGAGTGTGGATAGGCCATCATCATTTACCATGAGTTACTGAAGAATACTCAATTCTTTACTGAGTCAATAAAGACAGTTTCCAGAATTCTAACTGATCTTCCATGTTATCCATTTTTACACATGCCTCATTATTATCCTTTATATATTTTGCAGCAAATACCAGTCTTTGATATTAACATTTCTCTGAGAAAGAGTAAGAAAAGGAAAGATTACAGTAAGAAGGAAATGAGAATTAAAAAAAGCATGGAAAGAGCAACAGAGAGATAGATAAACCACTTTAAGATAATTAAGATATGATTAACTCATCACTGTTTCAATCCCGAGATATGTGCATGGTGAGAAATATTGGTTGTGCAGAATCATTTTTTTCCAAAGATATTTATTGGAAAACTTAAAATTTGCCCATGTGTTGGCTTGCCTCAGCCAAGTGTTGATTCAGAAACAGGATCTGAAGAACAAACCAAAAAGTTGTGAAAATAGGCCATAACATTAAAACCACCTGCCGAATATTGTGTAGCTTCTTCTCATGCTGCCAAAACAGCTCTGAAGTGTCGAGGCATGGACTCCACAAGAGCTCTGAATGTGTTGTATGGTATCTGGCAGAAAGACATTAGCAGCAAATCATTTAAGTCCTGCAAGTTATGAGGTGTGTCCTCCAAGAATCAAATTTGTTCTTCCAGCACACCCTACATATGCTCAATTGGGCTGAGTCTGGAAATTAGAGGCCAATGCAACATTTTGAATTCTTTGACATGTTCCTCAAACCATTCCCGAACATTTTTTTGCAGTGCAGAAAGGTGCATTATCCTGCTGAAAGAGCCCACTGCCATCCAGGAACAACAATGTCATGACGGGGTGTATGGGGACTGTAACAGTCTCTAGTGTAACATCCACATGAATGCCAGGACCAAGGTTTCCCAGCAAAACATTGCATAGAGAATAAGCTGCCTATGCCGGGCTATCTTCTTTCCATAGTGCATCCTGCTGTCACCTCTTCCCCAGGTAAATTACGTACATACACCAGGTCATCCACCTAATCTAAAAGAAAATGTGATTCATCAGACCAGGCAAACTTCTTCCATTGCGCAATGGTCCAGCTCTGATACTCACGTCCCTTCCAAAGGACTTTGAACAGATGTCATCATGGGCACTCTGACGTCAGCAGCTAAGAAGCCCCATATGCAGCAAACTATGATGCACTGTGAGTGTTTTGACACCTTTTGATCATGGCCACCTTTAAGGGTTTTAGCAATTTGAGCTAAAGTATTTTTGATTGGACGAGACAGGCTGTACTTTGCTCCCCACACGCATCAATGAGTTTTGAGCACTCAGTATCCTGACACAGTCTCATCAGTTGTCCGTCCTTACATCACTTTTTGTAGATGCTAACCATTACTGGGAACACCTCACAAGACTTGTCATTATGAGGATGCTCTGACCTGGTTGTCTAACCATCACTGTTTGGCCCTTTGGCCAAAGTCACTCAGATCTTTTCACATGCCCATTTTTCCTGCTTCCAACACATGAAATTCAAGAACTGACAGTTCACTTGCTGCCTAATGTATCCATCACTTGACAGGCACCATTGTAATGATATAATCAGTGGTTTTAATGTTGTGGTTGGTCAGTGTTAATATTATGTATAATTTGTGCAGTGTGTAGATTAATCTTCCTTCCATTTGGTTCACAGATTTATTGAGACATACAGGGAGTGCAGAATTATTAGGCAAGTTGTATTTTTGAGGATTAATTTTATTATTGAACAACAACCATGTTCTCAATGAACCCAAAAAACTCATTAATATCAAAGCTGAATATTTTTGGAAGTAGTTTTTAGTTTGTTTTTAGTTATAGCTATGTTAGGGGGATATCTGTGTGTGCAGGTGACTATTACTGTGCATAATTATTAGGCAACTTAACAAAAACAAATATATACCCATTTCAATTATTTATTATTACCAGTGAAACCAATATAACATCTCAACATTCACAAATATACATTTCTGACATTCAAAAACAAAACAAAACAAATCAGTGACCAATATAGCCACCTTTCTTTGCAAGGACACTCAAAAGCCTGCCATCCATGGATTCTGTCAGTGTTTTGATCTGTTCACCAACAACATTGCGTGCAGCAGCAACCACAGCCTCCCAGACACTGTTCAGAGAGGTGTACTGTTTTCCCTCCTTGTAAATCTCACATTTGATGATGGACCACAGATTCTCAATGGGGTTCAGATCAGGTGAACAAGGAGGCCATGTCATTAGATTTTCTTCTTTTATACCCTTTCTTGCCAGACACGCTGTGGAGTACTTGGACGCGTGTGATGGAGCATTGTCCTGCATGAAAATCACGTTTTTCTTGAAGGATGCAGACTTCTTCCTGTACCACTGCTTGAAGAAGGTGTCTTCCAGGAACTGGCAGTAGGACTGGGAGTTGAGCTTGACTCCATCCTCAACCCGAAAAGGCCCCAAAGCTCATCTTTGATGATACCAGCCCAAACCAGTACTCCACCTCCACCTTGCTGGCGTCTGAGTCGGACTGGAGCTCTCTGCCCTTTACCAATCCAGCCACGGGCCCATCCATCTGGCCCATCAAGACTCACTCTCATTTCATCAGTCCATAAAACCTTAGAAAAATCAGTCTTGAGATATTTCTTTGCCCAGTCTTGACGTTTCAGCTTGTGTGTCTTGTTCAGTGGTGGTCGTCTTTCAGCCTTTCTTACCTTGGCCATGTCTCTGAGTATTGCACACCTTGTGCTTTTGGGCACTCCAGTGATGTTGCAGCTCTGAAATATGGCCAAACTGGTGGCAAGTGGCATCGTGGCAGCTGCACGCTTGACTTTTCTCAGTTCATGGGCAGTTATTTTGCGCCTTGGTTTTTCCACACGCTTCTTGCGACCCTGTTGACTATTTTGAATGAAACGCTTGATTGTTCGATGATCACGCTTCAGAAGCTTTGCAATTTTAAGAGTGCTGCATCCCTCTGCAAGATATCTTACTATTTTTGACTTTTCTGAGCCTGTCAAGTCCTTCTTTTGACCCATTTTGCCAAAGGAAAGGAAGTTGCCTAATAATTATGCACACCTGATATAGGGTGTTGATGTCATTAGACCACACCCCTTCTCATTACAGAGATGCACATCACCTAATATGCTTAATTGGTAGTAGGCTTTCGAGCCTATACAGCTTGGAGTAAAACAACATGCATAAAGAGGATGATGTGGTCAAAATACTAATTTGCCTAATAATTCTGCACTCCCTGTAGTAACCAATAGAGGGGATCCAGTAGTAGCAGAACAATAATCTATGTTTATATATTATATGAACAGTGTATTACATATGTAATATACACAGTAAATATAGACTATTTTAGTGCTCCTCCTGTTTTTCCCTCTAATGCTCCCTACTCACATAATTTGTGAATAAAATCAACATTAATATTTTGACTCAGAGCTCGGAAGTTTTGCCTATCATTCAATCAGCCCAAATTTGGCTGAAATGCAATTCAGTCCAAAACGAATCTCTAAGTCTAATATTCCCTGAAACTTAAGCTTCCTAACCTTAAGTCCTCCTTAAATACCTTTTTCATCATGTTTCTAGGCGTCATCCTGAGCAATGGAGAGAGGTGGAAGACGATGCGTTGATTCTCTCTCATGACGTTGAGAAATTTCGGAATGGGGAAGAGAAGCATTGAGGAAAGAATCCAAGAGGAAGCTCGCTCTCTCACAGATGCCTTCAGAAAGTACAAAGGTTGGTATTTATTTTTGAAAGGTAATTAATAAAAGTTTGATTATATCATGGAGCATACAGTTCTCCCTCGGAGTTTAAATGTAGATAACAAGCAATGCAACAGAAAATCGTGACTAATACAGTTACTCTCTAATACATAGGTGTTAACACCTGATTAAAGTTAATTGGTCCATCTAAGTTGCTCCTTTCCTGTGTCAAAGAACAGGTGTTTTGGTTGTTTATATTCTAATCTCAGGACAACAGTGTTGAAGTAAACTTTACTCGCAAGTTGGAGTAAATTTGGGATTAATAATAAGCAATTCAGTAATCTTTATTAATAGAGGCTAATCAAACAAAGAAACAATACATTTACATTTGAGGGTGGAATGGGGCTTGTATAAGAACACAATGGGGCTTGTATTAGAACACAATAACACTTCATTGGCATACAGTTTGATTGTTAATTATTATTATTATTTTATTATTTATATAGCGCCAGCAAATCAGTCCCCCCACTTATTACAAGTGTATATAATGCAGGCCTACCTTCGGCTGTAGTTCTACCACCTTCATTCTACCTCTTGGTGTACCTCTACCAATATCAGCCTAACTTCAATTGTTTCTCCATCACCTTTGCTGGATGCTTATTCCATATAACTACAACTAAATCTGAAGCCAGTATTTCCTGTTCTAGTTTCCCTTTCTTTGCATTACCTTATCTGTAACTATAAAGTAGTCTATGAGTTTAACAACTAGATTTGAGCATTTGAATTGTACCTTTATATAGAACTCTGTAAGTATATTTATCTTTCTAAAAACTGAATTATATAAATTTTACTAACATTTTAATATTGCCCAGAATAGACAACCCATTTGACCCTATAGTTCTGCTTGGACAGGCCGTCTCCAATGTTATTTGCTCTGTGGTGTTTGGTGAGCGATTTGACTATGAAGACAAGAAATTTGAAAAACTTCTGTTCTACATTAGGGAAGTCTTGAGACAGTTAAATTCATTTTCTGGCCAGGTAAGTACTGTCACTATGACAATGATTTCTTTATTGAGCTGTCTTCTGTACTGCTTGGGATGTATATTGACTGACTAGAGCAGTGGTAATGTCAACTCCTTGGAACTGATGAACACAGTTTTGAATCCTGGTCAAATAGTGTCCATAGGCATGACACCTAATGATATATCTCTGCCTAACTCAACACCCTCATGGCTTGCAAGTTCTATCTATCTTACAAAATGGGGATAAAAAACATGTTTACTTGTATTAGCACTCTTTAACAAATTAGCAACTTTTCCTTTTTGTAAATATGTACCTTTTGTGTTTTAGCTCCTCCAGTTATTCCCAGTTGTACTGAGTGTCATCCCTGGCCCTCACAAGAAAGTCTTCACAAATATCTATACACTGAGAGCTTTTGTCAAAGACATGATGAAATCTCATGTAGAAACATTAGATAAAAACTGTCCAAGGGACTTAATAGACTCTTTCCTGATAAAGATGAATGAGGTAAGCATCTTCAAAATAATCATTCCTTTTTGCTTAGAATAATTCTAGAGAAAACAATTTAAATACAACATCTGAAATTCTTCTAGGAAAAAAATAATCCCAATACGGAATTTCATGATGAAAATTTAATTGGAACAGTTATAGATTTGTTTTTTGCCGGGACAGAGACCTCCAGCACAACTTTAAGATACGGTTTCCTGATTCTGCTCAAGCACCCAGAGATACAAGGTAGTTCATATATATTGTTTTATTTTATATTCTTTATTTTTGCTGTGCAAAAAAAGTACATACAGGCTTGTGATGCCGCAAGAGCAAATGTTTTGGTAATATTCATAGGTTTACATAGTCATGACAAAGGAAGACACAGATTTTATGAAAAAATAATACCAATTAACAGGTTAAGCAGGCTTGTTTAACTGGTGGACACATTGAGCATGAGACACAAGCTGGCTATTGAGTTGTTGGATACTAAGTGTGTGACGAAGTGCCCTTCGCCACTTGGTCCTGGAGAGGCCTGCTTGCCAGCCTCCTGCCTTGTGACTATGGTCCCTGGGAGACTTTGCCAGTTAAAAACACTATGTGGACATATTGGTGTTTTAAAAGTCTGTTATGGCCCTTTAAATGGTACTGGCACAATTCTGCAACTTTAAATTGGCACTTCGGATGCAGCTGAAGTGCCGAAGTAGTCGAAGTGGCCGCCATTCGACAACCGAACACATGGCGGTAGCCATCTTTATTTTGTCGAACGCGGTCAGCGGTGTGTGCCGTCAAATTCATGGAACTAAAATCGGCTACAAAACGGCATGAACACCGCTGAAGTTTTACCTTCCCTGAAACGAATGCATTTGACAATTCAAACGCCGTTCGACAGTTCATTCGACAATTAGAATGGTTGTCGTTCGTCTGTTTCAACTGACTTTAACATGGGAAATAGACTGGCCGTGCAGCCTGATTCTCTGAAACTGTTTTGGGCATGAAAATGTGTGTGCGGTCGTTCATAAAGAGACTTCCATGGAACCTTTAAACCACTGGAGGAAGATGTCTGATTTTTGGATATGTTTATACTTGAAATATGCTGAGTTCGAATATGTAACTTTTATTAATATTGCATGTGTACTTTTAAAGTTATAGGAGTTGTATAAAATCTGTATTTTTCTTTCCTGTGATAATTACATTAGCCCATTGTGTACAGTAATTATATCACAGGGGAGGATTTTGCTGGAATGAATGGGAGCGTTTTACTGTATTGTACATGTTTGATTGGCTGTTCTACAAACCCATGTAGGTGGTACTTTGTGTGTAAAACTTGCATAAAAGAAAGCCCTTTGGTGCCACTTAAACAGATCTTCTTGACCCTCAACATGTAGTCTTGTCTCGAGATTGGAGAGGACAGCTATAATCACACTGGGAATTGCTATGCTCTGCATACTCCCTTGAGCTTTAATCACTTAGCTCTTCTAAGACCTGTTCCTGATACGCTCTCCTGGAGGAGAGGTCTTCCCCACACGGTCCTGGATGTCAGAGGTTCATACAGGATGGAAGGAAGAAGTCTTTCCCACACGGTCCTGGAAGACAGAAGCTGATCCACGGTGGAAGGAAAATGGCAAGACTACCAGTTAAACTATAGTGATTGTGGAGTCTGCGGTGGTTGTGGTGTGCAGTGCTTGTGGTCCTCGGCACACGCTAGGAAGCTTCCATCAACGGAAGGTACTCGGTCGGAGTACGGATGAGTCCATTACACTAAGCTACTGCTGCTGTAAGCGCGGTGCTTTATCTTTGTGTTTGTATATGATGTTTGTATCACACAGCTATGTTACATTGCTGCCAGCCACCCCATGTTTGTCTTATTGGGAGTTTGTAAGTATGTAGGGGCAGCACCCCTTCCTGTCTCATCAGAGAAATTTGCCTTTTAGCTGATACCAGCAAGGTGATTTGTATGTGTTATTGCCCTATTCAGGGTTAAGTATGTGGGGGTTTATAAAACACCCCTTCCTGTCTCATTAGAGATGTTTACACTTTGTCTGATGCCAGCAAAGTTTATTGTATGTGTAGAAGCCCTATAAAGGGTTAAATGTGAAAGGGTTTATAAAATACCCCTTCCTGTCTCATTGGAGATTCTTGGCTGATATCAGCATATCTAATGGCTAGTGTAGGACTCACCTATTGAGGCTTGCCTTGACATGGCAGGTGAGCTTATTTATTCAAATGGCCATTGGAATAAACCTAAAGAACCTCCATTTTGTTTAAATGTACATAGAGATTTAGGCCAGAGTGCAGGTAACGTTCTCTTTGTTTTTACTATGTATTTTAAGCTGTTGGATACTAAGCTACTGCTGCTGTAAGCGCGGTGCTTTATCTTTTTGTTTACATAGTCATGACAGAGAAAGAATTTGTGCAGATTTTATGTAAAATAATACTAATAATTAGGTTAAGCAGGATTGTTTAACTGGTGGACACATTGAGACACAAGCTGGCTGTGCGTTATATGTATCGTAAGTGAGGTTCAGGAATAGGCAAAGCTGGTTGAGCTAGACAATTATAGGCAAGTACCTGGGCACCCAAACTTGCTAGCTAAACATGCTACACACGGAACTAAGTGACCATGACGAGTAAAATGCTTGTCGAATAATAATAAAAAGAAATAAAGACAGTGCTAGAAAACATGCCGGGCCAACAAGATATTAGAATAATTAGTTAAGGTAATGGCTTGCTAACTGATATAAAAAAAAAGCTTTTAAAACCACTTGATCCTGAAAACGTTGAAAAGACGTAATGCAAGGACTGAGAATAAAAAAGTTCCTGCATTGCTGGAAATGAACTTGCTATGTTTTAACAAGAACCACATTAACTAGTAGTCACCCAATACCACAAGTGGGCAACAGCAAGGAGTTCAGCAACAGTGGGTCCCCAAGATTTTCCTGTCCTCGAACTAGTAGACCGGCTAACTGCACTCCGTCTCAACGCCTTGGCTGAACACTGCTGTCAGGGTAGTTTCTGATTCGTTGTCTCTTGTGGTGTGCGCGACTGTAGGCACTTCCATGAGAGTGCGACTTAAACTGTGGCCTCTGTAGCCTCTAGGGCCTCCGGGTTAGGGCCCATCTCCATCATCAGGTGCCCCACTGCACTGGGAACATGAACAAGATGTGGTTGCTGAGGTAAGGGAGGGAGATGAGCAAAGGGACCTGAACACCTCTTTTCCGCATCTAGGTAGAAAGGAGATTAAGAGATCAGCTGCTTCACCATGCCTCCACCTCCAAGAAGACCATTGGTAGGCTGCAGGATCCGTTGTCTGAGATTTCTCTACAGTTGTGTGAGAGGGCTATGCTGATCTTGTCACCTTTGTGTTAATTAGTGAGAATTACTAACTTCCTGACTGAAATTATTGAACCGAAAGTCCATTAAATTCAGTAAACTCCAGATATCTTTCGGAGCTCAAACAAAGTGTGAATGCTTAGCATGGCAGTCAGCCCCCCCACCTCACCACAAGTAGTTCATATATTAACATCACTTAATATTCTGTCACACAATAATTTCCTGTTCATAGAACAGGTAATTTGAAAACCTGAATCATTTTATTGTCCAAGACTTCCTAAGTAGAAAAAAACAAAAGTTATATAACATTTTTGAAATTATTAAATATTAATATGTATCATTTGTATTGTTGTTATTAATATTATTACCTATGTTTGTTTTATTCTTTATATGTCTTTTAATTTTGATTTTTTTTACATGTGCTTTTTCTTTATTTTGTCTTTAGAAAAGGTCCAAGAAGAGATTGACAGTGTAATTGGCCAAGATCGTTCTCCATCAATGGAGGACCGGAGTAAGATGCCGTATACTGATGCTGTGATTCATGAAATCCAGAGATTTGCTGATATTGTCCCTGGAGGTCTTGCCCATGCAGCCAGTAAAGATAAAACCTTCAGAGGATATCACATTCCCAAGGTCAGTAAACTTTAAAACAAGCATTGGAAAGTAACACATATAACATATAGTATTCATATAATAATATATACATAAAACATCTATGTCAGTTTCAAAAGCAAGAAAATCTCTAAAATATTTACATTTTTTACACATATTATATTTTCTTAAGTTTATTTAATGAATAGCTATTTCATTTTGAATGTTTACCTTTCTGAATGCTCACAGTGGTGCATCAGTATTAGTCAATGCAAATGCAATTCATTGAACACACCCACGAAGCTGTCATTTTTTGGAAAGCTACCCTGAGTACTGTTTATCAGTGCGAGTATGGAGACTGCAGCCAAGAGTGAAGGTGGTATTGCATAGCCCTCCAGACAAATTTTTGTAGACCCTCAGTTGCATGCCCTACATATTCTGTGTTTTGATATAATTTTTAATATGTGAGTCAACAGCTTCTTGACCAAGGAGGAATCTGATTGCCATTCTGGGGTCAAGAAACAATGTTTTTTCCCAATTAAAAAATCACTGAAGCCAATCTTCATAAAACATTCAACAGATAAATAGTATCAAAATAAGCAGGAACAACGTTTTTACGTTAATTTACATTGGTGTCTACAAACTGAATATTATTTTATCTTCTCTAGACTATAAGCTCATTTGAGCAGAAACCTCATCAACCTATTGTTCCTTTAACATTTTGTAAGTGCCTCATTTATTGTTAAAATAATATTGTAAAGTGCTGCGGAATAATTAGATGATGCTGTATAAATGATAATAATAATAGTGATAAGTCAGTAATTTTTCAGAGATTTCTAAGACAGTAATACATGGTAAAAACTGTGTGTTATATACACCCACCCCAGTCATACCGTGGAGCGCTATAAATACTTACCCTTCCAATGTGGGTAAGGTACAGTGACCTAAAATAATGAACACATATATGGTCCAATATAGCCAATATTGTGCAGTGAATATAACTCTAAACAGTACGCTCACATTTGGCTAAGCCCAATAGGAGAGGCTCAGATCACATGAACGGATGTGCACTATGGTGATACTGCCCCTCCTCCTCTGAGCTTTGATGTGCTTATAATACATAGAGTTGGAAAAATACTTAGTGCAATATGTCAATTCAATAAAGTGCACAGTATACAAAGTTGCTGACTGCTCACCTTCTCCAGAGCCTATTATACTTGGCTCCTAGTGTGTAGACCCTTGTTTCTGTTAGGGGACACAAACCCTTCTTTCGAAATAGGGCCAAATAGTTGGATGGAGGGCAAAGGAATGATATAAAATATACTGTTTATTACAAATCAATACAACAAAATATGAAAGAAATATAAATCAAATGATAATATCCTCCAGTAGCACTCCCAAGACCGTTTCGCCAGTACAGAGGCTTTTTAATTGGTATAATGTCCAACAGGTCTGGTTCTTGTTTTAAAAGTCGATGTTCATCCATATTGGTTTACTTCTTAAATGTCCATTTAATCATTTTGCTTCACGATTATGTAATTCAGTTTGGATATAACTGTTCCGGAAGTGACCCAACAAAAATTGCACTTTGCCACTTCCAGTTCTCGATCTGCCATCTTTGAAGAGGGAAAAGTGCAGATAAATGTTTTAGTCGGATGTGATGCGATGGTGTCCTTGCGGCACAACCTCCGATTCCTGTATGTCCATATTGGAGCTGAGCTAAATCATTGACATCTATCTTTTTAGTCCCAAATGTCGAATAATCTGTTTAAATAATAAAATTATTAATTATTATTATTAATTATTAAGTTCATATAGTCCCCAAATGTTCATAATGAAACAATAGAAGAAGGGAAAAAAGAAAATATTATAAAACATACACTTCTTGAATCTTACCTCATAAAAGGAGATCGAACAGTGATCAGCTATTTAATTAATAAAAAATATAACCATGGTGTCTTTACTAAGGATACAAGGTCAGTCAGGAAGTATTTGAAAAGCTTAAAAAAGGACAAATCAAAATGAAGCCTCATGCCTTCTTAAGGACTATACGTATGGCCTGTGACTTTCCTGCTACATTTAGCTTTCTTATTTTAAACAGTTAATTAGCAGGTAAACAGGTTCACATCTGTCTTGAGAATGTGATTTGTTGCAGAATTTATACAGAATAACATTGTTTAAGGCTATGTTTGCTGGAGTTTATCAGCTATTACTGAAATATTGGTAATACTGCTTTGTAAATTACATACGGATCAAATGCAATTGTTGTCAGACTGTTTAATTTATCTCACCACGGAGGTCCAGGTCATGGCAGTTTACAGAAAGAGATAACTCAGAGCAAGGGTTGCTTTTTATTTAATAATTTACCTGGTATCAATCTAGAGGTACACAATGCTTCTAAAATTAGATTCGGGAGGATACACAATGTGCCAGCATATATACCAGGTAATTAATGGCAGAGGCTTTATAGTACTTTGCATATTGTATCAGGGATAACGTTATTTTCATTAATATTAGGAATAATATTTATAAATGCTCCTTGATCCTTTGTACACCTTCTCCTGGACACATTGTAAATGTAAATGTAAATCCATACCACCTGTGACAGACCCATCTGTCTGGATTATAACTGCGTTGTTCGTCTGTTTTGCCGTTTTCATGAATTTCCCCGTTCGTATGCTTTGTTTAAGAGAATGTCGGTTTTGTCGAACGGAACTACCGAACGGACGGCCACCCAGAAGAGAAGTGTGCTGCTGGTTAACCTACTGATCCCAATTAGAACGTTGCGGTTAACCACAGACACTTCTCAATTAAAAACCGAATGCCGGGTGGTCGTCGTTCGTATGTCGACCACGAGGCGGCGGCCATTTTGTCCATGCGAACGACCAGCGGTGTTCAACGATTATTTCATGGATCGGAAAACGGACACTTTTTCAGCCGAACACCGCTGAAGCCGTCGACCTCCCCTTCTCAATCGACAAAAGCATGCGAACGACAGCCGTTCGGGAGATTCAACCACACGAATGGACGTAACCCAGATAGCCGTCCCATGGAGTCAATCGCATACCGAAGAACTGAAAGAGACTTTGACTCCATGGCGATTGAACTGTGCGAATGGGATCTGAGCGCTATTCTCCAATAATGTGCCCTCAGATCCAGGCTATCTGGGGATATGCAAGACTGATGTAAAATGTTCAGCAGTTATTAAGTTATGGATTTTTGTGTGTTTTTGTAACTTGTATCTAAAATGGCGATTGCCTCTGCTCGGGGAGATAATTGAATTACTTCCCAATTATCCCCCGAGCAGAGGGGAGGGAACTGTACTGCATGCTGGGAATATTGTGGGGATGTATGTCCAGAATGTCCCCATGTCCCTCTGTGATTTCAGTCTCCCATTTGGTCCCCTAGGGGAGTGTCCACCAAGTGGGAGACCTGCATAAATACCGGGCAGGTAGCCCACAGTAAACCAGTTCGTGTTTTACCCTCAAAGCGGAGCTTGGTCTCGTATTGGGGGGATTTGGATACCAGCGGCGAGAGACTGCTTACTTGGATTATTTGCCGCTTGGGAGATATTGTCGTTCGGTTATTAATTGCCGTTCGTGGATTTGCGGCTTGCGAAGGGAATCAGCCGTACAGGTACCGTTTGGAGTTTGGAGTGTTCCCTGGCTGGCGGTTCGCCTGGTTTTATTATACCCGCTACCCGACCACATTATTGCGAACGGGGAATACTCGCTAAACGGCGGTTTGTACATTTCGTTCCTGGAGGTACCGTAACAACTGGTGGCAAGCGACGGGATGATCCTCAACGCCCAAAGAGACCATTACAACCAGGACTAAATGGAATTACAATACCAAAACCTGAGGAGGGCTACCCTAAAGGATTTATTGGAGCAAAGAGGGGGACAAGCCAGTAACCCCAGGAAGAGGGATATTATTGCGTTATTGCTGGAAATGGATGGAGTACCAGCGGCAGAGGGAACCAATGGACCCAGCGCAGCTGACAGAACCCCCGAGGAGGCAAGCTTTGACCGGGCGGTAAGAATCAGGCTGGCACATTATGGTCCCAACCCGACTACAGAGACCATTGACCGGGTCATGGCAGCTGTGGAGGCCAACCTGCTTCGCCAAAGCGGTGCTGCAGCAGCCCCAGTCACAGCAAACCCGGGGGATAGGAAAAAGGTACCATTCACTGCGTTTAAAGCCTTCAGTGAAACAGAAGGAGAGATCGATGGGTACCTTGCTGATTTTGAGCGGCAATGTGCCCTGCACAAGGTACCCCTGGAAGATTGGGTCACTATATTGTCCGGCAAGTTATCCGGCCGGGCCAGCGAGGCATTTCGAGCCATTCCTGATGAGGAGATTGGGGATTATGTGGCCGTCAGGGAAGCTTTACTCTCCCGGTATGCCGTTACACCTGAGGCATACCGGAGGAGGTTCCGAGACACCGTCAAGACCTCTGGGGACTCATACGTGGAATGGGCATGTAAGGTGCATCGCACAGCCGCCCACTGGATGGCGGGGTGCCAGGCTGTGTCCGGAGAAGAGGTGTTGCAGATGTTTCTTTTGGAACATTGTTTTGATAAATTGCCAGCAGGGGTCAGAGAGTGGGTAAGGGACCGTAAACCCTCCACTCTGCACGAAGCAGCTCGCCTGGCAGATGAGTATACTGACGCCCGCAAACTGGACAGTCTCATCAGCAAGGCTCCCGCCAGAGTGGAATACAGGCCAACAGCACCAATAGCAGCCAACCTATACCAGCCTCCCATGAATCGCCCATCGGCACCGCCTCCATCTGCCCCGTACCAACAGCCACCTCGGTTCAACTCACAGGAGTATGCCCAACCCATTCGGTGCTACCTGTGCAAGCAACTAGGGCACAAGCGACCCGAGTGCCCGATGAACAGCGCCAACCAGAACCAGTCCTGGAGGAGACCAGCCGGCGGCAATCCACGACCCCCCATCCCAGCCGCTCACTGTGTAGAGGAAGAGGAGTGCTGGGGCATCCTGCATGAGGCAGACCCCGTTCAGGCTGCCCACCGGGATGTGTAAAAGTCAATGGGAAGGAGGTCAGTGGTCTACGGGATACCGGGGCAACCATGACTTTGCTCCAGAAACACCTGGTATCCGAAGCCCAACATACAGGGGACACGGTCGCCGTACGAGTAGCTGGAGGTGCCGTGTTCCGTCTGCCCGTTGCCCGGGTACATTTGGATTGGGGAGTGGGCGCTAGACATGTGAATGTGGGGGTCATGAAGGACTTACCAGCGGATGTCCTCCTTGGCAATGACTTGGCGCCCCTTGTTTCCGCCTACGCTCCCATGGGTCCTGCTGAAGTGGACGCTGTCACGACCCGTGCCCAGACCCGTGCCGCCGAGACCGGCCCACCTGCTGTTGAGACCCAGGTAAGACTCTCTACCCCGACTTGTACCTTAGACCAGGCCCCTTTAGGCTGGGATACCCCAGAGATATACGGGAAGGAAACCAGGGAAGACCCGACGCTAGCAAAGTACAGGGCCAGGGCCGATTCTGGGGGAGAAGGAGTAGATGGGGAGCACTACGAGTGGGTGGGGGATAGACTCTACAGGATCCCGAAACCGCCCCAGAAGCCGAATACCCCTCCGCAGAATCGACAGCTAGTGGTGCCCGCAAAATACCGGCAGGAGATTCTGCGGATTGGGCATGATGTGCCATTAGCCGGCCATCTAGGTTCCCGCCGCACAGCTCATAGGATCACGCAAAATTTCTTCTGGCCCAATTTTAACCGAGATGTGCGGGTCTATTGTAGCACGTGTGACACCTGTCAACGGGTAGGTAAGCGGGGGGATCACCCAAAAGCTAGGCTTCAGTCGATGCCTATCATTGGAGAACCCTTTTCCCGCATAGCCGTTGACATTGTGGGTCCACTGGCCAGGGCTAGCCCATCAGGTAAGAAGTATATTCTCACCGTGGTGGACTATGCCACACGTTATCCAGAGGCAGTAGCGCTGTCTAATATAGAGGCAGAGACGGTTGCTGATGCCCTGGTTAAAATCTTCACTAGGGTCGGGTTCCCTCAGGAGATTCTCTCCGATCAGGGAACCCAGTTCACCGCTGTGCTTACCCAGCAGCTGTGGAAGGTGTGCGGTATTAAACCTCTGCTTAGCTCACCTTATCACCCACAGACTAACGGTCTCTGCGAGCGATTTAATGGCACCCTCAAACAGATGTTGAGGACCTTTACTGACACTTGCAGAGACTGGGAGCGATTCCTGCCTCATCTGCTATTTGCATACAGAGAGGTGCCTCAGGAATCTACTGGGTTCTCCCCCTTTGAGTTACTCTATGGGAGAAGGGTCCGTGGACCCCTAGATCTCATTAGAGGACACTGGGAGGGGGAGACAGAGCAAGAAGGGACCCCCATAGTACCATATGTCCTGGAACTCCGGGACCGCATGGAGAAACTGTCCCTGATGGTAAGGGAGAATCTCCAGGCGGCCCAGGGGAGATAGAAACGGTGGTACGATCGGGGTGCCCGACAGCGGATCTTCCAGGTTGGGCAGGAGGTTCTGGTACTCAAGCCTGTGAAGACGAACAAGATGCAAGCATCTTGGCAGGGCCCGTATAAAGTGTTAGCTCAGGTATGCGATACTACCTACCTTATAGCCAGCTGTTCAGATGAAAGGATTCAGCGATCCTTCCATGTGAACATGCTGAAGGAGTATCAAGAACGACCAGAGGATGTTGCGGCAGTATGTGCCCCAGCTACTGACGACCCCGAGAACTTACCGTTACCTGACTTGCTAGAGAGGGACCCCCAGACAGACCTTACTAGTCTTGTACAGCTAGGGGACCGACTAAACCCGGCAGAGAAGGTACAGGCAAGACAATTACTGTGGGAGAAGCAGGCCACGTTCTCCCAAGAACCCGGGTACACTACCCTAGCTGTACACAAGGTCGAGACACCCGGACAGAACCCCCTACGGCAACCCCCATACCGTATCCCTGAAGCAGTCCGAGAAGGAATGCGGAAGGAGATACAGGAAATGACCAGGCTGGGGGTTATCGAACATTCGGACAGTCCTTGGGCCTCGCCTGTAGTTCTGGTGCCTAAGAAAGATGGGACCACCCGGTTCTGTGTGGACTACAGGCGGCTCAACGAGCGGACCACCACTGACGCCTACCCGATGCCCCGGGTAGACGAGTTATTAGACCGTATTGCCAGGGGGCGCTATCTGACCACCATAGACCTGTGCAAAGGTTATTGGCAGATCCCCCTGGCCGAGGATGCTATCCCTAAGTCGGCATTCGTCACCCCATTTGGCCTATACCAGTTTAAGGTTATGCCATTTGGGATGAAGAATGCTCCGGCTACTTTCCAGCGTATGGTGGATAGGCTCCTCGATGGCTTCCAGGACTTTGCATGTGCATACCTGGATGACATTGCGGTCTACAGTGAGTCCTGGGAAGACCATTTAGTACACGTGGGGGTGGTGCTGGACAAGATTCGGGCCCCAGGCCTGACCTTGAAGCCAGACAAGTGCCATCTAGGCATGGCAGAAGTACAGTACTTGGGTCACAGAGTAGGCTGTGGGAGCCAGAGACCGGAGCCAGCCAAGGTAGAGGCTGTAGCTAACTGGCCCACACCTATCACCAAGACCCAAGTGCTAGCTTTCCTGGGGGCGGCAGGGTATTACCGACGTTTTGTCCCCGACTACAGTACGGTTGCCAAGCCCTTGACTGACCTGACGAAGAAGAATTTGCCTAAGCAGGTCCTGTGGTCTCCAGCTTGTGAAGCCGCGTTTCAGGCACTGAAGCAAGCTCTTGTTAATGCCCCTGTCCTGGCTGCCCCAGTCCCTAACAAACGTTTTCTTGTACATACAGATGCTTCCATGTATGGACTGGGGGCTGTGCTAAGCCAGGTCGGGAAAGATGGAGGAGAGCACCCTGTCGCATACTTGAGCAGAAAGTTACTACCCCGGGAAGTAAGTTATGCGGCAGTGGAGAAAGAGTGTTTAGCCCTGGTCTGGGCACTGAAGAAACTGAGCCCTTATCTGTATGGACAAGAATTTTCCCTTATTACGGACCATAACCCCCTCGTGTGGCTTAACCGGGTCTCAGGAGACAATGGCAGACTGCTGAGGTGGAGTTTGGCACTACAGCCATATAACTTCACCATCAGCTACCGACCCGGTAAGCAGAATGGGAATGCAGATGGGTTATCTCGGCAAACAGACGTCCCTACTCCTCCTCAGTCCGGTCATCCCCAAGTTGACCCGCCAAAGGGTCAAGCCGGGTCTGCCGGAGTGTTCCACAAGGGGGGAGCCGTGTGACAGACCCATCTGTCTGGATTATAACTACGTTGTTCGTCTGTTTTTCCGTTTTCATGAATTTCCCCGTTCGTATGCTTTGTTTAAGGGAATGTCGGTTTTGTCGAACGGAACTACCGAACGGACGGCCACCCAGAAGAGAAGTGTGCTGCTGGTTAACCTATTGATCCCAATTAGAGCGTTGCGGTTAACCACAGACACTTCTCAATTAAAAACCGAATGCCGGGTGGTCGTCGTTCGTATGTCGACCACGAGGCGGCGGCCATTTTGTCCATGCGAACGACCAGCGGTGTTCAACGATTATTTCATGGATCGGAAAACGGACACTTTTTCAGCCGAACACCGCTGAAGCGGTCTCAATCGACAAAAGCATGCGAATGACAGCCGTTCGGGAGATTCAACCACACGAATGGACTTAACCCAGATAGCCGTCCCATGGAGTCAATCGCATACCGAAGAACTGAAAGAGACTTTGACTCCATGGCGATTGAACTGTGCGAATGGGATCTGAGCGCTATTCTCCAATAATGTGCCCTCAGATCCAGGCTATCTGGGGATATGCAAGACTGATGTAAAATGTTCAGCAGTTATTAAGTTATGGATTTTTGTGTGGTTTTGTAACTTGTATCTAAAATGGCGATTGCCTCTGCTCGGGGAGATAATTGAATTACTTCCCAATTATCCCCCGAGCAGAGGGGAGGGAACTGTACTGCATGCTGGGAATATTGTGGGGATGTATGTCCAGAATGTCCCCATGTCCCTCTGTGATTTCAGTCTCCCATTTGGTCCCCTAGGGGAGTGTCCACCAAGTGGGAGACCTGCATAAATACCGGGCAGGTAGCCCACAGTAAACCAGTTCGTGTTTTACCCTCAAAGCGGAGCTTGGTCTCGTTATTGGGGGGATTTGGATACCAGCGGCGAGAGACTGCTTACTTGGATTATTTGCCGCTTGGGAGATATTGTCGTTCGGTTATTAATTGCCGTTCGTGGATTTGCGGCTTGCGAAGGGAATCAGCCGTACAGGTACCGTTCGGGAGTTTGGAGTGTTCCCTGGCTGGCGGTTCGCCTGGTTTTATTATACCCGCTACCCGACCACATTATTGCGAACGGGGAATACTCGCTAAACGGCGGTTTGTACATTTCGTCCCTGGAGGTACCGTAACACCACCTTCTTTACTCTGGGACTTGTGTCATCTTGTCTGGTTATAGAGCTCTAGCACATCTAGAAGCAGGATATCGATCTCAAAGTGTAGACTGAAGTTATGGTAATACTGAGCTAATGCTTCAGGCATAAACACTATAAAAACATCAAGCAGTGTATGAAATGTAAATGATTGACTCTCAATCTGTGATATACATTTAGAGGAGAAGCTCTTGCTGTAGATGTGAAGTCATGCTTGCTGTATATGTGAAGTTTATGAAGCATTAGAAGAGACGGATCATCCTAATACTCCTGTTGAATAACATTTAACATCATGTATTAGGCATGCACATTCATTTTCTACCAAACAGCAAAATCAAGGAAAATTTAGTTATGTGTCCAATCTGTCCAGAAATGAATAAAGAATAGCAATATAACGAATGACTAAATGAACAAATTCTGTTCAGTGCCATTCGTTCATTCGTTAATCACATGCAGCTTTTCAGCTACTGACAGTGCAGCAGCTATGTACTGTAGATGTTTTCTGACCAATTCTACAACCACAATCACCGACCAGTCATCATGCCGTACTGTTTGATATTGATTGAGTGTTTTATCAGTCAATCAATGTTAAGTTCATGGAACGTAAACACATCTTCAACTGTAAAGGGCTGACTGTGAAAATCTGTAACTAGGACTGCCTGTCAGTATTTCAATTTCTGATTATGGAATACCGAGACAGTGGACAAGCAGCATTGTGTTGGCTGTTCCGTGTTGTGTTTCTTGCAGTGTATTGCCTTACAAGGTAGAGAATAGATTAGAGAGAGTAATTTGAACTATATGGGATTTATTCTCACCATTCTCAGACATTTCAATTTAGAGTTTTTTTCTATTTTTCACAGTAGACGAAGCGAGGAAAGCAGGGTCAGTTTAGGGTAGGGCTGCTTGTGCTTAGTCCTGTAACGCACTGGGGTTTTTGTTTTCTTAACTGTTTTTCTTAACTGGTGAGGTGAGGTGAATAAAAAAGAATGAATCTTTCCGTAGTTTAACCACTACAGAATTATTGTCTCCATTTTCCAACATTTTGATTCAGTTATTTATTTATTTATTTATACAAGAAGCAAGGAAGGAACTGTAATTTAGGTTAGAGGGTCGAAGCCCAGTAAATTACTGCAGTTTTTAGCTTTATTTTTGCTGGACCTAAAAAAAAAATTCACTCTTACAATTTGTTAATTTATGTAAAGAGTTCTGTATAAGGGCGATACATAAGAATTGGTAGATGGATAGTGTAACACATGCCCTGTTCCTGGACATTATTTTTTATTAATTTTGCCTAGATCGTTATACAAACTTAACTGAACAGATTTGGCCCCAGCTGGTTCGTATACAGAACGTTCTACCGAACCCTTGGACCACCCAAAGCAGTCGTTTGCCGCCAATTGACCTTATTGATACCTGCTATAACCACAAATCTGAACATTCTAAGTGGTTCACTGGTTGGCTGTCAATTCGTATGCACAAACATGTGGCGGTAATCTTGTTTTTTGAACATTGCTGTTTACAGCCTGGCCATTTGTACTTTTCTTACATATTACCTTAATGATAGAACTTCACCAAGAGCAGGACCTTATAGAAAATTAATCTATATGTTAATTGCCACTGGAAGGGACTGGATTCTAATATAGATTCAAATATAGATTCAGCCTTACCCTCCAGTTTACCAAGTCAGCGGACATTCATGTCTAGCGTTCAAAGGTTAAAATAAAATATTAGGTAATTCAAGCTGTTCTGCAATAAAAATATAAACGACACCAAGGACATAGTTCAAACCATAGTTCAAACCAAGTCACAAGCGTGTTATTGTCAAAATGGATCTAGGACTTGTAGGAACATTTCTTCTGATCGTCTGTATCACGGTTCTGTTGTATTTAAATTCGTGGAGAAGCCACATCAAGAAGGGAAATCTGCCCCCTGGATCTACAGCTCTTCCCCTGTTGGGAAATATTCTCCAAATTAGCACTAAGGAATTTCCCCAGTCCTTGCTTCAGGTGAGTTTTATTTCACTAATAAAAATTGCGAGGTCCATCACAACAACAATTAATTTATCTTATTCAAAAAGGATTTCCTGAATTGCTGGTTGCTTAAAGTTAAACTGTCATTTCCCAGATTTTTTTTAGAATATGTTAACTTATTCCTGTATTTATTAAATAGGTATTTATGAAAAGAATTGTAAAAAGTAAAATGTATAAATGTACACCTCTTTATCCTGCAACTGGGCGCCTCCATCGAATGTTTTTCCTTTATTCCTTGCTGGGATTTTCAGTAGACTTTTCAATGTCTCTGCATTCCTCTGAGTATTAGACAGTTACCTGATGTGGATACACTAACACTCTCCCTGTAATTTTCACTGAAGCTGAGTGAGAAATATGGACCCGTGTTTACAATTTATCTGGCTAATAAACGAGTAGTTATACTTATTGGAAATGAAACAGTGAAAGAAGCTCTCATTGATCACAGTGATGCATTTAGCGACAGTGGTAGCTCACACCTTAATGAATTTTTCTTCAAAGATTATGGTAAGAATCAAATTATATATATATATATATATATATATATATATATATAAAAGCAACAAATTGAGAGCACTCATTGGATTTAGTAAACAAAAAAATATATTAAATCAAACGCATATAAATCAACGTTTCGACCGTCTAGCGGTATTTATCAAGATGCTATGAGTCATAGCATCTTGATAAAGACCGCTAGACGGTCGAAACGTTGATTTATATGCGTTTGATTTAATATATTTTTTTGTTTACTAAATCCAATGAGTGCTCTCGATTTGTTCCATTTGTATATTTTGCACGGAGAGGCACCTGGTCATTGCTGAATTAATGCTTTTGTTATGGGATGAGTGCCAGAAATTATTGTGATTTATATATATATTATTGTGTTATATTTAAATGGTCTGATGTCCTATACCTCAATCTTTAAAATGTTAATCTAAACAAAATAGTTGCACATTGTTTCTTTATTAGTATTTACATCAGCAATTTAATTCTGTTAATTCTTCTAACCCTATGTACATATACTGCATGTGGCAATTACATTTACCAAAACAACTTTCCCTGGCAATGAATTTTATATCTTGAATGATCTTACTGTAAAGAACAATGTTTGTGCTGACTTGGAAGCCTCAAAATGATTAAATAAACCTTAGTTTAGTGAATAACTAAATAAATAAATAGTTACACTGTAAATTCATGGATAATCCATCAGGGAATTTTTAAGGGCAGAATTGCTGCAATGGTAAGCACCACTGGATTTTGAAGTGTATTTGGACCTTTTTAGGAGTCACTATGAGTAATGCAGAGAGGTAGGAAATGATGCATTGATTCTTCCTGGTTACTAGAATAATATTCTCCAAAGCTTTTAGAGTAACAACTACTTTGCTCAAAATGGTGGCATCCAGTATATTTCTCCTTGTGGATGATTGTAGGAGTTGTCTTGAGAAATGGGGAAAGGTGGAAGGCAATGCAGAGATTCGCTCTCATGACACTGAGAAATTTCGGAAGAGGGCCTTCATAAAATATAAGGGTCAGTGGAAGCTGCAAACCTATGGTGGAAACATAATCTAAGCAACATTCCTCCTCCTCTCCATCTTTGGTCTTCCACAGGACACATAGACATGGAGCCACAGGACACATGACATTCAGTTTACAGAAAAGATTGACAACTTATTCATAAGTCTGGTCTCACCAGATACTCACAACTTCAGATGATAACTTCAAATGCTTGCTAACTCATTTATTATTATCACTATTATTATTATTATACATTTTATTTATTATTATTTATAAAGGTTTAGTTACTTCCAAAGGGTTGCACAATAGGTGACCAACAGACATGTATTTGTCACAAGATGAGCTGGATATACAGGAACAGAGGGAATTGAGGGACCTGCTCAAATGAGCTTACATTCTAGAGGTAAGGGTATGATGTATTTTATGTAGACTAAGGATGTGCATTAGCAAAAAATTGGGTTCAGTTCGGTTTGGAAATTCGGGTAAGTAAAATTTTTTGTCTGTTTCGGCAATTCGGACTAACGTCAACTGGTTTGGCACTTCAGAACTTTGGCACTTTGGACATTTGTAAGCAATCAAATTGCACATGTCTGTGGTCACATGAATGCAAGCCAACACCTTGATATTATTTATATCCTATCCCACCTAAACGACTCTGTGTGCCTTCATTGGCCAAGTGTCAGTGACAAAATCACCAATATTGTAAAGCGCTACAGAATCTGTTGGTGCAATATAAATGGCAATAATAATAATAATAATTGGCTGTCCTCTTATATCAATCACAAATATTTCAAGATTCCTTTCATCATTCACGTAATTTTCCCTCCTTCTCTCTTGTTTTGCCACTTTTCAGAAATTCGAATCACTTCGGCACACATTCGAAATTTGCTTATTGGTCAAGATTCCCATCATTATTTACGTAATTTTCCCTCCCTCTCTCTTGTTTTGCCACTTTTCAGAAATCCACATCACTTCAGCACTTTCTGCACTTTGGAGCTTCGGAGCTTCAGAGCTTCAGAGCTTTGGCGTTTTGGAGCTTCGACACTTCCGAACTACCAAACTTCGGCACTTTGGAACTTCGGCACTTTGTAAATTCGTAACTATCCGAATGTCCGAATGGAATGAATTTCGTACGAATGTACATTCGGAATGAAACGAATCGCACATCTTTTGAAGGAACTAAGACAGTGTGAGAGTCTAACAGAGCAGGGAAGGGAGTTGCATAGGAACAGCACAGACCTAGAAATAACAGCAGACACCAACCTCTTTGATGGGCAACAATTTTACAATCGACAAGTTAGTAAGGGGAATCTCTGTTGTTATGCCTTGCATTCTCCAGGCGCACCTCACACCTCAATATACACCTATAAATTAGTTTCTTTTGTGTTTGCCGTTATACCTTTTCCGTTTTGACACTTGTGAGACAAAAAAAAAACTAGTGATTTACAAAAAAATAAATAGTACTGGACATTTATATGATAATCAGCAATAACGAGAGCAAGTATGTGGAGAGGAGGATATGACATTACTTTAATGGATTACTCTATGACAAGTCTCACATGATGTTACTCACAATCAACTACTATATCTTTTACTGTGGAATGTTGTAGAATTTGTTGAACTTTAAACATCACATAAAAATATCTGCATAATGGAGGATTTGGTGATGTGTGGTGCATAGCATATAGTATATAACAGTATATATGTTATAGCCTTATTTTTATCCCAGGGAATTAATAGTATTTCATCATTGTTGGTGGGTGAGCATTTATTTTCCAAACATTCCATTCACACTTTTACAATCATTATATACTTATTTTCTTTAATAAACAAGGCACTGTTCGGTCAATTTAATCTCTTGGAAATGTGTTCAATTTGCAGTAGAATTTTATTATTCTTTGACGAACACAATTTTTTAGTATTTAACTTGTTCTTGCATGGAATGTTCTGAGCTATTGTTTTTTTGTATTTATTTTTTTAAGTTGATACATTTTATGTACTTGTATTCCCAGTATATCTTATAGAATTTCCTATAATTCTAATAACAGAGACTCCTTTAGATCCCATAACTCTCCTGGGATAAGCAGTGTCCAAAGTATCTATTGTATTTGAGGAAAGATATGACTATGAAGACAAGACTTTTCAGAAACTTTTGGCATAAGTTAGAGATATCGTTAGACTGATAAATTCTCTTTCTGGTCAGGTGAGTTTTGGCTGATAACATATGTGACTATCGGTGCATATTATGAAAATATTATTCAATTAATCTTGACAAATAAACTCAAAAAGCACTCTACAGTTATTTATTTTTATTCCTTAGAGTTTTGCATTCAGTTTTCTAGTATAGCTGCTCAACATTTTTCCATGTGTGGGGAGATGGATCCCTGGACCTTACTAGAACATGTTCACAATTCTGAACAATCTCACGAGAGACACTGGACACAAACTGCCCACGGGACTTCATAGACTACTTTCTGATAAAGATGGACCAGGTAGGACACTGTAATATAAGAATTTTCAGTTCTAAAAACGTCTAGAATCTACAATTAGTATCTGTGAAAATGATTGGAAAAGAAGCTTTATCATAATTTTACATACTGTTCTAGGAGAAAAATAATCGCAATACTGAATTCCATGATGAGAATTTATTGTCTACCATAATGGATTTATTCTTTGCCGGCACTGAGACTTCAAGCTTAACACTAAGATATGGCTTCCTGATACTTCTTAAATATCCAGAGATACAAGGTATTATTACTCTTATATGTTACCCTTTATAAAGGGGTACAGATAGTGCTCAGATTAAACACTATTAGTGTGTTTAGATTATATTTATCTTAACTAGCTGCTAGACCATAGTGTGGCCCATGTCTTCTTTCTTTCAATATTTCTGACTGAGCAAACATTTTACAGAAATGGAAATGAAAATGTCTTGCTGATTGGACCGAGGCTTCCTGTTCACAGCATGGTAGATAGATTTAATTTTAAAGACTTTTATGAATTATACAGAGATGAAAAGATCAAAACACAAGCAAGCAGTAAGGAAAATACAACTGAAGAAGTAGGAGTTTTAAGAAACTTGCCATATACATGGCGATTCTGATAAAATAGTACAATATACATGATGCAAATAACTGCTTATTTTATAATTATTAACACATCCAGCAGCTTGACATTCCTGGATTATTTTTAGAATATAGAATATAGAGTTCTTTTACCATTAAATTATATCCATTATTTTTAAATCGAGCAGCTTATCATCACTAACCCTGATCAGTGTCATTAGGAAGGACCAGGGTAGCAGTTGTGATTTAAAGAAGAGTATACTTGAATACAAATTATAAATCTAGTTGCAGTCTTTTTTGTTGTTGTTGTTCTTTCCAATGGGTATGTTTTATATTTCTGTGATTACATTGTCTTTGGTCTATTTCATTCAGAAAGCATCCACAAAGAGATAGACCGTGTGATTGGCCATGATCGCTGTCCATCAGTAGAGGACCGTAGTGAGATGCCGTACACAGAGGCTGTGATCCACGAAATCCAAAGATTTGGAGATATTGTGCCTCTGGGAGTACCGCATGCAACCAGTAAAGACACGACCTTCAGATCATATGACATTCCTAAGGTCACCGAGTTTATGTAATATATAGAAAGTAATTAAAATAGGGAAAGTTAGAGTAAATATTGTTATTATTTTTAAATTATTGCCATTTATAAAACGCCAACTCATTCCTCGGTGCTTTATAATATTACAAGGATATAGAAGTGATATTAATAAAACAATTGCCAAATATTGTACGAATACCTACATTGATAAACAAACATTCACACACACATAAGGCAAACATATATAATCAGTGATTTAAAACCCCTTTAATAACATTGCAAATAGTGTTAAACCACATTTCTTGTACTTAGTATTGGTATAATTTTTACTGTGTGTATTGTAACTGTGCTGTTCATTAATATAGATCCTAAAATTAAGACCTTTTAACCCCGTCAGGACCGGATCAAGGATCAAGGCTCTTTTAACACTTTTGTGGTGTTTGTATTTAGCTGTAATTTTCCTCTCTCTCATTTACTGCTCCCATACAAGTTATATATTGTTTTTTTCAGGCAAAAGGGGCTTTCTTTATATACCATTATTTGTATCATGTCATATATTGAAAAAAATATTTTTTGGCTTTTGCTTGAAAAGTCTTTTAATTACCTACAAAGGCTAATCAAAAATCCTGCTAAATAGATTCAAAATTTTGTTCTGAGTTTAAAAACACCCAGTGTTTATGTGCTTTTTTGCTTTTTTTTCAAGTTATAGGGCTATAAGTACAAATAGGAAATTGCTGTTTCAAAATATTTATGTTTAAAATGTATGCATAGTGACATTGTAACACTGTTATCTGTCATAAATATTTGAATCACACCCCACATGTACTTATTTTTTTTTTAAAGTAGACAACTCAGGGTATTCAATATGGGGTATGTCCAGTCTTTTTAAGTAGCCACTTACACTCACTCACAAACACTGGCCAAAATTAGCATTCATATTTGTTTGTGTGTGAAAAAAGTAAAAAACTAAATTGAACGCTACTTTTGGCCAGTGTTTGTGACTAAGTGGCTACTAACAAAAGATGGGACATACCCCATTTGCAATACCTTGGGTTGTTTTCTTTTGCAAATGATATGCCATCAAGGGGGTAATTTTCATTCCTGGGCTACCATATGCTCTCAAAGGCAACATAACCAACCTGGCTATTTTCAATGTAAAAATATTTGACCCTTATATTTGACCCTGTAACTTTCAAAAACGCTATAAAACCTGTACATGTTGGGTACTGTTATACTCAGGAGACTTTGCTGAACACAAATATTAGTGTTTCAAAACAGCAAAATGTATCACAACAATAATATCATCAGTGAAAGTGCTGTTTGTTTGTGCAATGCAAAAATGCAAAAAAAAAGTCACTTTCACTGACAATATCATCGCTGTGATATGTTTTACTGTTTAGAAAAATAATATCTGTGCTCAGCAAAGTCTCCCGAGTCAAACAGTACCCCCCCATGTACAGGTTTTAGGATATCATAGAAAGTTAAAAGGTAAAATACAGTGCTAGCAAATTAAATTATCTGGACTTTTGACCTGGGTTTTCAAGCAAGTCCCTCAAATTGCAATCAATAAAATTACTTAATCATAAAAATATTACATAAATACGCACATAGATTTTAAATATATATGCATATTTATATATTTGAAGTCTTTGTGTATATTTATGAAATTATTTATGTAATTTTGTATATGGATATATATTTATATATTTCATATTATTTTGATTTATTTATATATGCATAGATGTATATATAATTTCATTCTAAGTATTTTTTGATATAAATATATATATATATATATATATATATATATATATTAATATCAAAATACAGTTAGAATAAAATTTTATATATATATATATCTATATAATTTTTTAAAATTTTTATTATAATTTTTACGTTTTAAATTTATTTAAATTTACTTATTATTTATATTTTATAATATATATATATATATATATATATATATATATATATATACAATATATATAGTTATTATATATATTATATATATATACGTGTGTAATTTAATTATAAGTGTATTTTTATATTAATATATGTATATACTGGGGCGGGGCCAGACCCTGGAACTCAGCGGCAGAGATTTCTGAAAGCTCCTGCCCCGAGACCAAAAGAAGCACGAAAATCAGGCAATTTCCACCCGCTCTTACTGATTTGATCGACAGAAGCACGCAGAGGAATACCCCTGCTCTCCACCGACGCCCGCCCATTACTGATCTAACTCGGGTAAGGGCTACATGAATACCCTGGGCCTACATTCCACGCCAACAATGGCAGACCTGACATGACTGGAGAGCCTAGAAGGGGTCTCTATGCCCCAACGGAGCCACCCTGACTGCTGAGCGATAACATAGATGCGAAGCCGCAACAACCCTGAAATGGCACGAACCTCGTCCCCGCTCCCCTACCCCAGGCCGGTGGGGGTTATCCCGGCCACCTGTTTAATACGCTCACTATGACCGACACACATTGCCCTCGTTGCTGGCCCTCTATCCATCTTGAGCCTGTCAGCCCCATTCAGCAAAAAACGCACACCTAACCTCCGTACTATACCAGCACTCGGAGGACAAGGGGGGCGCCGGAGGCACTGCGCACAGGCTCTGGGCTCTGAGTCTGTGCCGGGCTGGGACTGTGGAGCTGTCACATACAGGTTTTGTATTATTTAATAATAAAACAGAATATTTTTTTACACCTATCCTGAGTCCAGTTCCAGTATCATTGGAGGTCAGGGGAGGCACCCTTGGGCGAACTATTTTCATCCTTCTTGTGAGTTCAACCAATTATGCGCACATACATATTGATATACAGTATCACACTATTATTTGTTTTTATATTGTAGATCTACAGCTGTATTCTCCATATTGTTTGAATCTACTAATCATCAGCAGGAGATAGAAAAGTTCTAAACTAAACACACTATGCTGTAAGGGAAGCAAAAATCTTTAGACTCTTTTTCCGGAAGTAAGTAGATAGTCTGTGTACTGTTTATAGCATAGGTAAGTAACCTTCGGCACTCCAGATGTTGGTTACATCAACCATAATGCTCTTACATGCATAATGCTAGAAAAGCATAACGGGAGATGTAGTCCACAACATCCGGAGTCCCGAAGGTTGCCTAAACTTGGCTTAGAGAATTCCTTTAAACACAGGTAGATGTAGTGCCACACATAGTAACTATGAAATGTAACTGAACCAAGAAAAGAACGAATACAGCAATTTGTATTGTTTTTTTTTCTTGTTTTATATTTTTATTTCATTTTTATTTAATTTATTCTGTATTTTTATTTGTATTTAATTTTAATCCCATATTCATATTTATATGTATTCTTATTATTATTTATATTTTTTATATTTACATATTTTTAAATATTTTTTTTTCTTTTTTTCATACTATAAACTCATCTTTATGGTTATGTTGTAGGATCCCTATGCATGTGTGCAGTACTTCCATTCATCTTTCCTTGTATGTATTGTAATTCCAATGAGTGAGATATTTGTTGCACTTTAATTTTGGATCTCTAGCATTTTCCCTTTTCTTCTCCTTTTTTTTTTTCAGTAATTTTAAGTATTTTTTTCTTTTTAAATGCCTAAGCAAGTTCTTCTAACTGCAATTAATTATGTGTAGTGTCCATACTAAGAATATGCCATTTCTATGTGTGGAGCATTTGCAATAGATATCTCTCTTGCTAGTTTTAGCTAACATGTGGGCATTATAAAGCTCCGTTTCCTTTCTTTGCTTCCCAAGATATCTGAACCGTATAGGCCACCATCAATAACATTTTGTCCATGAGATTTAGGTGGAACGCAATCAGTCTGTGAAATGGAACGCACGCGTCACTAAGAGAAGCCAATCAAAGCCGCCGCACCGGAAATGACGCATTCACAAAGCCGAAAACCGGAAGTGACCAATAAAGACCGGGAAATTCAATTATGGACAGCTGGGACAATCACACAATGCCCATTGGACCACCAATGAGAAGAATATCGCTCACATAAAAGATGGACTCGGGGAAAGGGGGATTATACTGCTTTTGTATTTGCCTTGATTACTTGATTTTATATTGCTGCTACCATTACATTTGTGTAGCTTTACATACCAGGAGGTTCTAAGGAAGTCCTTAAAGGACAAAATGTGTAGGACCTGGTATTAATTTAATTTTTATTGTCTGTTTTTATATTATTTAATAATGAAGCAGAATATTTTTTATACCTATCCTGAGTCCAGTACTGGTATCATTGGAGGAAAGCCAGCAGATTTTGCCCTCCCCCTCTCCCCCCACCCCCCGCATATCAGGGGAGGCACCCTTGGGCAAACTTTTTTTATCCTTCTTGTGAGTTCAACCTATTATGCACACATAAATATTGATATACAGTATCACACTATTATTCGTTTTTATATTGTAGATCTACAGTGTTTGTTTTCACCACCCACTGATTTTGTCTGGTGTTAGTGACCACTTGTTTGAACAAACTCCTGCTGATGATTGCATGCAAGAGCCTACAGCTAACTCCTGTTCATGATTTTTTTGGAATAATACACTTTGCCTATTTTTACCCAAGGCTTAAGCTACAGATGACCGGATGGGCAGTCTGTTTAAAATTGGCTAACATGTCAGCTATTTGAAATAATTTACTTTATCTATACCCAATGCTTAGTGAATATAACCCTAGACAAGAGCTGTAGAACATCGTGTAACAAGTAACAGGTGTTATATCCTGTATGTTTCAGCTGTTGGCCTTATTTCCTGCTTTTCTGTCTTTGATCATAACTGCATAGTAATGTGTAATTTAGAACTGAGTAGTAAATATCTTTAATTCTTAGTGCGCATGCATATTAATTTGAAGTGCATTGTTATAGTGAAACTTAGCTTTGAGCAAGGCCCGAATATCTAGATACACCTGCAAGCTTGCCATAGGTTAAGATGTTAAGATAAGATCGATGATTTTGTTAGGATTGGATAATGCTTGTAAGACTACCCCTGTTTCCTCTTGAACATAACCTGTTACACAGTCCATTAAATGTTAGAAGTCGCTTTGAACCTTACTTTGTCTTATCTCATTCATTTGTGCTCCTCGCCTTATGGTTTGGGGACAAGGAGAAATACAGAGAGTTGCAAATTGCTTTGAAGTCCATGGCATGACATGAGGGAAAATTCCTGACGTTGGAAATCTTCACTAACATGATTAAAGTTTAAGTAACAGAACAGAATTTATGTACTTCTAAAGTAAACATACTGTGCTGTAAGATCTGATTTCAAATGAAACCATTTTCATTGAGGCTGTATAAATCACATCCAGGGTAGGTGTTGCGAGGAACGCATAAACAGAAACAAAAGTGATTTAACTCTTAAATGTCAGAGAATTTAGATTGCAGGGACATAATTTATACACTTGCTTCATTAAGCTAAAGGTGTTTTGTTGTTCCTTTAATACAACTTAGATTAATGCAGGCCTCCCAACATTCCCAACTTCACCAAGACAGTCCTGCCCCACCATTCAGAAGTTATTCCCTAGTGTCTTGCTTTTAGGGACACCAGCGAATGTCCCCATAAAGTGTAGAGCAAGTGCATCATTCAATGAGAGAGCACTGTGCTCAGGGTACAAGGTCACTAATGTTGAAATAGTGCTCCCTATATGGTCCACCCTCAGTATGCTGGCCTGTTTGATTGGCAGGAAGTCTGGCATGGGCAGTGACACTGGCTCACCTCCTTTTACATCAGCCATCAGTGTCTTATTTCTCAGAACACTGATGTTGGGGGGGGGGGGTATGTCATTGCAATAAAGTTCTAACACATTCTATCTGACTCTGTACTCGCTATGTTACGTTAGAAGTGTATCATTCCTCCTTTATCCAACCTATACCTTTACCATGGTCGGGCGTAAGGCTCATACTGGATGTTATCTCCGTCACTTGGAATGACTGATATGATATGGAGACTTGCAGCTGATTTGCTTTTGTCTCCATGCAACTTATAAAATCTGTGAAAAGTTCCAAATAAATCCTCTGGATCTGTGTTACGTTATTCTGTCTGGGCCATATGTCCCCCTGCGTTGGTTGTAGAGCACTCACAAAAGAGCTCAGGATGAAATATCAATAAGATTTATCATTAATAAATAACAACAATAAATAATTAACTAGTAAGTAAGGCACATTAAGTAGGACCTTCCAGTGGGATGTAAAGATCATTAGGTATTTTTATTACATGAAGTCCCTTAAAGTCATAGTGCAGTAGTAAAGATATCTCTTAAAACAACTTTTTTTATGTAAAACATAGAAAAACAAGTGTGACAAAATCCCCTTTTCAAGTGAGTTTGCCATGAGTTCCTGGAGGAGCCTGCTTGCCAGCTTCCTGCCCACACACTATGGACCTTGTAAAATGGGATATAAAAGGCTCCGTTCATGAATTTGGACTATATGGTTTGGGAACCGAACAGCCGCATGAACCGGAGACCACCCTTGTTAAGCCTAATTGCTACTTTGTAATAATTTCTACCTCAGTGTTCTAAGTGTTCGTCTGGGTGGCCGCAATTCCTACGGACGACCACAAGGTGGCGGCCATCTTGTTCACATGAACGCAGGCAGTGGTGTTTGGTCGTCGAGTTCATGGAACTATTTTCGGAGACTTAAAATCCCGAACACCGCTGGACTTCCATGATCATGGTTTGTCCCTTGTTCCAGCTAGGAAGCGGTCCTTTGGCGGAGGTACCCAGTCAGGGTACATGGAGCTCTGCTACAACAAGATTGAACTAAATAAACCGAACTGAGTGAAAAAGGGATAAAATATGTGAAAATAAATAGCTCAATATGAATAGTCAACAAGTATATTGATATCTATGTGGATGTACCAGGAGTAGTTTATGTAATGTAATCGCCTCTACGAACCGTAGTTGATTGCTAATCAGCAACAATGTTAACCAAGTCAGATTCCAACATAATGTGTCCAAAGTACCACCACTGAAAGACTTGGGAAAAGAGCATGTGAGAATTGACGATAGTCCAAATCCGAGACATTGCTGCAATAAACACTTACCGTGTTTCTCCGAAAATAAGACCGGGTCTTATATTAATTTTAGTCACAAAAAACACACTAGGGCTTATTTTCAGGGTAGGGCTTATTTATTTACGGTACCGGTATGTACATTGAACCCCCCCTTTAATTAATCCACCCCCCCTTTAATAAATCCACCCCCCTCTAATTAATCCACCCCCTCTAATTAATCCAGCCCACCCTTTAATTAATTCACCCCCTCTAATTAATCCAGTCCACCCTTTAATTAATTCACCCCCCTTTAATTAATTCACCCCCTCTAATTAATCCAGCCCACCCTTTAATTAATTCACCACCCCTTTAATTAATTCACCCCCTCTAATTAATCCAGCCCACCCTTTAATTAATTCACCACCCCTTTAATTAATTCACCCCCTCTAATTAATCCAGTCCACCCTTTAATTAATTCACCCCCCTCTAATTAATCCAGCCCACCCTTTAATTAATTCACCACCCCTTTAATTAATTCACCCCCTCTAATTAATCCAGTCCATCCTTTAATTAATTCACCCCCCTTTAATTAATTCACCCCCCTCTAATTAATCCAGCCCACCCTTTAATTAATTCACCCCCCTCTAATTAATCCAGCCCACCCTTTAATTAATTCACCCCCCCCACCCCCTTTAATTAATTCAATTAATCCCAGACATAAAATATCTAGCGGTACTCACATTTCAAAGATTCCTTGCCGAGTCCGACCACTGGGAGCCTCACCGCCCGGAAATGGATCCTTCCGCTGAAGATCCGTGAAGGCAGACTGACGGCGCTGCAAAATGTCGTCATCACGTTGCGCGACGCTCCTCCTACAGCAGAAGAAGGAAGTCTCGCCGCAAAGGTACAATGCCTAGGTCTTATTTTCGGGGTAGGGCTTATATTGCAGCCCACCCCGAAAATCCAACTAGGGCTTATTTTCGGGGTAGGGTTTATTTTCGGGGAAACACGGTAAAAAAAAAAGTGGTAGAAAAAACACATAGTTGCTACAAATCACTCATAACAAAAACGTGTTGAGATGAAAATAGCGGAGCATAGCCTAAGTGTTCAAAGGCATAAAAAGCCAACAAGTAAAAAAAACAAATGTATTTATTTAGTTTGTATTTAGTATAATCTTGTTTTTCTATTTTTACGTAATAAAAGTAACGTTTTAGGAGATTCCTTACCTACTCTACTAGGACAGACTATTCTCTTTTTATAAATATTTTAATTTCCCTTTCTCCACAGTCCCTGGTTTGTGAATAACCCTGAGACGTTTTTTCATTTAACACCATATTGTATTTCGTACATTAAAAACCGAATTGCAAAGTTTAGGCTTACGTGGCCAAGCTGTGACTAGCGAATTAAAGATTTTACTTTGCATTTATTTTTTGTCCTCTATTTTTACCTACATGGTTTCAATTGTTTTAAAATCACTGAAATTCTGTATTTAGTAAATAAAACTGCAATATGTTTTTTTATTTACCTGGATCGATTTTTCTTTTCATAAGTCGGGTCTATAAAAACGCTAAATGCTTGTAATTACAATTTACTTATTCAATTAAAGTTATCATGTTAGTACTTGGTTTTGTATCTGTTCTTTCTAAACTTGTAACTCCTACCCCAGAACACGATATTATCATTTGTGTCTGAGTATTACTAAGCATGTTTTGAGATAAGGATTGTATTGCAGAACTTCATGTAACCATTTAAACGCCCCAGCAATAAACTCAGATGCACCTGGCAAACCTTTTTCACTGCCATTAGTTGACGCTGGAATGCTGCCCATATAGGTACGTAGGTTGTTTGGACTCAGAAAGCCATTTGACAGGGAAACATTCTCCTGTTATTGTCATCATGTCCCTGGGACTCGCAGCTACATTTCTTCTGGTCTCCTTTGTCACCCTCCTGCTGTACCTAATAACATGGAAAGAATTATATATATATATTTATATATAATAAAAAATAAATAAATATATAGATACGTTAAAAAATAAAATTAAAAAAATAATAAAAAATAAATAGAAAAAACATAAATATACATGCCTAATTTCGTTCTAACTGTATTTTAAAATTAATATATACATATTGATATTAAAATGCATGTAGAACGAAATTATATATAAATATCTATATACATAAGTATATACGTATATATCACTATATATATCTATATCTATATAGATATATATATATATACCTATATATAAATAAAAATAATAAAAAAAATAAAAATAATACAAAATAATAAAACAAAATACATACATATATAACCCCTTAAGGACGGAGCCAAATGTACACGCTGTGATCAAAACAAAACGTAAACAAAACCTGGCATTTGCACTACATGTCTGTCCAACCGTAATCCACCTCTTTCATATTAAATGCACCCACCCTTATTATATATCATTTTATTCAGGGGAAACAGGGCTTTTATTTAAATATTTACCAATTAAATATAATTTAATGTGAAAAAAATATTTAATAAATGGGAGAAAATTAGATTTTTTTTTTAGTTCTACTTGACATTTTAACTGTGAACGTCATAATACTGTTTACTTTTACTCCAATGAAATACACACATTTTTATTCAGTGATGTCTCACCTGTAAAACAGTTTTGGGAAGTTACAGGGTCAAATATAGCATGTTACATTTTTCAGTTTTTCCATATTGAAATTCGCCAGATTGATTACGTTGCCTTTGAGACGGTATTGTAGCTCAGGAATGAAAATTATCCTCATGATGGCATACCATTTGCAGTGTAAGTGTAAGTACATTTTACTGTTTTGATACACTTATTTTTGTGTTCAGCGAAGTCTCCCGAGTAGAACAGTACCCCCCATGTACAGGTTTTATGGTGTCTTAGAAAGTTATAGGGTTAAATATAGTGCTACCAAATTAAATTCCTGGACTTTCGGCCTGGGTGTCAGGCAGGGCCCGCAAATTGTAATTAATAAAATGACCTAAGTATGTAAAAATATTATGTAAACATATACAAAGAATTAATATATATATATATATATATATATATATATATATATGTGTGTATATATATATATATATAACATATTTTTATGTTTATATATATATATATAAAAAAAATGTAAATTATTTTTATTTATATATAGGTATAAATATATATATATATATATATATATATATATCTATATATATATATATAGTGATATATACATATATACTTATGTATATATATATATATATATATATTATTTCGTTCTAAGTGTATTTTGATATCAATATATATATGTATATTAATATCAAAATACAGTTAGAACTTAATTATATTAATTTTTTTAAAGTATTAATTTTTTTTATATTATATATAAATATATATATATATATATAATTATAATTATACATATATACATATTTTAATCAATATCATTGTACGTGTATTTTGATATTTATATATATAATTATATTTATATTAATATTAAAATACACACAGGAGGGCCGGAATGGAAGCAGGGGGACTCCCTGGGATGCCAGGTGAGTCCCCCCACCATGATTGCCAGCGTGTGGATCACTGGCGACCGGGTAAGTGAATAGGATGGTGGGGACGTTCTATGCCGCCCTCTGGCATTTAGGACTGAGTCCCCAAGGACGGCATAAGGGGGGGGGGGTGCAATGTTTATCTCACATTGCTATTTAGAGCCTGGCCAATAGTACTTTTATTACACACCACCTTAATGATAGAACTTCATCAAGAGCAGGACCTTATAGGAAAATAATCCATATGTTAATTGCCAATAAAAGGGACTGGATTCCAATTTAAAACTTTCACATTATTAAACATATATTCAGCCTTAGTCTCCAATTTACCAAGTCAACAGACATTCATATCTAGCGTTCAAAGGTTCAAATGAAATATTAAGTAATTCAATGCTGTTCTGCAATACAAATATAAATGACACCAAGGACATAGTTCAAACCAAGTCACAAGCGTGTTATTGTCAATATGGATCTAGGACTTGTAGGAGCATTTCTTCTGATCGTCTGTATCACGGTTCTGTTGTATTTAAATTCGTGGAGAAGCCACATCAAGAAGGGAAATCTGCCCCCTGGACCTACAGCTCTGCCCCTGTTGGGAAATATTCTCCAAATTAGCACTAAGGAATTGCCTCAGTCCCTGCTTCAGGTAAGTTTTATTTCACTAATAAAAATTGCGAGGTCCATCACAACACCAATTAATTTCTCTTACAGGCTGTTTAAAAATGATTTTCTGAATTTTTATTTCACAGACTGCGTTTAAATTGAATAGTGTGAGTTTAAATCTGTGAATTTAACATTTAGGCTTTATTTAATGTACACCTAGAAAATAAAACTATCCATTCATCCATCCACAAACCCACCCACCCACCCACGTACCTACCCATCCACCCACCCACCCATCCATATCCACCCACCTATCTATCTATCTATCTATCTATCTATCTCATTTCAAAATTTCTCATAACAGAAACTGAGTCTCTTGCTTTTTGGAATTGCGTAAAACAGTTCTTCAAAATAACAACTTACATAACGGTAACAGTAACTCATAACATCTGGGAAGACTGCTGGGTAATGCAAGTCTTGGTTTTCTTTGACATGTTGCTTGACATATCACTAATGGGAGTGGTAAAAAAAGATAGAGAGACTGGAGCTGTGGGGTGTTACAACCTGTCAAGAACTGTGGCTGTAGCATGAAAGGAAGCATGTATGTATGTGACTGTAGTGTAGTGTGTTTGTGTGCGTGTGAGTCTTTGTCTATATATGTTTTTGTGTATCTGTTTGTGTTTCATTCCCTCACAAAGATCTATCTATCTATCTCTCTGAAGCTGAGTGAGAAATATGGACCCGTGTATACGATTTATCTGGCTAATAAACGAGTAGTCGTAATTATTGGATATGAAACGGTGAAAGAGGCTCTCGTTGATCACAGTGATGCATTTAGCGACAGAGGTAGCTCAGACCTTAATGATTTTATCTTCAAAGATTACGGTAAGAATCCAAGTATTATATTTTAATGGTCTGAAGTCCTACACCGCAATACTTTACAAAAAATAATCTAAACAAAATGGTTGCACATCGTTTCTCTATTAATATTTACATCAGCAATTTAATGCTGTTAATTCGTCTAACCCTATGTACATATATTGAATGTGGCAAAACATTTTACCACTCCAGCTTTCCCTGGCAGTGAATTACATATCTTGACTGATCTTACTATAAATAACAATGTTTGTTCTGACATGGAAGCCTCAATATGTATAAATAAACCTTAGTTTAGTGAATAAATAAATAAATACGTCCACTGTAAATTCATGGGAAATCCATCAGGAAAATTTTAAGGGCAGAATGGTAAAGGTCCGTGGCATTTTGAAGTGTATTTGGAACTTTTTAGGAGTCATTATGAGTAATGCAGATGCATTGATTCTTCCTGATGGCTAGAATAATATTCTCCAAAGCTTTTAGTGTAATAACTATTTGCTAAAAATGGTGGCATCCAGTATATTTCTCTTTGTGGTTGTTTGTAGGAGTGATCATGAGCAATGGGGAAAGGTGGAAGGCAATGCGGAGATTCGCTCTCATGACATTGAGAAATTTTGGAATGGGGAAGAGAAGCGTTGAGGAGAGAATCCAAGAGGAAGCTCAGTATCTTTCTGAAGCCTTCAGGAAGTATAAAGGTCAGTAGAAGCTGCAAACCTATATTGGAAACATAATCTAAGCAAAATTCCTCCTACTCTCCATCTCTGGTCTTCCAGGATAGAGGAACTCAGAGCCACAGGACACATGACATTCAGTTTACAGAAAAAAATGACAACTTATACATAAGTCTGGTCTCACTGGATACTCACAATTTCAGATGATACCTTCAAATACTTGCTAACTAATTTATTATTATTACTATTATTATATCATTATTATAAGTTTTATTTAGTATTATTTGTAAAGTGTCAGTTAATTACAAAGGGTTGCACAATAGATGACCAACAGATATTTATTTGCAACAAGATGGATGTACAGGAACAGAGGGCATTGATGGACCTGCTTCAAATGAGCTTACATTCTAGAAGTGAGGGTATGATGTATTTAATATACACTAGGGATGTGCATTAGCAAAAAATTAATTTTGTTTTGCTTCAGAAATTCAGGTAAGTAACAAAATGTGTCTTCTTCAGCAATTCGGACCAATTGCATTCCGTTCGGTTCGGCACATCAGAACATTGGCGCTTTGGAACTTCGGCACTTCAGACATTTGTAAGCATCCAATTTGTAAAAGTCTGTGGTCACATGAATACAAGCCAACACCCTGGCAGCCTAATGTATATACTATCCCACCTAAACGACTCTGTGTGCCAAGTGTCAGTGACAAAATCACCAATATTGTAAAGCGCTACGAAATCTATTGTCGCTATATAAATGGCAATAATAATAATAATTGGCTGTCCTCTTACATCAATCACAAATATTTTAAGATTCCTTTCATCATTCACGTAATTTTCCCGCCTTCTCTCTTGTTTTGCCACTTTTCAGAAATCCGAATCACTTCGGCACTTTGGAGCTTCGGAGTGTCAGAGTTTCGGCGTTTCGGTGCTTCGGCACTTCCGAAATACCGAACTTCGGCACTTTGGAACTTCGGCACTTTGTAAATTCGTAACTATCCGAATGTCCGAATGGCATGAATTTCGTACGAATGTACATTCGGAATGAAACGAATCGCACATCTTTTGAAGGAACTAAGACAGTGTGAGAGTCTAACAGAGCAGGGAAGGGAGTTGCATAGGAACAGCACAGCCCTAGAAATAACAGCAGACACCAACCTCTTTGATGGGCAACAATTTTACAATCGACAAGTTAGTAAGGGGAATCTCTGTTGTTATGCCTTGCATTCTCCAGGCGCACCTCACACCTCAATATACACCTATAAATTAGTTTCTTTTGTGTTTGCCGTTATACCTTTTCCGTTTTGACACTTGTGAGACAAAAAAAAAACTAGCGATTTACAAAAAAATAAATAGTACTGGACATTTATATGATAATCAGCAATAACGAGAGCAAGTATGTGGAGAGGAGGATATGACATTACTTTAATGGATTACTCTATGACAAGTCTCACATGATGTTACTCACAATCAACTACTATATATTTTACTGTGGAATGTTGTAGAATTTGTTGAACTTTAAACATCACATAAAAATATCTGCATAATGGAGGATTTGGTGATGTGTGGTGCATAGCATATAGTATATAACAGTATATATGTTATAGCCTTATTTTTATCCCAGGGAATTAATAGTATTTGATCATTGTTGGTGGGTGAGCATTTATTTTCCAAACATTCCATTCACACTTTTACAATCATTATATACTTATTTCCTTTAATAAAGTAGGCACTGCTCAGTCTATTTAATCTCTTGGAAATGTGTTCAATTTGCAGTAAAATTATATTATTCTTTGACGAACACAATTTTTGAGTATTTAACTTGTTCTTGCATGGAGTGTTCTGAGATATTGTTTTTTTTTTTAAAGATGATACATTTTATGTACTTGTATTCCAAGTATATCTTTTAACATTTCCTATAATTCTAATAACAGAGACTCCTTTAGATCCCATAACTCTCCTGGGACAAGCAGTGTCCAATGTGATTGTATCTATTGTATTTGGAGAAAGATATGACTACGAAGACAAGAAATTTCAGAAACTTTTGGCATATGTTAGAGATATCGCTAGACTGGTAAATTCTCCTTCTGGTCAGGTGAGTTTTGGCTGATAACATATGTGACTATCGGTGCATATTATGAAAATATTATTGAATTAATCTTGACAAATATACCCAAAAAGCACACTGCAGTTATTGATTTGTTTTCCTTAGAGGAGATCCATCTTTGTTTATTATTAACCATCTGTTTTCTATTATAGCTGCTCAACATTTTTCCACATGTGGGGAGATGGATCCCTGGACCTCATCAGAACATTTTCACAATTCTGAATAAACTCAGAGGGTTTTTTAAAGATCTGGCACAATCTCACCGAGAGACACTGGACACAAACTGCCCACGGGATTTCATAGACTGCTTTCTGATAAAGATGGACCAGGTAGGACACTGTAATATAAGAATTTTCAGTTCTAAAATCATCTAGATTCTACAATTAGTATCTATGAAAATGATTGGAAAAGAAGCTTTATCATAACTTTACATTCTGTTCTAGGAGAAAAATAATCGCAATACTGAATTCCATGATGAGAATTTATTGTCTACCATAATGGATTTATTCTTGGCCGGCACTGAGACCTCAAGCTTAACACTAAGATATGGCTTCCTGATACTTCTTAAATATCCAGAGATACAAGGTATTATTACTCTTATATGTTACCCTTTATAAAAGGGTACAGATAGTGCTCAGAGTGAACACTATTAGTGTGTTTAGATTATATTTATCTTAACTAGCTGCTAAGCCATAGTGTGGCCCATGTCTTCTTTCTTTCAATATTTCTGACTGAGCAAACATTTTACAGAAATGGAAATGAAAATGTCTTGCTGATTGGACCGAGGCTTCCTGTTCACAGCATGGTAGATAGATATAATTTTAAAGACTTTTATGAATTATACAGAGATGAAAAGATCAAAACACAAGCAAACAGTAAGGAAAATACAACTGAAGAAGTGGGAGTTTTAAGAAACTTGCCATATACATGGCGATTCTGATAAAATAGTACAATATACATGATGCAAATAACTGCTTATTTTATAATTATTAACACATCCAGCAGCTTGACATTTCTGGATTAATTTTAGAATATAGAATATAGAGTTCTTTTACCATTAAATTATATCCATTATTTTTAAATCGAGCAGCTTATCATCACTAACCCTGGTCAGTGTCATTAGGAAGGACCAGGGTAGCAGTTGTGATTTAAAGAAGAGTATACTTTAATCCAAATAATAAATCAAGTTGCAGTCTTTTTTTGTTGTTGTTCTTTCCTATGGGTATGTTTTATATTTCTGTGATTACATTGTCTTTGGTCTATTTCATTCAGAAAGCATCCACAAAGAGATAGACCGTGTGATTGGCCATGATCGCTGTCCATCAGTAGAGGACCGTAGTGAGATGCCGTACACAGAGGCTGTGATCCACGAAATCCAAAGATTTGGCGATATTGTGCCTCTGGGAGTACCGCATGCAACCAGTAAAGACACGACCTTCAGAGGATATGACATTCCTAAGGTCACTGACTTTACGTAATATATAGAAAGTATTTTAGAGTAATTATTATTATTATTGCCATTTATATAGCGCCAACTTATTCTTCAGTGCTTTATAATATTACAAGGATATAGAAGTGATATTAATAAAACAATTGTAAAATATTGTAGCCATATGTAAATGAGATGGGTCGATATCTAGATATTTAAACAGACAGAAAGGAAGACAGAAAGATAGATAGATAGACAGATAGATAGATGATAGATAGATAGATAGACAGACAGATATACAGACACAAACTCTCCCACACACATAAGGCAAACATATATAATAAGTGATTTAAAAACCCTTTAAAAACATTGCAAAAAGTGTTAAACCGCATTTCTTATACTTAGTATTGGTATACTTTTTACTGTGTGTATTGTAACTGTGCTGTTCATACATGCGGATCCTAAAATTAAGACCTATTAAGATTTGTATAAATGCTTTCTATTTTTTGCCGTTTCCTAATATTTCCGACTTTTATAAAGCTTTTATAGATCTGTTTTACACCCTCTGTATAACTTTATACATTATCGTCTACTATTTGAACGCTTTCACCCTCCTTGGACATTTCCATATTTTGTAGACACAATCTAGACCAACCAAGGAGTAACCATTTTACCATCTATTTTACACAACAGCCAACACTTTCAATGTACAAACCAAATTATTTTTCATTTTAACGCTGCATTGTTACACTACACAATGTGGAAATATCCAAGATGGGTTAAATACTTACTATTGTATTGTATCACTTTCTGCTTCTAACTCACTCCTCTTTCCAACATACCATTCATATCAATAAATCTCTTGTCCCAGTAGACTATTCCATGTTAACCCACATTCTTTTACTACCAGAGCTACCTGCCCTGCTCTCTCGTGTACCATTGCAATAAATACGGTCTATTTATGGTTTATCGCTACCTGGTCAGTGCTTTCTCCCCTTTTAATATGGTGTTTGATGTCAGTCATGGCTGTAACATGTCACGTGCTCTATGCCTGTCTTGTGTAGAAAAATGAATAACTTTTTTGACATCTAAACAGCAGTGATGGCAAGTGTGCCATAGATTCCCCATCACTGCTCAAGGAATGTACAGGGAATGTTGACCATCATATTTTTAGGACACTGATTTGATTTAGTTAAAAGTTGGAAAATATAAATCTCGCCCTTGTTTTTTATATGACTACTATGTGTTTATAGATATAAAAAATAGAAATGAGACAGCGCTAGATAACTTATAGGCAGCAGCCTTTAAAAGGGGATCCCTCAGACCCTTTAAAACTGGATAAATAAAAAATAATAGAAAAAGGCTGTGCACACAAGTAAAAATGAAGTCCAATGTAAAGGAAAAGAAAAGTCCCAATGTTTATCCTTACAAATGGTCTTTGCTAATGGCGTTCTTCTCTTAATGTAGCGGTTCCACTTATATGAAAGAGAAAAAAGGAGAGAGAAGGGCGACCAATAGTGTAGTATATAAAATTCTGGTGTGGACGTAAAAAATAATAATAGTATAGAACTCACATTTACCAGAGCTATTGTCCTAGCTCTGGGGTAAGACAGAGAGGAACCCATCCAAATCCCATAAGCGGGGATTAAACCGCTGCATGCGTCTTACCCCAGAGCTAGGACAATAGCTCTGGTAAATGTGAGTTCTATACTATTATTATTTTTTACGTCCACACCAGAATTTTATATACTACACTATTGGTCGCCCTTCTCTCTCCTTTTTTCTCTTTCATATAAGTGGAACCGCTACATTAAGAGAAGAACGCCATTAGCAAAGACCATTTGTAAGGATAAACATTGGGACTTTTCTTTTCCTTTACATTGGACTTCATTTTTACTTGTGTGCGCAGCCTTTTTCTATTATTTTTTATTTGTGTTTATAGATATATCTTTATATTTGAATTACAGGGTACTATGATTTTCCCTATACTGACTTCTGTCCTGAAGGACCCCAAGTACTTCAAAAACCCCACTTCATTCGACCCTGGTCATTTTCTGGATGAAAACAGCTGCTTTAAAAAGAATGAAGCGTTCATACCATTTTCTGCAGGTAAATACATCAAAGTTGAGGTTTATTGAGTCTTATTGAGATTTTTATAGGGAATTCTACTATGTGGACTAACGTGTTAGTAAACTTGTTTCTGCATGCATGTTTATGTGTGTGTTTGTTTTTTTGTGTTAGTTTGTATGTTTTTTTCAGGGCTGTCAGAAGCTTGAAAAGATTTGATTTTTTTTAGAATATTTAAAATTGAAAGATTGTAATTAAAACATTTGCTATGATTTATTTATATTTTAACAAGTTAGCCAAATGACATAGCAATCTTTCTACATTTTGTTGTAACATTTTGTTGAAGCTACATTCAGTGCATATCTTTCCATAATTCACCCTCCAGGTAAACGTGTGTGTGCAGGGGAGGGTTTGGCACGTATGGAGATCTTTCTATTCCTCACCACCATCTTGCAGAAGTTCACCTTAAAGCCAACAGTGAACAAAAAGGACATTGAAATAAATCCAGAGCCAGGAAGCAACGCTTCAAGACCTTGCCTATACCAAATGTATGCTGTGCCTCGCTCACATCCCTAGATGGGCTAATTAATCATCAATATTATGATAACTTGATAAGAAACACACCATATTGAAAATATTCTACTTAAAATATTGAATGACCTCTTCATTTTCTTTTTTGCTCTTTTGACAAGTTGAGTATGTTATTCCTTTAATTCTTGTCTTATTATTTCAGTCATTAGCCCATGGTTCACAGTGAGCACCAGCTGTCATGTGAATATTTTAATGTGGACATCACATCACATCAGAAATCTAACACCTCCCCACATTCAAATGTGTTTTGTTGCCTTTGTAAACATTTTAAAATCTTTGGTTTAATTAATAACACTAATTATTATTGTAAAATGACTTTAGGGTGCATTCCACTCATACAGCTGTACAAATATTAAACTTATCTTCAGCAAAAAAAATTTTTCAATTGAACTACTTTGTCGAATTTTTTTTTTTTTAGACTGGCTGAATTTTGGTCACATGAAGATTTGGCTAGTTCGAATTTAGGTAACGAAAAGTATTCAATAAAATTAATCAGATGAACCAAGAAGGCGCGAAATTGGGCCTATCAATGTCCTGCGTAATATATGTATAATATAAATACTATGTATATATTTACAATACACCCATAGGTGCATTATGCTGCCTTTTGGTTAACAGATCAATTGAGAAAAAGTAACCACTAGTCGGAAAAAGAGGAGGAGCAGTAAAATAAAAAAAGCTTTGCTTATTTATATATTATATATTTATAAAAAATGTAATATATATATATAGTTATATAAATATATCCATATTTTTAATTTCTTTATTATTTTTTTACTGCACTTTCATTTTTCACTTGATCTGTGTATAAAATTGATATTTAGTGACTGTTCCTTTAATTATAATTTTTTAACCACAAGCTCTCTCTTTTTTTGGTGTCATGAGCGAATTCCAAAACACAAATGAAAACAAACATGCTTGTTCATTGCTGTCGAAAAAGCTAAAGGGTATTCAATGCTAAGCTTTAACTTGAATAGTCCAAACGGCAGCTAAATCACCAGAGCCGGGGTCTCTCGTCCCGTCCACAAACAGATGAAAGTACAAGGAGAGGTGCAGCACCTAATGTGTCCATAAAAATATATGTATAAAAGCAGGGACAAAAAGAAAAAAGGGAAAATATATAGTGTAGTATGTCACTGTCCAAATAAATAGAATAAAACAAAAGAAATACACTCACAATTTCCAGGAGCTAAAATTGTAGCTCCAACGTGAATGCCTGGGCTTAAAAATCCCTGCCTATGGCTATAGTGTGGTTCCTGGTGGGTGCAGTCACTCAAATGGTGGAAACATAAGCAGCTCTGTGGATATGGGCTTAGGTTATTATAGTGTAGTGCCCACTTGTAATTATAGATCATGGTCTTTTCCCTCCAGAAATATATGAGAAAAAAGAAAAACCAAAATATTTGTACCGTAAAGCACAGAATGTAATTAAAGTGGTAAGAAATTTACTCACATTTGATGGAGCAGATGTGGACTGCTCTATTCCTCGGGCTTGGGTGGTACAATCCCCACCACGGATACAGTAGTTCAAGCAGAATAGCAGCAAAGGTTGGTCCAATAAAAAAAGTACTTTCATTTAAAGGTAATTAATATAAAAATATAAAACAAGACAAAATACACTCAAATTGTTGTATTCATTCTTTTCTTGGTTTAGTTACATTTCATAGCTACTATGTGTGGCACTACATCTACCTGTGTTTAAAGGAATTCTCTAAGCCAGGTTTAGGCAACCTGGCTTAGAGAGATGTTGTGGACTACATCTCCCCTGATGCTTTTCTAGCATTATGCCGGAACGTCTAGCCTTGACTTATCCTTCTTCTGAGACAACAACGGTTACTCCTCCCGAGCCAATGCAATTAGGAGTTACACGATTGTCTGAGACAGAGAGACAAAACCGTAGAAGGGAGGGGTTATGCTTGTATTGCGGTAAGAAAGGACATTCCCGCTTTACATGTCCTAACCGACCGGAAAACTCCCGCACCTAAGCCCTAAAGGGGCCTTGGGTGTTATGTGTATGTCCTCCTTCAATGATAAGAGAGATCTTAGGCTTCTTCTACCAATAACTATTGAATGGGAAAGAAAAAGGGTATCTACCACTGCTTTAATAGATTTTGTGGATCACGAATTCGGTAAAAAACATGCTCTCCCATTCCAAACTAGATCTGCACCCTTGGCCATTGAGGCCATAGATGGTAGACCACTGTCGGTACCTCTGATCACTCAAGAAACTACTCCTCTGGTATTGTCCGTAGGTTTCCTTCATAAGGAGGTTATAACCATGCAACAAATAACTTCTCCCATTTTTCCTGTTATCCTTGGTTTTCCTTGGCTATCCCAGCATAATCCTTTAATTGACTGGGAAAGAAAAGAAATTCTAAAATGGGGAGATTCTTGTTTCAGAAGGTGCATTACCCCAAGTAAACCAGTAGGTCTGATTAATATACCTACTATGGAACCCTTAACCACTCAGATACCCAAACAATATTCTGATAAAGCTATCTGATAAAGCTATCTTTGAACCATGAGAAGCAGAAAAATTACCACCTCACCGTGCATACGACTGTGCCACCGACCTGTTACCCAGCACTATGCCCCCTAGAGGCACTGTGTATCCCCTTTCTATAGCTGAGAATAAAGTATTAGAAGAATACATTAAAGAAAATTTAAGAAAAGGGTTTATTACTAAATCATCATCTCCAGCGGGCGCCATTTTTTTCTTTGTTTCCAAAAAGGAGGTAGATTTAAGACCCTGCATTGATTATAGAGGATTAAATAAGATAACTATACAGAACGCTTATTCGATTCTATTAGTTACTGAACTCTTCGACAGGTTGAAAGGAGCAACTATCTTTTCTAAATTGGACTTGCGGGGAGCATATAAATGAATCAGGATTAAGAAAGGGCATGAATGGAAGACCGCATTTAATACTCGCTATGGTCGCTACGAGTACCGGGTTATGCCCTTCGGGTTATGTAAGGCCCCTGCAGTCTTCCAAGACTTCATTAATGATGTTTTAAGAGATTATTTACAGATGTTTGTAATAGTCTATCTGGACGATATATTGATCTACTCTAAAAACATGGAAGAACACTATAAACACGTCAGGTTAGTTCTTTCTAAATTATAAAAAATGGACTCTATTGTAAGCAAGAGAAATGCTTGTTTCATAAAGATGAAGTGCATTTCCTAGGTTACATCATATCAGGAACCGGTTTTCAAATGGAACCAAAAAAGCTAGAAGCTATTCAGCAATGGCCCTTGCCCGTTGGACCGTTGGACTTAAAGCCATCCAACGCTTCCTGGGGTTTGCTAATTATTACCGGAAATTTATTAAGGGGTTCTCCTCTATAACCGCCCCAATTACTGCCATGACTAAAAAGGGAAGGAATCATATGGAATGGGGTCTAGAGGCTAAAAGAGCTTTTGAGAGGTTAAAAGAGTTAAAAATACGAAAGCTGATGCCCTATCCCGCCAATATGAACATTTATCACCTCCCGAAGACGTGTTGTCTTCTATAATCCCTACTGACCACATAATAGCCACTGTACATGATAAAATCTCTTCGGGATTGATGGAAGAACTTTCTAAATTCCAGTATCGTTCTTCATTGACTGTTCCCCGGGGAAAATTGTACGTGCCCTTAACCTATCGCAATAGAGTCTTCTCCCTAGTGCATGATTCCAAATTGTCAGGGCACTCAGGAATACATAAAACTGAATCGTTGCTTGAGAAACAGTTCTGGTGGCCTTCATACAAGAAAGATGTTCGTGAATTTGTTCTTGCATGTAGTATCTGTTCCTCGACTAAATCTCCCAAAGGCCGTCCTTTTGGTCTTCTCATGCCATTGCCGATTCCAAATACACCCTGGTCAAGTATTGCTCTGGATTTTGTAGTGGACCTTCCTCATTCTAAGAATCACAGCGTTATATTGACTGTTATAGACAGATTCTCTCAAATGTCCCATCTGGTCCCACTTGTCAAATTACCTTCTCCTTCCGAACTGGCTTCTATGTTTATGGCTTCTTAAGGGAAGTTGTCCGGTTACATGGAATACCCCAAGATATTGTTTCCGACAGGGGTCCGCAATTTGTTTCACGGTTCTGGAGAGCATTTTGTAAACAATTGGGTATCAACCTTAGTCTTTCTTCTTCCTACCATCCCCAATCAAATGGGGTTACGGAAAGAATAAATCAATGTCTAGAACAGTATATCCACTGTTTTACTTCGGAACATCAAGATGATTGGGTTGAGTTGCTGCCATGGGCAGAATTTGCCCACAACAATCAGGTGTATGAATCTACTCAACACAGTCCCTTTTTTATCAATTACGGTTTTAACCATTCTACCCCTCTGAGTTCCTTTTCTTCTACTGGAATGCCAAGTGTGGACAGCACTGTCCGGAATATGAAGGAAACTTGGTTAGGAGTTAAACAGATCTTGATTCAAAGGGTCAAGATTCAAAAAATCAATGCGGATAGGCACCGAAGGGCTGCCCCCACATTCAGTACTCGTAACATAAAACTTAAAGTCCCGTCCATGAAGTTTGCACCACGTTTTATAGGACCTTTGCGGATCATTCAACGCATCAACCCTGTATGTTATAGACTGCATTTGCCATCTACCATGAAGATTCCTAACTCATTTCATGTGTCTCTTCTCAAGCCCTTAATATGTAATCGTTTTACTCGAAGTCCCTCGAAACCTCTTCCTCCTGTTGTTGTAGAGCAAAACGAATATGAGGTAAAGTCCATTTTGAATTCCCATATTTCTAGATGGGGGCTTCAATATCTCTTGGATTGGAAGGGTTATGGTCCCGTGGAATGCCCCCCGCCTGGTTCATTTATTTGAAAGGAGGCATTCTGCCCTCACAGTGGGCGGTTCTAGAGGGGGGGGTACTGTGACGATGCCTTACCTTTCCTCCTCGGTCCCGCGCCACACAGCATCCTCTTCCAGTGAGCGGCACAGCCCTTCTGACGCCGGCCGCTCACATCGCACATATTTTTACAAGTATATGCCGACGTACGTCACACGCGTCATACGCGACCACGCCCCCAGACCTTCTGGGGGTGTGGTTTTAAAGCAATATACCCCACACTATAAAAGGGCGTCCCTGTCACTTGAGAGGCGGTTCTTGTTAGTACCTCTAGTGCTTATACTCTCCTTTAGTGTTGATTCCCTTGTTATTGACTTTTGGCTTTCCCTTTTGACTACTCTGCTCTCTGGTTTCCCATACTTTGGCTAGGTCTTATCATTTATCCATCTTCTGTACTTCCTTGATCTCTGGCTATCCATTTGACTACTTAGTCCGGCCACTCTAAGGTATACGTTCTTCTCTGGGTTACACTCTGTGAGAAGGGGTCACTATCTTGACAAGTGTAGTCCAAGTGCATCATTCAATGAGAGAGCACTGTGCTCAGAGCACATGGTCACTAATGTTGAAATAGTGCTCCCTGTATGGTCCACCCTCAGTGTGCTGGCCTATTTGATTGGCAGGCAGCCTGGCATGGGCAGTGACACTGGCTCACCTCCTTTTACATCAGCCATCAGTGTCCTATTTCTCAGAACACTGATGTTGGGGGGGTATGTAATTGCAATAAACACATTCTATCTGACTCTGTACTCGCTATGTTACATTAGAAGTTTATCATTCCTCCTTTATCCAACCTATACCTTTATCATGGTCGGGCGTGAGGCTCATACTGGATGTTATCTCCGTCACTTGCAATGACTGATATGATATGGAGACTTGCAGCTGATTTGCTTTTGTCTCCATTCAGCTTATAAAATCTGTGAAAAGTTCCAAATAAATCCTCTGGATCTGTGTTACGTTATTCTGTCTGGGCCATATGTCCCCCTGCGTTGGTTGTAGAGCACTCACAAAAGAGCTAAGGATGAAATATCAATAAGATTTATCAATAATAAATAACAACAATAAATAATTAACTAGTAAGTAAGGCACATTAAGTAAGACCTTCCTGTTGGATGTAAAGATCGTTAGGTAGTTTCATTACGTGAAGTCTCTTAAAGTCATAGTAGAGTAGGTAAGATATCTCTTAAAACTTAACTTTTATTATGTAAAACATAGAAAAACAAGTGTGACAAAATCCCCTTTTCAAGTGAGTTTGCCAAGAGTTCCTGGAGGAGCCTGCTTGCCAGCTTCCTGCCCACAGACCATGGACCTTGTAAAATGTGATATAAAAGTCTCCGTTCGTGAATTTGGACTATATGGTTTGGGAACCCAACAGCTGCATGAACCGCAGACCACCCTTGTTAAGCCTACTTGCTACTTTGTAATAATTTCCACCTCAGTGTTCTAAGTGTTCGTCTGGGTGGCCGCAATTCCTATGGACGGCCACAAGGTGGCGGCCATCTTTTTCACATGAACGCAAGCAGTGGTGTTTGGTCGTCGAGTTCATGGAACTATTTTCAGATACTGAAACTCCCGAACACCGCTGGACTTCCATGATCGTGGTTTGTCCCTTGTTCCAGCTAGGAAGCGGTCCTTTGGCGGAGGTACCCAGTCAGGGTACATGGGGCTCTGCTACAACAAGATTGAATTAAATAAACCGAACTGAGTGAAAAAGGGATCAAATATGTGAATATAAATAGCTCAATATGAATAGTCAACCAGTATTTTGATATCTATGTAGATGTACCAGGAGTAGTTTGTGTAATGGAATCGCCTCTACGAGCCGTAGTTGATTGTTAATCAGCAACAATGTTAACCAAGTGAGACTCCAACATAATGTGTCCAGAGTATCACCATGAAAGTCCTGGGAAAAGAGCACGTGAATATTGACGATAGTCCAAATCCGGGACATTGCTGCAATATTAAAAAAAAAAGTGTTAGAAAAAACACATAGTCGCTATAAATCACTCGAAACAAAAGCGTGTTGAGATGAAAATAGCGTAGTATAGCCTAAGCGTTCAAAGGCATAAAATGCCAAGAAGTAAAAAAAAACAAAAAACAAAAAAACTTATTTATTTAGTTTGTATTTAGTAAAATCTTGTTTTTCTTTTTTTTACGTAATAAAAGTTGAGTTTCAGGAGATTCCTTACCTACTCTACTAGGACAGACTATTCTCTTTTTATAAATATTTTAATTTCCCTTTCTCCACAGTCCCTGGTTTGTGAATAACCCTGAGAAGTTTATTCATTTAAAACCATATTGTATTTAGTGCATTAAAAACCGAATTGCAAAGTTTAGGCTGCCGTGGCCAAGCTGTGACTAGTGAATTAAAGATTTTACTTTGCATTAATTTTTTGTCCTCTATTTTTACCTACATTTTTTCAATTGTTTTAAAATCACTGAAATTCTGTATTTAGTAAAGAAAACTGCAACATGTTTTTTATTTACCTGGGATCGATTTTTCTTTTCATAAGTCTGGTCTATAAATAACGCTAAATGCTTGTAATTACAATTTACTTCTTCAATCAAAGTTATCATGTTAGTACTTGGTTTTGTATCTGTTCTTTCTAAACTTGTAACTCCTACCCCAGAACACGATATTATCATTTGTGTCTGAGTATTACTAAGCATGTTCTGAGATAAGGATTGTATTGCAGAACTTCATGTAACCATTTACACGCCCCAGCAATGAACTCAGATGCACCTGGCAAACCTTTTTCACTGCCATTAGTTGACGCTGGAATGCTGCCCATATAGGTACGTAGGTTGTTTGGACTCAGAAAGCCATTTGACGGGGAAACATTCTCCTGTTATTGTCATCATGTCCCTGGGACTCGCAGCTACATTTCTTCTGGTCTCCTTTGTCACCCTCCTGCTGTACCTAATAACATGGAAAGGAGGGAAAAAGCTGGAAAACCTGCCCCCAGGACCCACGCCTCTGCCCCTGCTGGGGAATATTATGCAGATTAGCACCACAGAATTGCCCCAATCCCTGGTTAAGGTGAGTAAAATAATTGTTCTTTAATAATTTGTGTTTGGTCACCTCACCATTTCAATGTTTTAATACAATCCACAGTACTACATACAATATATTCTGCAAACATGGTATCTTACGTTAGTACTCTAGAAAATGCAGAACCATTATTAATTACAATAATTAACGCAAAATCAGTTTAGGAAAGCTGGATGAAATTGACTATTATGCTGTATGTGAAAATGTTTTCTGTAAAACCTCTTTTTACAGGTTGAAAGGGTATTTAACCATTTGAAGAGATTAGAAGCGGCCACGTGATATAAATTATCTATTAAATATATACATTATTTCTTCTTACTGTCCAATTTGGAAATAAATCTTTAATGATCTCAAATTCGGATTCCTTGTAGTTCTGTCCTTTGTTCGTTTCACACAGTGTATTGAAAAGTTGAATAGTTTTGTTGTCATTACAAAAGAAAAAAAAAAAAAACCAGAATATTGAAGGATATAATTGAAATGTATGTGAACAGGTTGTTAATCCGAGGAGAAATCTGATTGCCATTATAAAGTCAAAAAGGATTTTTTATATATTTGTTATTTGTGGCATAATTGGAAATGGCTACATTTGTTTTGGGGATTTGGGGGGCTTTTTTTGGATTAACAGCATAAAAGAATGTTGAAGAGTGAGTAACCTTATACAGGATACAGTCCAAATAAACAAAAATATAATCTATAATATAACCTTTATTATATTCAATTCAAACTAATCAATATATCTGCAACACTTTTGAATAGCACAGATTATGGGCACTATGTGACGATGTCATATCCTCACATCCCCACACATTGGATGCGTCTCCTACACACCTTTAACCCCTTAAGACCGCAGGGCATTCTATGCCGACCTTATTTAGATGGCTCTAAACGCCGCAGGGCGGCATAGAACGCCCTGCGATCTTTTGTACTTACCTGGGAGCCAGGGAGTCCCCCTCCGTCCTCTTCGGCGCCCCTGGGCCATGGACCTCGCGATCACATGGACGGCATAGCCATCCATAGCAATGCCAGCAGGGGGAGTGCCTGTAATGACAGGTACTCCCCCTGCTGCCTGAAATAAAAAATTAAAAAGTTTAAAACTGTGTAAAATTAATTAATATATACTTAGATCATATATACTTATTATATATATGATCTAAGAATATATATATATATATATATATATATATATATATATATATATATATATATATATATATATATATATATATATATATTAAAAAAAAAAAGTTCCAAAGATAGCACTCCAGGGACTTGTAAAAATTAACTTTTATTACCTTCACTAAAACATCCAAAGAGTCAACGTTTCAGCCTGATACCCTCAAGCTTTCGTCAGGACATCAAACAATTTAAAAAGGTGGAGTGCAAGATTTTCTTTGTTTTCTTAGTTTTTTATATATATACACATATACACACATGCACATAAATACACATACACTGTCTACGTGTATTTTAATATTAATATATACATAATTATATATATATATATACATTAATATCAAACTACATGTACAATGATATTGATTATATATATATATATATATATATATATGTATATATATATATATATATATAATTTTCATTACACCATAAAACCTGTACATGGGGGGTACTGTTTTACTCAGAAGACTTCGCTGAATACAAATATTAGTGTTTCAAAACAGTAAAATTTATTACAACGACGATATTGTCAGTGACAGTGACATTTTTTGCATTTTTCACACACAAATGGCACTTACACTGACGATATAATTGTTGTGATACGTTTTACTGTTTTGAAACACTAATATTTGTGTTCAGCGAAGTCTCCCGAGTATAACAGTACCCCTCATGCACAGGTTTCATGGTGTTTTCAAAAGTAACAGAGTCAAATATAAGGCTTGCGTTTCCATTTATTCACATTAAAATTCGCCAGGTTGCCTTTGAGACCGTACGGTAGCCCAGGAATGAAAATTACCCCCATGATGGCATACCATTTGCAATAGTAGACAACCCAGGGTATTGCAAATGGGGTATGTTCAGTCTATTTTAGTAGCCACTTAGTCACAAACACTGGCCAAAATTTGCGTTCAAATTCGTTTTTTGCATTTTCAAATATTAACACTAACTTTGGCCAGTGTCTGTGACCAAATGGCTACTAAAAAAGACTGGACATACTCCATTTGCAATACCTTGGGTTGTCTACTTTTGCAAATGGTATGCCATCATGGGGGTAATTTTTATTCCTTGGCTACCATATGGTTTCAAAGGCAACTTAACCAATCTGGCGAATTTCAATGTGAAAAAAATGAAATATGTAACACGCTATATTTGACTCTGTAACTTTCCAAAACACCATAAAACCTGTACATAGGGGGTACTGTTTTACAGATGAGACATAGCTGAATACAAATATGTGTATGTTACTGCAGTAAAAGCAAACAGTATTATGACATTCATAGTTAAAATGTCACGTAGAACTAAAATATTTTTTACAAATTCTTATTTTCTCCCATTTTTTTATATTTGTGTTCATTTTAAATTATGTTCCACACCTAAATATTTGATGTTAAATGAAAGCCCTGTTTCCCCTGAATAATATGATATATAGTAAGTGTGGGTGCATTTAAAATGAATGAGGTGAATTACGGTTGGACAGACATACAGCGCAAATGCCAGGTTTTGTTTACGTTTTGTTTTGATCACAACTTGTACATTTGGCCGCAGTCTTAAGGGGTTAACCCCTAAACCACTTAACACCGTTACGGCGTTCTATGCCATCGCGGCTTTAAAGGGCTTTAAAGCCGTTGCAGCGGCATAGAACGCCGTAACGGCTTAAGCCCAGGGGAGGTAAGATTTACTTACCTCCGCTACGATCCTCTTCAGGAGGGCTGCATGACAGCCCAGGCAGCCCTCCCCCGGCGAATGAGGCGATCACATCGCCCCCTATAGCTGGCTGTGGATCTGCCAGCAGGGGGACTGTCTGAAATGTCAGACAGTCCCCCTGCTGGTGGAAAGTGTAAAAAATATAAAAACTAGTTATGTTTTAAAATAAATTAAATGTATAATATATATGTAACGTCATACATAGTGTATTTTAATACTAATATTAGTATATATATATATATTAATATTAAAATACACTTAGAATGACGTTACATATATATACTATGTATATATATTATATATGTATTAAGGCCATTAGGCCTGAATTTGTGGGAGGAGTAAGTCCCCTACTTAAACTCCCAGCCCCTACTCACCTCTGCCGTTCAGCTGATTGTCTTCATAGCAACCAGCACTTCCGGTCCGAGCTTCCCGCCAAACAGCTCCAGTCTCTCAGCAGCAAAAGTTGTCCAGGGGAATCCTCTGTCCGTCTGGCCATCCGTCCTGCAGCCCTGTCACCAGCCATCCTGCAGCCCTGTTACCAGCCTTCGTCCCGGCCGCGGTACTTTGCTTCCGGTCACGAGACCGGCACGCTCACGTAAGCTTGTGAGGGAAATAGCATTCGGCTATTTCCCTCCGTTCAGGCCTAAAAATGTAGGGGTAGGCTCCCTAAACTCTCTCATTATCTATTTTCGTATACTTACCTATTCGTGCATTTTCACTAAACTAGACGAACGCGCGCTATACTTACGCTTCATGGGGGCTTTCGCACAATCCAAACCGCCGAACTACGCACATTCGAACATTAAGTTAAACTAATCTTTTCATTTCAGTTTTTCACTTGATCATACGCACAAAGCATGTACCTATTACTTACCCGTTCGAGCATTTCAAGCGATTCGTGTAAACCATTCACCCCTCGCTAACTTTCCTAATTCAAGCTATTTTATACAATCGCACATTTTTAATTAACCTAAGCAGATCCCCCGTTCGGTTATAACTACCATTCCCTTTCAATATAATATACACATTTCGTGCACACGAATTCATATTATTACCAATACTGTCTGTTCGGTTATTTAACTGTTTGTACTACCTGTCAGTAAGAGTTATTAAAGACATGCCTTAACCCCTTAAGGACTGGACTGTTTTTGCGATGTTGTACATTTGCGACCAGGCATATTTTTACACTTTTGTGGTGTTTGTGTTTGGCTGGAATTTTCTGCTCTCTCATTTACTGTTCCCATACAAATTATATATTGTTTTTTTCAGGACAAAAGGGGCTTTCTTTACATACCATTATTTATATAATCTCATGTATTTTAATTTAAAAAAAAAAAAAATATGATGAAAAATTGAAAAAAATACATGTTTTTTTACTTTTACTTGAAAAATCTTTTACTCATCTACAAAAGTGAATTAAAAAAACTGCTAAATAGATTCAAAATTTTGTCCTGAGTTTAAAAATACCCCATGTTTACATGCTTTTTTGCTTTTTTTTTTGCATGTTATAGGGCTATAGGTACAAGTACAGGGAGTGCAGAATTATTAGGCAAATGAGTATTTTGACCACATCATCCTCTTTAAGCATGTTGTCTTACTCCAAGCTGTATAGGCTCGAAAGCCTACTACCAATTAAGCATATTAGGTGATGTGCATCTCTGTAAAGAGAAGGGGTGTGGTCTAATGACATCAACACCCTATATCAGGTGTGTATAATTATTAGGCAACTTCCTTTCCTTTGGCAAAATGGGTCAAAAGAAGGACTTGACAGGCTCAGAAAAGTCAAAAATAGTGAGATATCTTGCAGAGGGATGCAGCACTCTTAAAATTGCAAAGCTTCTGAAGCGTGATCATCGAACAATCAAGCGTTTCATTCAAAATAGTCAACAGGGTCGCAAGAAGCGTGTGGAAAAACCAAGGCGCAAAATAACTGCCCATGAACTGAGAAAAGTCAAGCGTGCAGCTGCCACGATGCCACTTGCCACCAGTTTGGCCATATTTCAGAGCTGCAACATCACTGGAGTGCCCAAAAGCACAAGGTGTGCAATACTCAGAGACATGGCCAAGGTAAGAAAGGCTGAAAGACGACCACCACTGAACAAGACACACAAGCTGAAACGTCAAGACTGGGCCAAGAAATATCTCAAGACTGATTTTTCTAAGGTTTTATGGACTGATGAAATGAGAGTGAGTCTTGATGGGCCAGATGGATGGGCCCGTGGCTGGATTGGTAAAGGGCAGAGAGCTCCAGTCCGACTCAGACGCCAGCAAGGTGGAGGTGGAGTACTGGTTTGGGCTGGTATCATCAAAGATGAGCTTGTGGGGCCTTTTCGGGTTGAGGATGGAGTCAAGCTCAACTCCCAGTCCTACTGCCAGTTCCTGGAAGACACCTTCTTCAAGCAGTGGTACAGGAAGAAGTCTGCATCCTTCAAGAAAAACATGATTTTCATGCAGGACAATGCTCCATCACACGCGTCCAAGTACTCCACAGCGTGGCTGGCAAGAAAGGGTATAAAAGAAGAAAATCTAATGACATGGCCTCCTTGTTCACCTGATCTGAACCCCATTGAGAACCTGTGGTCCATCATCAAATGTGAGATTTACAAGGAGGGAAAACAGTACACCTCTCTGAACAGTGTCTGGGAGGCTGTGGTTGCTGCTGCACGCAATGTTGATGGTGAACAGATCAAAACACTGACAGAATCCATGGATGGCAGGCTTTTGAGTGTCCTTGCAAAGAAAGGTGGCTATATTGGTCACTGATTTGTTTTTGTTTTGTTTTTGAATGTCAGAAATGTATATTTGTGAATGTTGAGATGTTATATTGGTTTCACTGGTAATAATAAATAATTGAAATGGGTATATATTTGTTTTTTGTTAAGTTGCCTAATAATTATGCACAGTAATAGTCACCTGCACACACAGATATCCCCCTAACATAGCTAAAACTAAAAACAAACTAAAAACTACTTCCAAAAATATTCAGCTTTGATATTAATGAGTTTTTTGGGTTCATTGAGAACATGGTTGTGGTTCAATAATAAAATTAATCCTCAAAAATACAACTTGCCTAATAATTCTGCACTCCCTGTAGAATATTGCGGTTTCAAAACATAAATTTTTTAAATTTATCAATAGTGACATTGTAACACTATTATCTGTCATAAATCTCTGAATAACACCCCACATGTACATATTTTTTTTAAAGTAGACAACCCAGGGTATTCAATATGGGGTATGTCCAGTCTTTTTTAGTAGCCACTTAGTCGAAAACACTGGCCAAAGTAAGCATTCATATTTGTTTGTGTGTGAAAAAAGTAAAAAAACTAAATTGAACGCTAATTTTGGCCAGTGTTTGTGACCAAGTGGTTACTAAAAAAGACTGGACATACCCCATTTGCAATACCTTGGGTTGTCTTCTTTTGCAAATGGTATGCCATCATGGGGGTAATTCTCATTCCTGGGATACCATACGCTCTCAAAGGCAACGTAACCAACCTGGCCATTTTCAATGTAAAAATATTTGACCCATATATTTGACCTTGTAACTTTCAAAAATGCTATAAAACCTGTACATGGGGGGTACTGTTTTACTCGGGAGACATTGCTGAACACAAATATTAGTGTTTAAAAACTGGAAAACGTATCACAACAATTATATCATCAGTAAAAGTGCTGTTTGTGTGTGAAAAATGCAAAAAAAGTCACTTTCACTGACAATATCATCGCTGTGATATGTTTTACTGTTTTGAATCACTAATATTTGTGTTCAGCGAAGTCTCCCGAGTAAAACAGTACCCCCCATGTACAGGTTTTAGGGTGTCGTAGAACGTTACAGGGTAAAATACAGTGCTAGCAATTTCAATTCTCTGGAATTTCGGCCTGGGTTGGCAGGCAGGTCCCTTAAATTGCAATCAATAAAATTACTGAATTATGTAAAACTATTACATAAATACGCACGTAGAATTTAAATATATATGCATATTTATATATCTGAAGTCTACGTGTATATTTATATAATTATTTATGTAATTTTGTATATGGACATATGTATATTTCTTATTATTTTTATTTATTTTTATATACATAGATATATATACAAATTCATTCTAAGTGTATTTTGATATAAATATATATATATATTAATTTTAAAATACAGTTAGAATAAAATTTCATATAGATATATAATTTTTTTTATTTTTTTATTATTATTTTAAATGTTTTTTATTTAATTTAAATTACATATTATTTATATTTTATAATAATATATATATACAATATATATAGTTATTATATATATTATATATATACGTGTGTAATTTAATTATAAGTGTATTTTTATATTAATATAAGTACATATTAATATAAAAATACACTTAGTATGGCATTATATATATATGATATATAGACATATGGGAAGGCGGAGCCTGGAGTTGTGGGAGGGGTTGAAACCGGCCTATATAAACTCACTACTTACCTCCATACCTTGCTGACAACGCTTGGTCACTTCCGGTTCCGGTCCAGACGGCGGGAATCAACTACACCAGGTCATCAGCCTTCACAGCAGCAGGATCACTTTCCGTTAATCAGGCTCGGCGGTAGCAGATACCCTCGTTCACGGCGCGCTCGCCGACTGCACACGCCACCAAGAACTTCCGGAGCGCCGGGTCGCACTTCCGGGGTCAAGGGACCGGTAATCGTGAGTACGGGCATACGAACGCTCAAACTCACGAACTAAATACAACATTTCGACACATCTGGGCGAACAGTAATTACACGAATCCAACAGGCGAGAGCAAGGGGAACACATACGAATAGGTCTTAAAATTCCGCGAACGCTTTACATTCGGTTTTAAACACTCGAATCCAACCAGGTCTAAATGCATGAATATGGCTTCCATAACACACGAATGACAAACACGAATTACTATACGTTACAACACTCTGTTTTTTTTTTTCTCTTTCCCCCCTTCCTACTCTCACAGTAATACTGCCACCTACAGGCGAATTTAACGTATTACACTCTATGTATGCAACAGTTTAAAATGAAGTATGATTTCTGTGTATATGTATTAAAGTATAACATAATAATTGTATAAGTCGGGTAACTTCATCACCAATACGGGCTAAGTCATTAAATATTTAAGGAATATCCACAATAATATTTTCGTTAATAAATCGGTTAAGAGAATATTTGACAGAGCATATAAATAACTAGTAGGCGGGCGTATACGTTTATAGCGGTCTGTTCACAACTATAGGTAACTAAATAGACATAAATCACGTATAATTTCGGTGGTAGTAACAATTAAGGGGGAAGGGAAGGGTACCATTGTTTCATATATACGGCATGTGGAAATAGGTACTAAGGTGGATACAATAAGGTGAATTGTATTATCATATCCTTGCAGGTGGGTCTGTTCTAAATTGTCAACACACGAACTACACAGCACAAGGGAGTGCCGGTAACATACGGTACGTTCATTAGAGAAATAAGGAGGCACTTGCGCAAGTCTGCTCGGTACTAGAACATAGTACTAACATTAGATATACTTCAAACCAATATGGGTATCTTATTACGTCTTACCCTCGTAGGTTAAAGGTCATCAAGACCAACGCTGGTCAAAACAAACTCGCCAGAGAAGTAGACCACACACTACTTCTGAGGAATTTAAATAATAAGATACACTTACGGTCCTGGTACAGGTAATAAAAAAAAAAAAAAAAAATTATATTATTGGTTAGGGGAGGGGGACACCTATTCGGGTGGTTTACTTTTATTATTCTCATCTTAGGCCAAGCATACCTAGCACATACAGCTACAGACGTAACATAAAGACCTAATCATCAGGTACGTATTGATCTATAAGTCATACCTACGACACAATAATAGACACTGGAAATAGTGGTGAAAGGAATGTCTATATAAATGTTAAATATATATTCTATTTTCCACAAGATACTTCCTAATTATGCTCAGCACAAAGGTATTCACCTTCGGTTTAACTCATAGGTAAATTCACCATACTCAACCAAATATAAGTAGGTCCTCACCAAGCATGCCTAGTTCACGGTCATAGGGTTAATAAGGCACCTTCCAGCCACAACGCTTCGGTGGCATAGTCATACGTCCAACGCATAGTTGAGCCCCTATACGGTCCAACGGCTATCAACAATACGTCAGCTACCTCGTTATCTACGACAACTTACTTATAAGTCACGTCAAACCCTTTGTCATTTATATAGGATGTCTCACGCCTCCGACATAGGAGAAGACGTCTCCCCTCCCTGTACGCCAGCCAGACCACATACCCCTCCATCGGGCCCAACTATAGCCGAAAACCTAGATAGCCCGTGTTCCATGAGGTCATGGACAATTCCAAAAATCGCTGCAGAACTCAGACGTAGGGGTGTACCATATCCGGCCACGGCTAGGAAAGCCGAACTATATAGGATCATGATGACAACCAACGACACCCCGCAACCAGGGACCAGCTCACAAGGAAATATGAACGAGACCATAGCAGGCCTGCAAGCCACCATGACATCTATCCTGGCGTCTATTAGTAACATCAGCCAGAGAATGGACAGGCTAGAAGCTCCTGAGCCAATTATCGTGGCACCTGATATCAGTCTTACACCTGAGATTGAACACATAGCCGCACAGGGTAATGTGACAGGCGCTCCAATCTCACAAAATCTTACTACTCACATTGTCACACCAGCACACTTGGTACCTCCCAACATTAGGAAAGATATTTTAGAGGGGAAAGACGTCAACCTCATTTCCCTACTGATAGCGTCCCAAGACGTAGTAGACAATAAGACCTATAATTATGGGGACTTGTCAGTAGTGATGAAAGCTAGAGACCCCAGACTAAGTAAAAAATTAACCATACCAGAGTTCGTCTTGGCTTTTGGCATATATAGAGACGTTGTATGCACCACTTTTCCCCATCGTAGAGAAGAACTTGATTTGTATTTGCACAAATTGGTGGACCTGGGACACAAGTACGGTGGCCATACGTTCTTTGATTACCACAAATCATTTTCGGCAAAAGCAGCGGCAGCTTTGGTACAATTCAACATAAGAACCGATTGGAGGCACTTAGATACCGAACTTTTCTGCCGCCATTTTGCCGGCCTTATACCACCTTCTTGCGCAATTTGTTCATCAAACACCCACACTACCAATTTGTGCCCAAATGAACCAAGTCTTCCTACTACCAGCTACGCAGTCCCTAGCACCAGTAGCATCGAACAGAGGACATTTAAAGACAAATTAGGTAGGCCAATAGTTTTCCTGGGGAAGGCGCAGATTTGTAACAACTTTAACGCAGGCGGTTGCAGCTTCAGCGCTTGCAGGTTGTTACATGTCTGCACCTTCTGCCATAGAGCCCATGCTAAGACGATGTGTCCTAACCGACTGTTCCCCAAGAAATGACTGACGGAAGTCAATATCGACACACTAGCCTTTTACCTCAGTTCACACCCATCCAGGGACTTAGTACAATTTCTTATCACTGGTTTCACAGAGGGGTTTCACACGGGGTTGGTGGCACTACCATCAGGAACGATTGAGTGCAGGAATTTACAATCTGCCACTACTGACCCAGCAACAGTAGACATCCTGTTGCAAACTGAAGTAGGGAATGGTTTCATGTTAGGGCCATTCACACGGCCACCATTCACTTGTTGGAGAACCAGTCCGATAGGAATCGCATGGGGCAAATACAACAATAAAGCACGATTAATCATTGATTTGTCAGCCCCTCATTCCAGCACCACACCAAGCCTAAATTCACTTATACCATCGCCGGAGTTCTCTTTACAATATGCCACAGTAGATAATGCCATACAGGCCATACTGGAAGCAGGGGTAGCAGCTTGGCTCGGGAAAACCGATATTTCAAATGCTTTCAAGCTGCTTCCTTTGCACCCCTCTCTATGGCATCTACATGGGGTAAGGTGGAAAGGTTTATACTACTTTGCCAACCGGCTGACATTTGGGGCCAAAAGTAGCCCCAAATTGTTTGATATTTTTGCTGAGACGCTGTGTTGGCTACTGTTAAATATCTGCTGTTGCCCAGTGGTCATACACTATCTGGACGACTTTCTAACAGTAGAGAAACCTGACACAATACCACACAGCATCAACAAGACAGTCGCATTATTTAAGACTTTAGGGGTACCAGTGGCCGAGAACAAGACAGTGGGCCCCACCACCAAACTAACCTTCCTAGGTATCGAATTAGACTCAACTACCATGAAAGCTAGCCTGCCAGCGGACAAAGTTCAGAGAATCCGGGTAGAGGTTGAATCATTCCTGGACAAAGGTGTAACGTCAAGGAAGGATCTTCAATCACTCCTGGGTTCAATGAACTTCGCCATGAGAGTTATACCACAGGGACGAGCCTTCATATCACGCCTACTTAGTTTGTTACCCAACTTACCCAACGACGACAGCAGGGTTACTCTGGACATTCAGGCTAGGGCAGACCTGACTATGTGGTACCATTTCCTCTCAGAATGGAATGGGAGAAACTTGTTTATACCACCATTGACATTAAACTCCCCGGTGTTATGGACGGATGCGGCAGGTCACGCAGGTTTTGCAGCCATTTTTGAAAACAGGTGGTTCAGGGACGCGTGGCCTAGTGAAGCATTAGGCTTACCTGCGTTCACAAAAACGTCGGCACTGTTTGAGATCTACCCCATAGTGGCAGCAGCTAAAGTCTGGGGCCACTTATGGGGAGGGAAAGCTGTCAAATGCTACACTGATAACATGGCGGCTTGCGAGATTCTGAACAAAGGCAGGTCTTCTTCACTAACAATTATGAGCCTGGTCAGGAGACTCACATGGTTGGCAGCTACACAAAATTTTTTCCTGACTTGCATACACGTGCCAGGTCACCACAACTCTGCAGCTGACGCACTATCCCGTTCAAAATTACAGGTTTTCAGACAGCTACACCCAACAGCAGAAGAACAGCCAAACAAGGCTCCGCAGTTCAAAGACCTCATCCTGGACTAAAACTACTCATGGCACACGGGAGAGCACTAGCAGAGGCCTCACTTTCACCAAACACTAGACGCACTTACAATCGAGCCTTAATATTGTTCAATAAATTTGTGACAGAATACCTCATCACGAATCCTTATAGGTTAGATACTATGGTGGCATTCACCTCTTTTTGCCATCTCAACTTAAAACTGGCACACAATACCATAAAACTCTATTTAACTGGAGTACAACATCACGTAAGCAACACATATCCCAGCATAAAAAACTTCCTGTCAGCACACCCCATTAAAAACATGCTAAAAGGCATCCAACGCCTAGAAAACCCAAAACCTACTACACGACTACCCATCGATGCTGAGAAATTCAGGGCATTGTCCGACATGTTAGATACCAAACCTTTCGATAATCCCACTAATAACACACTCAAGACAGCCATATACCTGGCATTTTATGGGTTTATGCGGCCCAACGAGCTCACTTTAAGTAATGTCAACAATAAGGGGAATATGCTGTGTGTATCAGACTTAAACAAAATAGGTGATCACTACACCTTGTCAGTAAAACATTCAAAAACCAATCAAATGGGTCCGCCACTCGACATTCAATTTTACCCGACCGGCAATCATTGGTGTCCCGTACTACTATTTGACAAATACATGGCCGGTATGGTTAATCAACCCAAACAAGCTCCTCTGCTCGCAATACACAGTCAACCCCTGACGACCTCGAAATTCATTAAATACGTGAGATTACTATTCACAAGAATTGGGTACGATCCCGCGGCATATACAGGCCACTCCTTTCGCATTGGGGCTGCTACATCAGCCTCCAGTCAAAACATACCAGTTCACATCATTAAAAAGCTAGGACGTTGGAAATCTTCGGCGTACCATCGTTACATACCTCAACCTGAGAAAGAGTTGAGACAAGCTTTTAAACAATTGGCTAAATAAGTACGGATAATAATGTGCCTGTATACGTATTAAAGTGTGGAATGATATTTCTCTTTTTGCCCTCTTTATTTACAGGCCAACCCGTACGTCGGTTTCGGCACACCACAACCGACTTAGTATATTTTACTGTTGTTTAGAGGTTTTAGGTCCTCATAAATACGGCCTTCTTCCCTGACCACAAATGGGAAGGCGGAGCCTGGAGTTGTGGGAGGGGTTGCAACCGGCCTATATAAACTCACTACTTACCTCCATACCTTGCTGACAACGCTTGGTCACTTCCGGTTGCCCCACCCACCACACCACAAAGAATCAATTAATTGGTTGGCCCTCTTTATTTACAGGCCAACCCGTACGTCGGTTTCGGCACACCACAACCGACTTAGTATATTTTACTGTTGTTTAGAGGTTTTAGGTCCTCATAAATACGGCCTTCTTCCCTGACCACAAATATTATATAGATATAATATATGTCTATATATCATATATACACATATATAATTATTATTATTTTTTTAATTAACATTAACTTTATTTTATTTTCTGATTTTACACTAGCAGGGAGACTGCCTGTCAGCACAGACAGTCCCCCTGCAGGCAGACACATGGACACCTATTGTGACCATGTGATCACTGTGTTAAGCGATCACATGGCCACAGGGGTCCTAAATCAGTGTGGGGAGACTGTCTGGGCTGCAGGCGGTCTCCCCACAACCGGAGCCACGCTGATCGCCGCCGGGGGAACGACGGCGATCAGGTAAGTAACGGAGACCGTTAGGACGGTTCAGGACCGTCATCGGTCCTCAAGGCAAAAATGCCGATGACGGTCCTGAACCGTCCTCGGTCGCTAAGGGGTTAAAAAACTACAACTATTTATCTCCTAAACTGTGGTTCCTGTTAAATACGTCTAATATATTAAAACATAGCCACCTTATCTTATATATCAGATCTTTTTTCTATACCCAGGTTGTTAGTAATCTATGTTTTTCATTCCTTTAAATAAATAAAATAAATTCCTCCAGACACCAAGCAAGGGCAGATTTCTATAAATTCCACAACAACCCTGTTCAAACAACACGTACATATATTATTATTACACGATGATCTAAGGTAACACTGGTAACTCCTTAACATAAAATTTTTATTTACTACATTTTTCTCCTTTAAATTACGTAGTCATTAATCCTGCCCTTGTCACATTTCTTTAGCTCCACAGATTGCTTTCTCTTATTTGTCTGCTTAAAGTTAGCCAATTCAAGTTCTTGTGTTTTACTAACCCAGGTATAGTATTTACTCACCATGCTTTCTATCACGTCCATACCTCATTACTGCATGCACCCTAAATCTATCAGTGAATACGGTTTATTTATAACTTTCTATCACAGCATTTACAAATTATTAAATATTCAACGGGTTTAATTCATAGCTCCAGAATTTTTTCCAGGCCTCCATCGGGTTCTACATAGGAACACCAGTTACGCTCATCCTAGTACCCGTATAGCAAATCAAGGTATATTTTTCTACTCTTTTCAGGTCTTTTTCATACAAACCTTACGAGGTCTCAACTAATTACGACTAATTCTAGGTCCTACGTCCTTGGTGCGTTAAATTCTCTCCTTTTCTATTAACCAGGAATTCGGTCATAGTGCCGTCAGGCAAGAAACTACCAGCCTACCTAACTCGGTACTCAGCCACACAACCAGGTACTTACGTCCTTATTCGCTACGACATTCACTACCCCAAGGCCTCAATCAGCCTCGCTCTATAACGATAACTCGCCTCAGTCGTAGTCTAACCTTTCAGATCCCTCACTTCAGGATCTCACGTCGCCTTCTATCAGTCAACCCTTATCACAAATCATACGCCACCACTTTACGCATAAATACATCAACATCTGTCTTAATCCTTAGGCTTCTTCTACGAGGACAGCAACAGCCAAGACTCGCTACACATAAACATTCAAAGGTTCCAGCTCTCTATTAAACCCTTCAAGGTTAGTATCCACACATTGCACCAGAATTACCATTCAAACTTTAGTATACAAATGAACTGGCTTGCAGTGGCTGGGCTACTGCCTAGCTCATTCTAGTAAAAGTCCAGCGAGACCATCCCCCACCTCAACACGGAGGTACGGCCCCATGCCCAAATAATAGTTATATGCCTCGCCCGCCCTACTACAGGGCATTAGTCAGGACCTCACCTGTCACGGCCACACGTCTTGAATCTCTTTACAGTCACCGAGAGGCCAACACCCCGCCACCACGTCTGTGGCCACGATTTCTCTAAGCCAAATCATAGGTAGAGCCTCTCACAGCCACTTGGCATTAGCAGGGCCTCACCTATAAAAAATTCACAGTTAAGTTTTTTGCTTCGGCATTAGCATTACAGGCCAGTTCATAATATACTACCCTCATATCCCCCCCGGTTCCCCAACGCACCCTCTAATATCTCATTCACTGAATCATTTCTAGAATGTCTCAAGAACCAGCCCTCAGCGAAGACTTGCCAGAGGAGATCCCGATTACGCCCATCAGACCAGAGTCCCCATGCGAATCTCTCACCCCCTCAACTCCCACGTCCTTGAGAGCATGGACTATCCCTAAAATTACAGCCGAACTCGAACTCAGGCTCAGGACAATCCCCTTTCCAGCTACAGCTAGAAATGCGGAACTCTACAGACTGCTCACCTACCAAGCCCCTGAACCTAGGCCAGGCACTAGCTCTCGAGGACAGCCACCAAGCGCTGGCACATCCACCCAGGAAACCCTAGCAGCAATCTTGGCCAACTTACAGACTTTAAATAACAGGCTATCTAAGGTGGAGAGCGCGATCGCCTCGCCAGGTAATACCCCGGGCCTCCCAGTCGCCACCCCGGCAGTCCCTGCTGTACCACCATGCCCCCCCATACTCCCTCCTCCAGCACCAGCCACAGCTATTTCGCCTTTTGAGTCACCAGCTCACTCCGTCCCAGACTCCATCAGGAAAGAAATCATAGATGGGAAGGATGTGTGTCTGGTGTCTCTACTCATAGCATCCCAAGACATACTGGAGAACAGGGCAGACAATTACGGGGACATCTCAGTGGTGCTCAAGACTAGAGACCCCAGACTCAACAAAAAACTAACCATACCTCAGTTCGTGTTTGCCTTTGGGATATACCGTGATGTCATCTGCACGGTGTATCCCCACAGAAGAGAGGAGCTAGACCTCTACCTCCACAAGGTGGTGGATTTAGGCATCAAGTACGGGGGCTCCTCCTTTTACGACTATCATAAGTCGGTATCAGCGAAGACGGCGAACCATCTGAAACAGTTTAACGTTAGAATTAACTGGTGTCAGATGGACACAGAGCTATTCTGTCGCCACTTCGCTGGTCTCAGGTCCCCGTCTTGCGCTGTTTGTAAGTCCACATTTCACACGGCAGACTTATGTCCTTCAGAAGCCTATCCCACCACCTCCACTCCAACCCCTAATACCACTTTCACCCCTCACAACAAACCAGCGGGTGGTCTACGTGATAAGATGGGTAGGCCCATCTCCTTTCTAGGTAAAGCACAGGTGTGCAATAATTACAACGCAGGCTCCTGCAGTTTCAGCGCTTGTAGATTGTTGCACATCTGCTCCATTTGCTTTAGGGCTCATACCAAGACCATGTGTCCGGCCAGGTTGTCCCCAAACAAATGACTAACCGACATTAATGTCGACAACCTGTTTTTTTACTTAAGGTCACACCCTAGCAGACACCTGGTGAAATATCTGGCCACAGGGTTCACACAGGGGTTTCTCACGGGTATAGTAGGCATCCCCTCAGGTACACTCGAATGTCCTAATCTCCTGTCAGCACGTCTAGATCCAGTCTCCACTGACACTCTCCTTTCCTCTGAAATTACCAATGGTTTCATGATCGGGCCTTTCACCTCCCCACCATTTTCCTCCTGGCGCACTAACCCAATCGGCATCGCAGTTCACAAATATTCAAATAAAACACGTCTAATTATCGATTTATCGGCACCGCACTCCTTTTTTGTTCCCAGCATAAACGCACTCATTCCAGCAGATGAATTCTCACTCCAGTACGTAACTATTGACGACGCTATACGGGCAATCATCTCTTCTGGCAATCACCCTTGGCTCAACAAAACAGACATCACAAACGCATTTAAGTTACTACCCATGCACCCCTCACTCTGGCACTTGCACGGTGTTAAATGGCGAGGGAAGTACTACTTTTCCACACGACTCACTTTCGGTTCTCGAAGCAGCCCCAAACTTTTTGACATCTTCGCTGAGACACTATGCTGGCTGCTTCTGAACATCCTCAGGTGTCACTCCGTTATTCACTACCTAGACGACTTTCTACTGATAGAGCCAGGGGCACAAACACCCACCGCTATAAGCCACACTACAGCACTTTTTTCCACTCTTGGAGTACCTCTGTCCCCATCTAAACCAATAGGTCCCACTACTAAAGTAACCTTTTTGGGCATAGAGTACCTCAGAGCTAGCCTTCCCCATGACAAACTAACCCGCTTGAGAGGGGAGATAGACATGTTCCTACGGAACAATGTTTGCACCAGGAAGGAACTCCAGTCCCTGCTGGGATCCCTGAACTTCGCCATGCGCATCATCCCGCAAGGAAGGTCTTTTATATCCAGGCTGTTTTGCCTGCTCCACGGGGTACCGGACTCTTGCCCAGTTTCATTGGACCACCACGCTAAGGCCGACTTGGCTATGTGGGGGAAGTTTTTGGCAGAGTGGAACGGTATCTCCATGTTTATCCCCCTCTCTCCACTTCCTCACCCATCATTCACACAGACACTGCAGCTAACACCGGTTTCGCAGCCATCTTTGGAATCCACTGGTTTAGGGGTCACTGGCCCGCTGAGACGGACGCCTTGCCAGGATTCAGGGAGACCTCAGCCCTATTTGAAACCTATCCCATTGTGGCGGCCGCACACACCTGGGGTCATCTCTGGTCCGGCAAGGCAGTTAAATGTTATTCTGACAACTCGGCAGCTTGCGAAATCATTAACAAGGGTCGCTCATCATCCCTGATCATCATGCGGTTGATTCGCAAGCTGACCTGGCTAGCAGCAACCGGTCAGTTTTACTTAGTTTGTTTTCACATTCCCGGTATCCACAACACTGCAGCTGACGCACTTTCTCGCTCTCAATTTCAGGTATTCTCTCAGGCACTCCCTACGGCTCACCACCAGCCATCCAGGACACCACAGTTTCACGAACTAATCCTGGACTGAGCACTCTAATGCATCACGCTAGGACTCTCACCCACCAAGCACTATCACCTAACACAGTTATCTCTTATAATAGGGCACTTACTATATTCAACAGATTCACTGCAGAATTCGGTTTACAAGGCGACCTTTCTATACAAACCATGGTGGCTTTTGCCTCTTTCTGCCACTTACATCTTAAACTTTCCCACAACACCATAAAACTTTACCTCACCGGGGTGCAGCACCATAGCCTCACAAATTTTCCTAACAACACCCCCTTCTTGTCATCATATCCCATTAAAAAGGTATTGAAAGGTATGTTAAAGGTTTCAGCTCCTCTCACTATCACAAGACTACCCATAGATGGGCCTATCTTCAGATCACTTAGCAATCTCCTTGACGAATCCCCGTTTGATCCTGACACAAACCTGGTGATCAAAGCGGCTATCTATCTTGCTTTCTACGGTTTTCTCAGACCTAGAGAGTTCACCGTTGTTCGTCAAGGGGATATCACGCACAGCCTAAAAACATCGCACCTCACAAAGGTGGAGGATCACTATCTACTTTCGATCCCGTCAACTCAAACCAACTATTCACTACACCCCACTGTAATTCCTCTCTTCCCTACTGATAATGCCTGGTGTCCGATCAAGGCTCTAGACCACCTACGGTCAACCCTTCACGCGCACTTACCAGACTCTCCGCTCTTATCAATACAAGGGCACCCGCTTACCACTGCTAAATTCACGTCTCACGTCAGAACACTATTATCTAAACTGGGTTTCAATCCGACTTCATTCTCCGGGCACTCCTTTCGCATAGGAGCCACCTCTTCAGCCTCCAGCACTAATACACCGGTCCACTTCATCAAGAGACTGGGGTGATGGAAATCCTCCATATACCATACTTATATTCCACGACCAGAAAAAGAGCTTCGTCAAGCTTTCAGGAACTTGGTTATGTAAAAAGGCAATAAAGTGTGTATTTTCTCGAACTTCTCTTTTGCCCTCTTTTATTTACAGGCCCACTCGTACGTTGGTTTTGGCACATCACAACCAACTTTGTCCTTACAGATACTATCCATTACGTATTAAATTCCGAGCACAAGTAGAAAGGCCATTAGGCCTGAATTTGTGGGAGGAGTAAGTCCCCTACTTAAACTCCCAGCCCCTACTCACCTCTGCCGTTCAGCTGATTGTCCCCACCCACCTACACCCTGTTATAATTACATTCTCCTTGGTGGGCCCTCTTTTATTTACAGGCCCACTCGTACGTTGGTTTCGGCACACCACTACCAACTTTTTCCTTACAGATACTACCCATTACGTATTAAATTCCGAGCATAAATAATAGATATGTACACATATATTATATATATATATATATATATACGTATAATTACAATTAATTACAATTTTGGCCAGTGTTTGTGACTAAGTGGCTACTAAAAAAGACTGGACATACCCCATTTGCAATACCTTGGATTGTCTACTATTGCAAATGGCATGCCATCATGGGGGTAATTTTTATTCCTGGGCTACCATACGGTCTCAAAGGCAACAGAACCAATGTGGCAAATTTAATGTGAAAAAAATGAAACGCATGCCGTATATATGACTCTGTAACTTTTGAAAACACCATAAAACCTGTACATAAGGGGTACTGTTATACTCGGAAGACTTCGCTGAACACAAATATTTCTGTTTCAAAACAGTAAAAAGTATCACAGCAATAATATCTTCAGTGTAAGTGTAAGTGCATTTTACTGTTTTGATACACTAATATTTGTGTTCAGCGAAGTCTCCCGAGTAGAACAGTACCCCCCATGTAAAGGTTTTATGGTGTCTTGGAAAGTTATAGGGTTAAATATAGTGCTAGCAAATTTTCCTGGACTTACATCCTGGGTGTCAGGCAGGTCCGCTAATTGTAATTAATAAAATTACCTAAGTACCGTATATAATCGAGTATAAGCCGACCCGAATATAAGCCGAGGCCCCTAATTTTACCCCAAAAAACTGGGAAAACTTATTGACTCGAGTATAAGACTAGGGTGGGAAATGCAGCAGCTACTGGTAAATTTCTAAATAAAATTAGATCCTAAAAAAATTATATTGTATGAGTGCGCAGTGTGTGTATGAGTGCGCAGTGTGTATAAATGCAGTGTGTATATGAGTGCAGTTTGTGTGTATGAGTGCAGTGTGTGTGTATGAATGCAGTGTGTGTGTATGAGTGGAGTGTGTGTGTATGAGTGCAGTGTGTGTGTATAAATGCAGTGTGTGTGTATAAATGCAGTGTGTATATGAGTGCAGTGTGTGTGTATGAGTGCAGTGTGTGTGTGTGTGTGTGTGATGCAGTGTGTGTTTGTGTTGCAGAGCCTTGGTGGGGGGTGGGCATTTTTATAAAAAAAAAAATAAAAAAATTAATATTATTTATTATTTTAATTTTTTTGGTTATATTATTTTTTTAATAATTTTTTATTATTATTTATATATTAATTAATATTATTTTAATTTTTTGTTATATTATTTTTTTTAATTATTTTTTTTATTATTATTTATATATTATTAGTTAATATTATTTTAATTTTTTTGGTTATATTATTTTTTTAATTATTTATATTTATTATTTATATATTAATTAATATTATTTTAATTTTTTGTTATATTATTTTTTTTAATTATTTTTTTTATTATTATTTATATATTATTAGTTAATATTATTTTAATTTTTTTGGTTATATTATTTTTTTAATTATTTATATATTAATGTATTTATTTTTGTCCCCCCTCCCTGCTTGATACATGGCAGGGAGGGGGGCTCTCCTTCCCTGGTGGTCCAGTGGCATTGGCAGTTCAGTGGGGGGAGGAGGGGGGCTGGCAGAGCTGTTACTTACCTCTCCTGCAGCTACTGTCAGCTCCCTCCTCCTCCGTGCTGGTCCGTGCAGCTCTTCTGTCAGCTCACACTGTAAGTCTCGCGAGAGCCGCACTATGACCCCGCGGCTCTCGCGAGACTTACACTGGGAGCTGACCGAGGTGCTGCACGGACCAGCGCGGAGGAGGAGGGAGCTGACAGGAGCTGCAGGAGAGGTAAGTAACAGCTCTGCCAGCCCCCAGTCTGTATTATGGCAATGTAAGTTGCCATAATACAGACAGTGACTCGAGTATAAGCCGAGTTGGGGTTTTTCAGCACAAAACATGTGCTGAAAAACTCGGCTTATACTCGAGTATATACGGTATGTAAAAATATTATATAAACATATTCGAAGAATTAATATATGTGTGTGTGTATATATATATATGTGTATATATATATATATATATATATAATTTTTTAAAATTATTTTTATTTATATATAGGTATATATATAGTGATATATAAGTATATACTTATGTATATAGATATATATATATATATATATTATTTCTTTCTACGTGTATTTTGATATCAATATATATATTTTTTAAACGTATTAAATTATAATTATATATATATACATATATTTAATCAATATCATTGTACGTGTATTTTGATATTTATATATATAATTATATTTATATTAATATTAAAATACACTTATACAATGGATGACCTCGCGATCACATGGCCCAGGAGGGCCAGAATGGAAGCAGGGGGACTCCCTGGGATGCCAGGTAAGTCCCCCCACCGTCATTGCCAGCGTGTGGATCACTGGCGACCGGGTAAGTGAATAGGACGGCAGGGACATTCTATTCCGCCCTCTGGTGTTTAGGACAGAGTCCCCAAGGACGGCATCGTAGGGGTGCGATGTTTATCTCACATTGCTATTTACAGCCTGGCCATTTTTATTACACACTACCTTAATGATAGAACTTCATCAAGAGCAGGACCTTATAAGAAAATAATCCATATGTTAATTGCCAATAAAAGGGATTGGATTCCAATTTAAAACTTTCACATTATTAAACATATATTCAGCCTTACCCTCCAGTTTACCAAGTCAGCAGACATTCATATCTAGCGTTCAAAGGTTCAAATGAAATATTAAGTAATTCAATGCTGTTCTGCAATACAAATATAAATGACACCAAGGACATAGTTCAAATCAAGTCACAAGCGTGTTATTGTCAATATGGATCTAGGACTTGTAGGAGCATTTCTTCTGATCGTCTGTGTCACGGTTCTGTTGTATTTAAATTCGTGGAGAAGCCACATCAAGAAGGGAAATCTGCCCCCTGGACCTACAGCTCTGCCCCTGTTGGGAAATATTCTCCAAATTAGCACTAAGGAATTGCCCCAGTCCTTGCTTCAGGTGAGTTTTATTTCACTAATAAAAATTGTGAGGTCCATCACAACAACAATTAATTTCTCTTACAGGCTGTTTAAAAAGGATTTTCTGAATTGATGGTTGCTTAAAGGGATACTGTTATTTCTCAGATTTTTTTTTTTAGAATATGTTAATTTATTTCAGTATTTATTAAATAGGTATTTATGAAAACAATTGTGAAAAGTAAAATGTAGAAATGTACACCTCTTTATCCTGCAACTGGGCACCTCCACCTTCATTGCCTGTCAAGCATTGTTATCATGTCTTTACACCTGGCAGTCAGCGGAGAGAAGGCTTTGCCTTGTCTCAACTGGATCATGATCATTGCTAAAACTTTAAAATATATTTAAAATGTATTCAATTGTGTAATTGACAGACAAGTGACAGTTCCCCTTTAATTTATCTGGGATTGCCGAATATATAATAAGAAAGAGATTCCATATTAATCCTAATACAATTGATGAATGGAATGTTTAATCTTTTTTCTAAATATTTTTTTCCAATGCTCCCTATATTATTTAATATTTTGCAGTCTACCCATCTCCTTCACATGTTGGTGCATTTAAGTACCTAGAATCAATATTGCCAAGACCTGCATTTTTATTTCACAGACTGCGTTTAAATTGAATAGAGTGAGTTTAAATCTGTGAATTTAATATTTAGGCTTTATTTAATGTACACCTAGAAAATAAAACTATCCATTCATCCATCCACAAACCCACCCACCTACCCACCCACCCACCTACCCATCCATATCCACCCACCTATCTATCTATCTATCTATCTATCTATCTATCTATCTATCTCATATCAAAATTGCCCATAACAGAAACTGAGTCTCTTGCTTTTTGGAATTGCGTAAAACAGTTCTTCAAAATAACAACTTACATAACGGTAACAGTAACTCATAACATCTGGGAAGACTGCTGGGTAATGCAAGTCTTGGTTTTCTTTGACATATTGCTTGACATATCACTAATGGGAGAGGGAAAAATAGATAGAGAGACTGGAGCTGTGGGGTGTTACAACCTGTCAAGAACTGTGGCTGTAGCATGAAAGGAAGCATGTATGTATGTGACTGTAGTGTAGTGTGTTTGTGTGCGTGTGAGTCTTTGTCTATATATGTTTTTGTGTATCTGTTTGTGTTTCATTCCCTCACAAAGATCTATCTATCTATCTCTCTGAAGCTGAGTGAGAAATATGGACCCGTGTATACGATTTATCTGGCTAATAAACGAGTAGTCGTAATTATTGGATATGAAACGGTGAAAGAGGCTCTCGTTGATCACAGTGATGCATTTAGCGACAGAGGTAGCTCAGACCTTAATGATTTTATCTTCAAAGATTACGGTAAGAATCCAAGTATTATATTTAAATGGTCTGAAGTCCTACACCGCAATACTTTACAAAAAATAATCTAAACAAAATGGTTGCACATCGTTTCTCTATTAATATTTACATCAGCAATTTAATGCTGTTAATTCGTCTAACCCTATGTACATATATTGAATGTGGCAAAACATTTTACCACTCCAGCTTTCCCTGGCAGTGAATTACATATCTTGACTGATCTTACTATAAATAACAATGTTTGTTCTGACATGGAAGCCTCAATATGTATAAATAAACCTTAATTTAGTGAATAAATAAATAAATACGTCCACTGTAAATTCATGGGAAATCCATCAGGAAAATTTTAAGGACAGAATGGTAAAGGTCCGTGGCATTTTGAAGTGTATTTGGAACTTTTTAGGAGTCATTATGAGTAATGCAGATGAATTGATTCTTCCTGATGGCTAATATTCTCCAAAGCTTTTAGTGTAATAACTATTTGCTAAAAATGGTGGCATCCAGTATATTTCTCTTTGTGGTTGTTTGTAGGAGTGATCATGAGCAATGGGGAAAGGTGGAAGGCAATGCGGAGATTCGCTCTCATGACATTGAGAAATTTTGGAATGGGGAAGAGAAGCGTTGAGGAGAGAATCCAAGAGGAAGCTCGGTATCTTTCTGAAGCCTTCAGGAAGTATAAAGGTCAGTAGAAGCTTCAAACCTATATTGGTGAAAGTGCACAAACGGCCCGGTGTTCGGTAGTTTTGTTTGAATGTGTTATACCCCAGATAGGAATCCCATGGAGCCCATTCGCATGAAACTGACTGTGTAAAGACTTTAGCTCCATGGCGATTAAACTGTATTAGTGTGGTCTGAGCGCCATTCGCTTAATAATGTGCGCTCAGACCTGAGCTATCTGGGGATATGTTAAATGTATGCTTTTAATGTTATGTGTCTCACATAGTGTATTTTAATAGTAATTCGTGTGTTAGTATCCCCACGTGCATAATGGCAATTTGCCTTTGTCTTGGGAGATAATTGAATTACTTCTCAATTATCTCCAAGGCAGATGGGAGGAAGCCAGGATGCATTGTGGGAATATACTGTGACTGTGTGTCCTATTTGTCTACTTGTCTGTCCTGTGTCACAGTCTCCCATTTGGTCCCCTAGGGGAGTGTCCACCAGGTGGGAGACCTGCATAAATACTGGGCAGGTAGCCCTCATTAAACAGACCACTGCTTGACCCCAACACGGAGCCTTGTCTCGTCTTTGGGGGGATTTACTGAATGCTGATAGAGACTGATTGCTAGGAGTGTAAGCCGCTTGGATGCTTTTCCTATTCGTCTGCTAGCAGCGATTCGTATGGTTCCTGTTCATGTGTTTGGAGTGCTATATTTGATGCCGTTCGGGAGTTTGGAGCATTCACTTATTGGTGGTTCGTATGTTTGGTGTTCTACAATAGCTGTGCCTGCATCTCTGGAAAGGGGGACGATCGCTTAAACGCATTTTACCCCTTGTGTGCAAAACGGACCGTTACAATTGGTGGCAAGCAGCGGGATCGTTCCCACAGACTACAGGACAGCTACAGGCGACACCATTCCGTGGATTTTTACAATTTGAGGGCAACGCATGTACCAGTACAGCGACCCTGACAGCACCGAGATGGAACCAGCAGTGGAGTATGACGAGGGTGCCCTGGATGACCGAGATGCGCTGCACAAAGGCATCTGGTAACAGGCACTGGGTATTGTGGAGTACCAGCGGGGCGAGAGACTCCCCAAGGAAGACCAGCGATTGCAGAAGCAACTAGCCCTGTGGATGCCCTTCCTGGGAGAGTAGCCCCTGGATGAATGGGTGAAGGAATTGGAGCTCTGAGTATGGCAGGAGATCTGGCTGGAAGATGCCTACCAGGCGCTCTGGTGGTATAGGGCAGAGTACCTGCCCTGGACAGCCGAGCATGACAAGCCAGAGGGAGAGGAGTTTGATGGTCCTGGCTTGTTATGGGAGTCTTTTGCAGAGCCTGAGTTTGGGAGCCCTACACAAGCCCGATTCAGTGATCTCTTGGAGTGGAGGGAGAGCAGGTATGACTGGGACGACACTCACGAAATTGAGCAAGACCTGGTCCACCTGGTGACCCGAGAGATGGAGCTGGAGTAGGGCTACCAAGATCTGTTCCACTCCAGTGAGAAGGCTCAGCAGGGAAGCGGAGACCCAGATCCAGACTCATTCAGCTGGGTAGATATTGTGGAGGATTACTGGGAAGAACCTCAGGTGGCGGGTGGAGATGGGACCGAGGTCTCTCCACCGGTATTGCAGGGAATTGGGAGCCCGAGCTCCATTCCCCAGCGGGAGATATTGCAGGGAATTGGGAGCCCAAGCTCCATTCCCCAGCGGGAGAAATTGCAGGGAATTGGGAGCTCCATTCCCCAGCGGCAGGCTGAGTTACAGGGGACAGAGGTAGTTGCTCCTGTCCCCCAGCAGCAGAGTGAATTTCAGGGAATTGGGAGCCCAAGCTCCATTCCCCAGTGGGAGAAATTGCAGGGAATTGGGAGCTCCATTCCCCAGCGGCAGGCTGAGTTACAGGGAACAGAGATAGTTGCTCCTGTCCCCCAGCAGCAGAGTGAATTTCAGGGAATTGGGAGCCCAAGTTCCATTCCCCAGCGGCAGGCTGAGTTACAGGGGGCAGAGACAAGTGGTCCTGTTCCCCAGCAGCAGTGTACCTTGCAGGGAGAGGAGAGCAGCGTCCTCCCTCCCCGGTGGCAGGGTGAGCTACAGGGATGCTGGCCAGTCGGCTCAGATCCCCAGCGGCAGTATGATGTTTTGGGAATTGGGAGCCCAGTCTCCTTTCCCCAGTGGCAGCACAGATTATTGTGAATTGGGAGCCCCGTCTCCATTCCCCAGCGGGAGATAAAACAGGGAATTGGGAGCCCAGTCTCCATTCCCCAGTGGCAGAGTGTCCTACCGGGAATAGAGAGCCCAGTCTTCTTTCCCCAGCAGCAGGACTCTGTATTGGGAGCAGAGACAGTCAGTCTCCCTCCCCCGCGGCTGGAAGTATATATGGGAGAGGAGCTTGTTAACCCTAGGCAGCTTAATGTACCCGGGGGAGACAGTAATCCCCACAACTGTGCAGATTGGACCGTGGTCTCTGCACTTCCAGCACAGAGGGTAGGGACGGTCAGTTCTGCCCCCCAGCAACAGGGCTGTTTAGCCAAAGGGGAGACAGTCGGTCTCCAGCAGCAGAGCTGTGTAACCAAAGAGGAGACAGTCGGTCTCCAGCAGCAGGGCTGTGTATCTAAAGGGGAGACAGTCGGTCTCCAGCAGCAGGGCTGTGTGTCTAAAGGGGAGACAGTCGATCTCCCCCTCCAACAACCAGCTTCAACCAGGCTACCTTCCCAGTAGCACTGGTAACAGGGCAGAGTACCCACCAAGTCAGCATACCCATACCCAGCACAGCCGTGGTGAGGCACCTGGACATGGACAAGCTTCTCCTCTACCCAGGTGTAGTAACCATTTATTGTGGGTGGACTGTGCTGTTGATTGTGTTTTGTGGGTGGGCTGCTGGACTAACAAGGGCACTGACCGGCAGGAGGTCAGATACCCTGTTAGTCTGTTTGGAAAAGGGGAGAGATGTGACGAGACCAATCTCGCAACATTGCATTGGAGAAGCCTGGTTGCCCACCTGCTGCCTTTGGACTATGGCCCCGTGTTAAAAGACATCTTTTTTACCTGCAGAAAAGATTTATTCGTTCTTTTCTGTCTGGTGTTCGGTAGATTCAATCTACCGAACAACCGCACGAATGACTGGACCACCTGGGAGCTGGAGTGTGCCGGCAATTAGCCTCCCTGAAGCTGCGGCTAACCACAGTTTAATTGACAAATGCTGGGTGGCCGCCATTCGTATCACGAACACGAGGTCGCGGCCATTTTAAACATGTGAATGCACAACGGTGTTCGACGCTTAATTCATGGAACTGAAATCGGACACAGTTTTGCGCGAACACCGCTGAAGCCGCCGACCTCCCTTCTTGTTCGGTGAAAGTGCACGAACGGCCCGGTGTTCGGTAGTTTTGTTTGAATGTGTTATACCCAGATAGGAATCCCATGGAGCCCATTCACATGAAACTGACTGTGTAAAGACTTTAGCTCCATGGCGATTAAACTGTATTCATGTGGTCTGAGCGCCATTCGCTTAATAATGTGCGCTCAGACCTGAGCTATCTGGGGATATGTTAAATGTTTTTCCCTCCTTCTCTCTTGTTTTGCCACTTTTCAGAAATTCGAATCACTTCGGCACACATTCGGAAGGAAACGAATCGAACATGTTTAATGTACATGAAAAAGTTGGTTACTAAAATAGTTTACAGTGAAGAGTTAGGTTTTTGGATGGCACAGTGGCAGGATAAGAAGCAGGGTGGCTTACCAAGGCACGAGGAGGGAACGCCATTTACAGTTTAATAGATTTGCTTCCTGAAGAAGTGCATTTTTAGTGATCTTTTGAAGGAACTGAGAATGGCTGAGAGTTTAACAAAGAAGGGAAGGGAGTTGCACAGGAACAGTGCAGCCCTAGAAATCACAATAGTCAAGTTAGTAAGGGGAATCTCTGTTGTTATGCCTTACATTCTCCAGGTTGCACCTTAGACCTCAATATACACCTATAAACAAGTTTCTTTTGTGTTTGTTGTAATACCTTTTCAGTTTTGACACTTGTTAGACTAAAAAAAACTTGTGATTTACAAAAAAATAAATAGTACTGGACATTTATATGATAATCAATAATAATGAGAGCAAGTATGTGGAGAGGAGGATATGACATTACTTAAATTGATTACACGATGTTACTTGCAATCAACTACTATATATTTTACTGTGGAATGTTGTAGAATTTGTTGCACTTTATACATCACATAATAAAATCTGCATAATGGAGGATGTGGTGATGTGTGGTGCATAGCATTTAGTATATAACAGTATATATGTTATAGCCTTATTTTTATAACAGAGAATTAATAGTATTTGATCATTGTTGGTGGGTGAGCATTTCTTTTCCAAACATTCCATTCACACTTTTACAATCATTATATACTTATTTTCTTTAATAAAGTAGGCACTGCTCAGTCTATTTAATCTCTTGGAAATGTGTTCAATTTGCAGTAAAATTATATTATTCTTTGACGAACACAATTTTTGAGTATTTAACTTGTTCTTGCATGGAGTGTTCTGAGATATTGTTTTTTGGTTTTTTTTTTTAAAGATGATACATTTTATGTACTTGTATTCCCAGTATATCTTATAACATTTCCTATAATTCTAATAACAGAAACTCCTTTAGATCCCATAACTCTCCTGGGACAAGCAGTGTCCAATGTGATTGTATCTATTGTATTTGGAGAAAGATATGACTACGAAGACAAGAAATTTCAGAAACTTTTGGCATATGTTAGAGATATCGTTAGACTGGTAAATTCTCCTTCTGGTCAGGTGAGTTTTGGCTGATAACATATGTGACTATCGGTGCATATTATGAAAATATTATTCAATTAATCTTGACAAATATACCCAAAAAGCACTCTACAGTTATTGATTTTTATTCCTTAGAGGAGTTCCATCTTTATTTATTATTAACCATCTGTTTTCTGTTATAGCTGCTCAACATTTTTCCACATGTGGGGAGATGGATCCCTGGACCTCACCAGAACATTTTCACAATTCTGAATAAACTCAGAGGGTTTTTTAAAGATCTGGCACAATCTCACCAAGAGACACTGGACACAAACTGCCCACGGGATTTCATAGACTGCTTTCTGATAAAGATGGACCAGGTAGGACACTGTAATATAAGAATTGTTCAGTTCTAAAAACGTCTAGAATCTACAATTAGTATCTCTGAAAATGATTGGAAAAGAAGCTTTATCATAATTTTACATACTGTTCTAGGAGAAAAATAATCGCAATACTGAATTCCATGATGAGAATTTATTGTCTACCATAATGGATTTATTCTTTGCCGGCACTGAGACCTCAAGCTTAACACTAAGATATGGCTTCCTGATACTTCTTAAATATCCAGAGATACAAGGTATTATTACTCTTATATGTTACCCTTTATAAAGGGGTACAGATAGTGCTCAGATTAAACACTATTAGTGTGTTTAGATTTTATTTAACTAGCTGCTAGGCCATAGTGTGACCCATGTCTTCTTTCTTTCAAGAGACATGTTCTATAGTTCTGACTGAGCAAACATTTTACAGAAATGGAAATGAAAATGTCTTGCTGATTGGACCGAGGCTTCCTGTTCACAGCATGGTAGATAGCTTTAACCCCTTAAGGACCGAGGACGGTTCAGGACCGTCATCGGCATTTTTGCGTTGCCGACCGATGACGGTCCTGAACCGTCCTAACGGTCAGAGCTACTTACCTGATCGCCGTCGTTCCCCCGGCGGCGATCAGCGTGGCTCCGGTTGTGGGGAGACTGCCTGCAGCCCAGACAGTCTCCCCACACTGATTTAGGACCCCTGTGGCCATGTGATCGCTTAACACAGCGATCACATGGTCACAATAGGTGTCCATAGTGCTGCCTGCAGGGGGGCTGCCTGTGCTGACAGGCAGTCTCCCTGCTAGTGTAAAATCAAAAAAAAAATAAAGTTAATGTTAATAAAAAAATAAAAATAATTATATATGTGTATATATGATATATAGACATATATTATATTCATATAATATATGTCTATATATCATATGTATATAATGTCATACTAAGTGTATTTTTATATTAATATGTACTTATATTAATATAAAAATACACTTATAATTAAATTACACACGTATATATATAATATATATAATAACTATATATATTGTATATATATATTATTATAAAATATAAATAATAAGTAATTTAAATTAAATAATTTTTTTAAAAATAATAATAAAAATTTAAAAAAAATTATATATCTATATGAAATTTTATTCTAACTGTATTTTAAAATTAATATATATATATTTATATCAAAATACACTTAGAATGAATTTGTATATATATCTATGTATATAAAAATAAATAAAAATAATAAGAAATATACATACGCCCATATACAAAATTACATAAATAATTATATAAATATACACGTAGACTTCAAATATATAAATATGCATATATATTTAAATTCTACGTGCGTATTTATGTAATATTTTTACATAATTCAGTAATTTTATTGATTGCAATTTGAGGGACCTGCCTGCCAACCCAGGCCGAAATTCCAGAGAATTTAATTTGTTAGCACTGTATTTTACCCTGTAACGTTCTACGACACCCTAAAACCTGTACATGGGGGGTACTGTTTTACTCGGGAGACTTCGCTGAACACAAATATTAGTGATTCAAAACAGTAAAACATATCACAGCGATGATATTGTCAGTGAAAGTTACTTTTTTTGCATTTTTCACACACAAACAGCACTTTTACTGATGATATAATTGTTGTGATACGTTTTCCAGTTTTTAAACACTAATATTTGTGTTCAGCGATGTCTCCCGAGTAAAACAGTACCCCCCATGTACAGGTTTTATAGCATTTTTGAAAGTTACAAGGTCAAATATATGGGTCAAATATTTTTACATTGAAAATGGCCAGGTTGGTTACGTTGCCTTTGAGAGCGTATGGTAGCCCAGGAATGAGAATTACCCCCATGATGGCATACCATTTGCAAAAGAAGACAACCCAAGGTATTGCAAATGGGGTATGTCCAGTCTTTTTTAGTAACCACTTGGTCACAAACACTGGCCAAAATTAGCGCTCAATTTAGTTTTTTTACTTTTTTCACACACAAACAAATATGAATGCTTACTTTGGCCAGTGTTTTCGACTAAGTGGCTACTAAAAAAGACTGGACATACCCCATATTGAATACCCTGGGTTGTCTACTTTAAAAAAAATATGTACATGTGGGGTGTTATTCAGAGATTTATGACAGATAATAGTGTTACAATGTCACTATTGATAAATTTTAAAAATTTATGTTTTGAAACCGCAATATCCTACTTGTACCTATAGCCCTATAACATGCAAAAAAAAAAGCAAAAAAGCACGTAAACACTAGGTATTTTTAAACTCAGGACAAAAATTTTGAATCTATTTAGCAGTTTTTTTCATTCGCTTTTGTAGATGAGTAAAAGATTTTTCAAGTAAAAGTCAAAAAACATGTATTTTTTCAATTTTTCATCATATTTTTTTATTTTTTTTAAATTAAAATACATGAGATTATATAAATAATGGTATGTAAAGAAAGCCCCTTTTGTCCTGAAAAAAACAATATATAATTTGTATGGGAACAGTAAATGAGAAAGCAGAAAATTACAGCCAAACACAAACACCACAAAAGTGTAAAAATATGCCTGGTCGCAAATGTACAACATCGCAAAAACAGTCCAGTCCTTAAGGGGTTAATTTTAAAGACTTTTATGAATTATACAGAGATGAAAAGATCAAAACACAAGCAAACAGTAAGGAAAATACAACTGAAGAAGTGGGAGTTTTAAGAAACTTGCCATATACATGGTGATTCTGATAAAATAGTACAATATACATGATGCAAATAATTGCTTATTTAATAATTATTAACACATCCAGCAGCTTGACATTTCTGGATTATTTTTAGAATATAGAATATAGAGTTCTTTTACCATTAAATTATATCCATTATTTTTAAATCGAGCAGCTTATCATCACTAACCCTGGTCAGTGTCATTAAGAAGGACCAGGGTAGCAGTCGTGATTTAATAAAGAGCATATTTGAATCCAAATTATAAATCTTTCCTATGGGTATGTTTTATATTTCTGTGATTACATTTTTTTTTATCTATTTCCTTCAGAAAGGATCCACAAAGAGATAGACCGTGTGATTGGCCATGATCGCTGTCCATCAGTAGAAGACCGTAGTGAGATGCCGTACACAGAGGCTGTGATCCACGAAATCCAAAGATTTGGCGATATTGTGCCTCTGGGAGTACCGCATGCAACCAGTAAAGACACGACCTTCAGAGGATATGACATTCCTAAGGTCACTGACTTTACATAATAAATAGAAAGTAATTAAAATTATGAAATTTAGAGTAATTATTATTATTATTGCCTTTTATATAGCGCCAACTTATTCCTCAGTGCTTTATAATATTACAAGGATATAGAAGTGATATTAATAAAACAATTGTAAATTATTGTAGCCATATCTAGATATTTAAACAGACAGAAAGGAAGAAAGATAGATAGATAAATAGATAGATAGATAGATAGATGATAGATAGATGATAGATAGATAGATAGATAGATAGATAGATAGATAGACAGATATACAGACACAAACACTCACACACAGATAAGGCAAACATATATAATAAGGGATTTAAAAACCCTTTAAAAACATTGCAAAAAGTTTTAAACCACATTTCTTATACTTAGTATTGGTATACTTTTTACTGTGTGTATTGTAACTGTGCTGTTCATACATGCGGATCCTAAAATTAAGACCTATTAAGATTTGTATAAATGCTTTCTATTTTTTGCCGTTTCCTAATATTTCCGACTTTTATAAAGCTTTTATAGACCTGTTTTACACCCTCTGTATAACTTTATACATTATCGTCTACTATTTGAACGCTTTCACCCTCCTTGGACATTTCCATATTTTGTAGACACAATCTAGAACAACCAAGGAGTAACCATTTTACCATCTATTTTACACAACAGCCACCACTTTCAATGTACAAACCAAATTATTTTTCATTTTAACGCTGCATTGTTACACTACACAATGTGGAAATATCCAAGATGGGTTAAATACTTACTATTGTATTGTATCACTTTCTGCTTCTAACTCACTCCTCTTTCCAACATACCATTCATATCAATAAATCTCTTGTCCCAGTAGACTATTCCATGTTAACCCACATTCTTTTACTACCAGAGCTACCTGCCCTGCTCTCTCGTGTACCATTGCAATAAATACGGTCTATTTATGGTTTATCGCTACCTGGTCAGTGCTTTCTCCCCTTTTAATATGGTGTTTGATGTCAGTCATGGCTGTAACATGTCACGTGCCCTATGCCTGTCTTGTGTAGAAAATTGAATAACTTTTTTGACATCTAAACAGCAGTGATGGCAAGTGTGCCATAGATTCCCCATCACTGCTCAAGGAATGTACAGGGAACGTTGACCATCATATTTTTAGGACACTGATTTGATTTAGTTAAAAGTTGGAAAATATAAAAAACGCCCTTGTTTTTTATATGACTGCTATGTGTTTATAGATATATCTTTATATTTGAATTACAGGGTACTATGATTTTCCCTATACTGACTTCTGTCCTGAAGGACCCCAAGTACTTCAAAAACCCCACTTCATTCGACCCTGGTCATTTTCTGGATGAAAACAGCTGCTTTAAAAAGAATGAAGCGTTCATACCATTTTCCGCAGGTAAATACATCAAAGTTGAGGTTTATTGAGTCTTATTGAGATTTTTATAGGGAATTCTACTGTGTGGACTAACGTGTTAGTAAACTTGTTTCTGCATGCATGTTTATGTGTGTGTTTGTTTTTTTGTGTTAGTTTGTATGTTTTTTTCAGGGCTGTCAGATGCTTGAAAAGATTTGAGTTTTTTTAGAATATTTAAAATTGAAAGATTGTAATTAAAACATTTGCTATGATTTATTTATATTTTAACAAGTTAGCCCAATGACACATCAATCTTTCTACATTTTGTGTTAACATTTTGTTGAAGCTACATTCAGAACATATCTTTCCATAATTCACCCTCCAGGTAAACGTGTGTGTGCAGGGGAGGGTTTGGCACGTATGGAGATCTTTCTATTCCTCACCACCATCTTGCAGAAGTTCACCTTAAAGCCAACAGTGAACAAAAAGGACATTGAAATAAATCCAGAGCCAGGAAGCAACGCTTCAAGACCTCGCCTATACCAAATGTATGCTGTGCCTCGCTCACATCCCTAGATGGGCTAATTAATCATCAATATTATGATAACTTGATAAGAAACACACCATATTGAAAATATTCTACTTGAAATATTGAATGACCTTTTCCTTTTCTTTTTTGCTCTTTTGACAAGTTGAGTATGTTATTCCTTTGATTCTTGTCTTATTATTTCAGTCATTAGCCCATGGCTCACAGTGAGCACCAGCTGTCATGTGAATATTTTAATGTGGATATCACATCACATCACATCAGAAATCTAACACCTCCCCACATTCAAATGTGTTTTGTTGCCTTTGTAAAAATTTTAAAAACTTTGGTTTAATTAATAACACTAATTATTATTGGAAAATGACTTTATGGTGCATTCCACTCATACAGCTGTACAAATATTAAACTTATCTTCAGCAAAAAAAATGTTTCAATTGAACTACTTTGTCGAATTTTTTTTTTTTTAGACTGGCTGAATTTTGGTCACATGAAGATTTGGCTAGTTCGAATTTAGGTAACGAAAAGTATTCAATAAAATGAATCAGATGAACCAAGAAGACGCGAAATTGGGCCTATCAATGTCCTGCGTAATATGTGCATAACATAAATACTATGTATATATTTACAATACACCCATAGGTGCATTATGCTGCCATTTGGTTAACAGATCAATTGAGAAAAAGTAACCAAAAGTAGGAAAAAGAGGAGGAGCAGCAAAATAAAAAAGCTTTGCTTATTTATATATTATATATTTATAAAAAATTGAATATATATATATAGAGAGATATATAAATATATACATATTTTTTATTTATTTATTATTTTTTTACTGCACTTTCTTTTTTTCACTTGATCTGTGTATAAAATTGATATTTAGTGACTGTTCCTTCAATTATAATTTTTTAACCACAAGCTGTCTCTTTTTTTGGTGTCATGAGGGAATTCCAAAACACAAATGAAAACAAACATGCTTGTTCATTGCTGTCGAAAAAGCTAAAGGGTATTCAGTGCTAAGCTATAACTTGTATAGTCCAAACGGCAGCTAAATCACCGGAGCCGGGGTCTCTCGTCCCGTCCACAAACAGATGAAAGTACAAAGAGAGGTGCAGCACCTAAAGTGTCCTTAAAAATATATATATAAAAGCAGGGACAAAAAGAAAAAAGGGAAAATATATAGTGTAGTATGTCACTGTCCAAATAAATAGAATGAAACAAAAGAAATACACTCACAATTTCCTGGAGCTAAAATTGTAGCTCCAACTTGAACGCCTGGGCTTAAAAATCCCTGCCTATGGCTATAGTGTGGTTCCTGGTGGGTGCAGTCACTTAAATGGTGGAAACATAAGCAGCTCTGTGGATATGGGCTTAGGATATTATAGTGTAGTGCCCACTTGTAGGTATAGATCATGGTCTTTTCCCTCCAGAAATATATGAGAAAAAAGAAAAACCAAAATATTTGTACCGTAAGGCACAGAATGCAATGAAAGTGGTAAGAAATTTACTCACATTTGATGGAGCAGATGTGGACTGCTCTATTCCTCGGGCTTGGGTGGTACAATCCCCACCACGGATACGGTAGTTCAAGCAGAACAGCAGCAAAGGCTGGTCCAATAAAAAAGTACTTTCATTTAAAGTATGCATAAGGACATACAGACATACGTGCATAATGACATATAGACAAACATACATACATTCATATTGGCATACAGACACTGACATCTATACACACATATAAAAATACGTACAGTAGGTGGATCGCACTCTTTAAAATCTCTACAAGAAAGATAATAATGACACAATAGTGTAACACTGTAAACAAATGGATATCCAAAGTGTAATGTAGATGGTCAGGTACTCACAAACAGAGAGCCAAACAGGGACATGTGGCTCTCATGGGAATAGCACTGGGACTGTTTGTAGGATGTCCCCTTCCTTCTGTAGATCTTCCAATAATCAGAAAGGACAAGCTGGAAACACTTACTTGCAACAGTAAAGTGTTTATTGGTCCAAATAAGGACAAGGATAAAATTGAGAAGGGTATCTTCAATCAAATTTAAAATTATTTAAAATTAAAAAAGTCCAAAGTATTAAAAAAAAGTCCAATATAGGAGTCTTTATATTGCCGAAACGCGTTTCGCCCTATAATCAGGGCTTCCTCAGTCGGTAGTGCTGTGTTGCTGCTCTGTCACCTTTTTATACCGGTGGTTTGCCGGTATTCAGTCCCTGGAACGCATAGGTTTCGCGGTGGAACGCATTTCCGGTTTCTTGGTGCGTCATTTCCGGGTTCTGACGTCATCGCGCTGAAGACGTCAGCTCGGTCCCGGGCATCATAGTGTCTTGTTTCTGTGGCAACAATCAGCTGGAATGCACACTGTATAGTGTGTGCGTTCCTTTTTGAGATACATATAAAGCACTAAAAGCATAATATAGCTATAATGTCAACCCAAACCAATATTGATACAGTGCAATAGTGCTAAAACAAAGGTGCATTATATAGAGACATTTATAAATGCTTATAATGTAGTTAATATTGTGAAAAGTGTTCGTTATCTATCTATATATTGTTTCTATTTTTTTATTGAAAAGGAGAAAGTTATTTTTCTTATTTAGAATGGTATTTCATTTCAAGTGAATGATTATAAAGTGCATTTCAGTGAAGTAATTATTTATTCTGAAATCTAATTAAAGTGTCAGTGTATTTTTTTTTTATTTTTTTTTTTTTTATAATAATAAAAATTATTTTACAAATTAGAAAAAGTTAAAAAAAGTGACATGTTTCAAAATCGGAGTTCAAGCCGTGTGGGATGAGTGTATTAAAATTAAAAATAAACTTCATTTCTTCTAATCCTATTTTTTTAATATAATCGCCTCCTCTCCAATCTTGTGTAACTATTTTTAGGGGGCAAAAAAACAATAGGTCAGGATTTTGATTATGGTGAGTTTTAAAATGTTTGGAGACACTATGGGTCTCCAAGCCTTTCCTTATATTCCGTATATGTTCAGAGATTCGGATGTGAAAACATCTGATAGTTCTCCCAACATATAGTAAACCACAAGGGCATTTTAAAATGTATATTACGCCTTTGGAGAAACAAGTTAATTTATCTTTAATAACAAAATCTTTCTCTATAAGCTCTCGGAGGTCCCTCAGATGTCTTTTTTTACTCTTGGTAGATTTGCAAGCATGGCAGTTTCCACAGCCATAATAACCTTTTGATAGTCCCGGGAAATGATTCATTGTAATGGGGTTTTCACTACTTTTTACAAGGGTGTTTTTCAGATTTTTCGCCCCCCTATATATAATTTGAGGTTGTGCTGATAGAATCTTGTTTAGGACTGGATCACTTTGTAGTACATGCCAGTATTTCTTTATAATTTTTCTGATATTTTTACTATTCCCATTATAGTTACAGACAAGAGGTACTTTATTTTCATAAAGGGGAGCAGTTTTTTTTGGTTTATAAGTAAGTAGCTCTTTTCTTGATAGAGTTCTTACTTTCTCCATTGTTAACGCTAAATTATTCTCCTGATATCCTTTTTCTAAAAAATTTTCCTTTATTTTTGTGGCTTGTTGGATGTAATCGTCGTCTTTTGTGCAATTGCGTCTAATTCGCATGAATTGGCCTTTTGGAGCATTCTGTAACCATGGTTTGTGATGACAGCTGTTACTTTCGATATATCCATTTGCATCAACCGTTTTAAAAAAATTCTTTGTTAAAATCTGTTGGTCCTGAATAAAAATATGTAGATATAAAAATTGAATGTCCGTGGGGCTATAAATGGTAGTTAAAATAATGCCCCATTCGTTATCGTTTAAAAAAGCTAAAAACATTTGTAAAAGGTGGGTATTGCCGTTCCAAATAAAAAGGATGTCTTAGATATACCGGCGATAGGACACCAAATTTGACACCCAGGGATGGGATGAAAAGATGAAATGTTCCTCCCAATACGCCATAAACAGATTGGCGTAACTGGGCGCAAATTTGGTGCCCATCGCCGTCCCCCTTATCTGTAAATAAAAAGTATTGTCGAACCAAAAATAATTGTTAGTGAGAATGAGATGAATACCTTCTAAAATAAATTCAATTTGTTCCTGTTTAAAATTTGCTTTATTTAAAAAATATTGCACTGCTTTCATCCCTACATCGTGGGGGATAATTGTGTAGAGGGATGTAACATCGCTGGTAACTAGTTGGTAAGAGTCATTCCACTGAATAGAATCTAATGTTTGCAATGTTTGTATTGTATCCTTGAGATGCGAAGGATTTTTTACAACTAGGGGTTGAAGAAGAAGGTCTATATATTCAGAGACTTTTGAGGATATCGAGTCTATACCAGATATGATGGGGCGGCCTGGGGGATTTAAAATATCTTTGTGAACTTTTGGTAAATAGTAAAATACCGGAATCTTCGGGTGTGTGACTTGTAGGTATTTGCCTTCTTTTTCTGTTAAAATCATTTTCTCTAGGCCTTTTTTTATAAATTTTTCAAAAAGCTGTTTAATTGTATTAGTAGGGTTGGAGGTGAGTTTTTGATAAGTTGTTTTATCTGAGAGAATCCTTTCGGACTCCCTCAGATATCTTTCCTTAGAGAGGATTACGATGCCTCCCCCCTTATCTGCCGGTTTGATAATTAGGTCTTTATCCCTTTGAAGTTGTCTGAGAATATTCTTTTCCTGTCCTGTCATATTTTGTTGATATTTATTTAATTTCTTAATGTTATTCAATTCTCCCATTACCATGATCTCGAATGATTTCATTTCATCGGAGATCATGTGCTTCGGGAAAAAAGAAGATTTTTCTTTAAGGGTGGTTTGTGTGTAAGGAGTTATTACTTCTTTATTTTTTGTCTCTTCCTTATCATAAAAAAAAAATTTTCGACATAAATTCCTCATAAATTTATTCATATCGACAAAAAAATCGAATTTGTTAAATTCTGCGGTTGGTGCGAATTTCAGACCTTTTTTCAGAAGTAATAATTCTTTTTGAGTAAAAGTGTGTTCTGTCAAATTAAAGATTCCATTGGGATTTATCTCTTCCCCCTCTTTATTAAATTGCCTAGTTCTTCTTCTTCTTCTTCCATTTCTCTTTCCCTGGATCTTTGGCGTTTCCCCGGGGATTCCCATGACCTGGGTTGTTCTAATTTCTTTATCCTCTCGGTTATGGAACCCTTCTGAAAAAAAGGTTGGTAGTCCTCAACTGTTCTAGACTCTCTGTTAGGGGTGGTGGATCTTTGATCTCTGTCCCTATTTCCTCTCCTTATATTTCTCTCTGATTGTTTAACCATATGATCTGGTATAGATGTTGATTTCATTCTCTGTGTGGAATCTGATACGGAGTAGTTTTGCCTTGTATTACCTCTAGTTTCGTATCTTTTCCATGTATTTTCTTTTAAAGGAGAATATTTCACTGCGTCACTATATCTCCAATTTTTTCGGAGATATGAAGAATTATTTCTAGGGGGTGAATCATTTCTCCTAAAAGATGTTTTTCGTGCCCTATAATCTATCGATGGCTGAGACTTACTTGGAGAATTTCTCAGATATCTTTTATTTGTATACATTTGAGAGTTGTTTTGGGATCTATATGATGGTTCTTGGGATATAGGTCCTATATTTCTTCTCTTTTCGTTTTGTTTCGTGGGATTATTTGCCCTTCTCTTTGGGAATCTAATATTGCCTGTCTTATAATCATAAATATCTCTTATGTATTTCTTTTTTTTTATATTTATCGTATCTCTTTCTACTTTCTCCACTTTATTTCTAATTTCTTTTATGATTTGATTAAAAGTTTCTGGATTTGTAGTGTCACTAAGCTTTTGTCTCCATGCAGAAATTTCCTCATCTAATTTATTCAAAGTGTCCTCTCTCCGGGACACTATATATCCCATCATGCTGAAAGCAAAGCCTTCCAGTAATTTGTTCCATCCTAGCATGAAATTGGGATCTTCCCTATCAAAAGTAGGATATTTTTCAAACCTAAGTCCTCTCGGGGTGATTTGTTCATTTACATATTTTTTAAGGGTGGCTACTTCCCATTTTATTTTCATCTCTCGGATGAGAGTTCTTTCTAAATGGTTCTTACAAGTCTCAGAATTAGTATATTCGATTTCATGCTCAATTTCAACAGTTTCTAAAAACATATTATCTATGTCTTTAGTAGTATATTCCCTATTCTCTAAGTATGACATCTCTAAAAAAATATATTATGACACTGTATGTATTAAGTGGATTAAATCTAACAGTAAAATGATACAAAGAATACAATATATAGAGTGAAAGAAATTGTGAGTGCGGTCTAAACACCTGAGTGGAAAACCCCTTATACCACTCAAATAGAACACAAATAAAAATACGTACAGTAGTTGGATCGCACTCTTTAAAATCTCTACAAGAAAGATAATAATGACACAATAGTGTAACACAGTAAACAAATGGATATCCAAAGTGTAATGTAGATGGTCAGGTACTCACAAACAGAGAGCCAAACAGGGACATGTGGCTCTCATGGGAATAGCACTGGGACTGTTTGTAGGATGTCCCCTTCCTTCTGTAGATCTTCCAATAATCAGAAAGGACAAGCTGGAAACACTTACTTGCAACAGTAAAGTGTTTATTGGTCCAAATAAGGACAAGGATAAAATTGAGAAGGGTATCTTCAATCAAATTTAAAATTATTTAAAATTTAAAAAGTCCAAAGTAATAAAAAAAAGTCCAATATAGGAGTCTTTATATTGCCGAAACGCGTTTCGCCCTATAATCAGGGCTTCCTCAGTCGGTAGTGCTGTGTTGCTGCTCTGTCACCTTTTTATACCGGTGGTTTGCCGGTATTCAGTCCCTGGAACGCATAGGTTTCGCGGTGGGACGCATTTCCGGTTTCCGGTTTCGTGGTGCGTCATTTCCGGGTTCTGACGTCATCGCGCTGAAGACGTCAGCTCGGTCCCGGGCATCATAGTGTCTTGTTTCTGTGGCAACAATCAGCTGGAATGCACACTGTATAGTGTGTGCGTTCCTTTTTGAGATACATATAAAGCACTAAAAGCATAATATAGCTATAATGTCAACCCAAACCAATATTGATACAGTGCAATAGTGCTAAAACAAAGGTGCATTATATAGAGACATTTATAAATGCTTATAATGTAGTTAATATTGTGAAAAGTGTTCGTTATCTATCTATATATTGTTTCTATTTTTTTATTGAAAAGGAGAAAGTTATTTTTCTTATTTAGAATGGTATTTCATTTCAAGTGAATGATTATAAAGTGCATTTCAGTGAAGTAATTATTTATTCTGAAATCTAATTAAAGTGTCAGTGTATTTTTTTTTTATTTTTTTTTTTTTTATAATAATAAAAATTATTTTACAAATTAGAAAAAGTTAAAAAAAGTGACATGTTTCAAAATCGGAGTTCAAGCCGTGTGGGATGAGTGTATTAAAATTAAAAATAAACTTCATTTCTTCTAATCCTATTTTTTTAATATAATCGCCTCCTCTCCAATCTTGTGTAACTATTTTTAGGGGGCAAAAAAACAATAGGTCAGGATTTTGATTATGGTGAGTTTTAAAATGTTTGGAGACACTATGGGTCTCCAAGCCTTTCCTTATATTCCGTATATGTTCAGAGATTCGGATGTGAAAACATCTGATAGTTCTCCCAACATATAGTAAACCACAAGGGCATTTTAAAATGTATATTACGCCTTTGGAGAAACAAGTTAATTTATCTTTAATAACAAAATCTTTCTCTCTAAGCTCTCGGAGGTCCCTCAGATGTCTTTTTTTACTCTTGGTAGATTTGCAAGCATGGCAGTTTCCACAGCCATAATAACCTTTTGATAGTCCCGGGAAATGATTCATTGTAATGGGGTTTTCACTACTTTTTACAAGGGTGTTTTTCAGATTTTTCGCCCCCCTATATATAATTTGAGGTTGTGCTGATAGAATCTTGTTTAGGACTGGATCACTTTGTAGTACATGCCAGTATTTCTTTATAATTTTTCTGATATTTTTACTATTCCCATTATAGTTACAGACAAGAGGTACTTTATTTTCATAAAGGGGAGCAGTTTTTTTTGGTTTATAAGTAAGTAGCTCTTTTCTTGATAGAGTTCTTACTTTCTCCATTGTTAACGCTAAATTATTCTCCTGATATCCTTTTTCTAAAAAATTTTCCTTTATTTTTGTGGCTTGTTGGATGTAATCGTCGTCTTTTGTGCAATTGCGTCTAATTCGCATGAATTGGCCTTTTGGAGCATTCTGTAACCATGGTTTGTGATGACAGCTGTTACTTTCGATATATCCATTTGCATCAACCGTTTTAAAAAAATTCTTTGTTAAAATCTGTTGGTCCTGAATAAAAATATGTAGATATAAAAATTGAATGTCCGTGGGGCTATAAATGGTAGTTAAAATAATGCCCCATTCGTTATCGTTTAAAAAAGCTAAAAACATTTGTAAAAGGTGGGTATTGCCGTTCCAAATAAAAAGGATGTCTTAGATATACCGGCGATAGGACACCAAATTTGACACCCAGGGATGGGATGAAAAGATGAAATGTTCCTCCCAATACGCCATAAACAGATTGGCGTAACTGGGCGCAAATTTGGTGCCCATCGCCGTCCCCCTTATCTGTAAATAAAAAGTATTGTCGAACCAAAAATAATTGTTAGTGAGAATGAGATGAATACCTTCTAAAATAAATTCAATTTGTTCCTGTTTAAAATTTGCTTTATTTAAAAAATATTGCACTGCTTTCATCCCTACATCGTGGGGGATAATTGTGTAGAGGGATGTAACATCGCTGGTAACTAGTTGGTAAGAGTCATTCCACTGAATAGAATCTAATGTTTGCAATGTTTGTATTGTATCCTTGAGATGCGAAGGATTTTTTACAACTAGGGGTTGAAGAAGAAGGTCTATATATTCAGAGACTTTTGAGGATATCGAGTCTATACCAGATATGATGGGGCGGCCTGGGGGATTTAAAATATCTTTGTGAACTTTTGGTAAATAGTAAAATACCGGAATCTTCGGGTGTGTGACTTGTAGGTATTTGCCTTCTTTTTCTGTTAAAATCATTTTCTCTAGGCCTTTTTTTATAAATTTTTCAAAAAGCTGTTTAATTGTATTAGTAGGGTTGGAGGTGAGTTTTTGATAAGTTGTTTTATCTGAGAGAATCCTTTCGGACTCCCTCAGATATCTTTCCTTAGAGAGGATTACGATGCCTCCCCCCTTATCTGCCGGTTTGATAATTAGGTCTTTATCCCTTTGAAGTTGTCTGAGAATATTCTTTTCCTGTCCTGTCATATTTTGTTGATATTTATTTAATTTCTTAATGTTATTCAATTCTCCCATTACCATGATCTCGAATGATTTCATTTCATCGGAGATCATGTGCTTCGGGAAAAAAGAAGATTTTTCTTTAAGGGTGGTTTGTGTGTAAGGAGTTATTACTTCTTTATTTTTTGTCTCTTCCTTATCATAAAAAAAAATTTTTCGACATAAATTCCTCATAAATTTATTCATATCGACAAAAAAATCGAATTTGTTAAATTCTGCGGTTGGTGCGAATTTCAGACCTTTTTTCAGAAGTAATAATTCTTTTTGAGTAAAAGTGTGTTCTGTCAAATTAAAGATTCCATTGGAATTTATCTCTTCCCCCTCTTTATTAAATTGCCTAGTTCTTCTTCTTCTTCTTCCATTTCTCTTTCCCTGGATCTTTGGCGTTTCCCCGGGGATTCCCATGACCTGGGTTGTTCTAATTTCTTTATCCTCTCGGTTATGGAACCCTTCTGAAAAAAAGGTTGGTAGTCCTCAACTGTTCTAGACTCTCTGTTAGGGGTGGTGGATCTTTGATCTCTGTCCCTATTTCCTCTCCTTATATTTCTCTCTGATTGTTTAACCATATGATCTGGTATAGATGTTGATTTCATTCTCTGTGTGGAATCTGATACGGAGTAGTTTTGCCTTGTATTACCTCTAGTTTCGTATCTTTTCCATGTATTTTCTTTTAAAGGAGAATATTTCACTGCGTCACTATATCTCCAATTTTTTCGGAGATATGAAGAATTATTTCTAGGGGGTGAATCATTTCTCCTAAAAGATGTTTTTCGTGCCCTATAATCTATCGATGGCTGAGACTTACTTGGAGAATTTCTCAGATATCTTTTATTTGTATACATTTGAGAGTTGTTTTGGGATCTATATGATGGTTCTTGGGATATAGGTCCTATATTTCTTCTCTTTTCGTTTTGTTTCGTGGGATTATTTGCCCTTCTCTTTGGGAATCTAATATTGCCTGTCTTATAATCATAAATATCTCTTATGTATTTCTTTTTTTTTATATTTATCGTATCTCTTTCTACTTTCTCCACTTTATTTCTAATTTCTTTTATGATTTGATTAAAAGTTTCTGGATTTGTAGTGTCACTAAGCTTTTGTCTCCATGCAGAAATTTCCTCATCTAATTTATTCAAAGTGTCCTCTCTCCGGGACACTATATATCCCATCATGCTGAAAGCAAAGCCTTCCAGTAATTTGTTCCATCCTAGCATGAAATTGG